TTCTAGCCGTCTTTAGCGCCATGTGGAAAAAACCGCAACGGTATAGAAAGTGAAGCAGGCAACTATCGGTCGTGGGTACACATGACCAATCGTGCTTGCTTCACTCCCGCACGATTTCCATCACATTTAGGGGTCTGTACACTCACAAACATGCTCTTCATACCAAATAAGTAATGCTCGTTCTGTCCGTCGGTAGCGCCAAACGCAAAAAAAACCGCACAGGCATAGAAAGTGAAGCAGGGAAATTTCGGTCGTGAGTTCCAGGGTCCTCGTTATCAGACCAAATTGGTCTGATAGTCTGAGTTTCTGACGTGATTTTTTTTATTCATCTGATTCCTAAGACAGTGTGTTTATTTTCATCTGATCCGTAAGACAAACGTTCTAGGTTCGTATGATTTTCCAGACCATGTAGAATACTTAATCTGAATTTACAGATATCGAGTTCGGTTTCGTCTGAAACCGACAGTTTGACCCACTAGGCCATATGCCCTGTAGACCATAGGATAGGACCACGGGTACAGGGATATTTGCTGCCCTGTAACTGCACGCGCATTCAATATGCGTATCTTATAGCAGCCTCGCTGTCATGTAACTGCGGCATTTGCTGTCATGAGTTTGTCGTGTGGCTGGGTGTCGGCGCCGACGCCAGTCACAGCCACGGCAAAGCGTTGTCACGTTGTGCCAGCGCATTTTCATTTCCTAGACGTCACGCGACATTGCACTGTGGTCGTGGTGCCCCCCGCTCCCATCACGCAGCGCCTTTCGGTTCTCACTGCACTGCACGATGACGGGGTTTCATGCAGCTGGGCGAGGCTTGACTGCTAAAAAAATTTCGTCTTATGAATCAGACTAGATAATTGTTTTCGGCTTATAATGCAGACCAGGAAAAATTCGTCATCCGAGCATAAGACGGGAAAAACGATCTCCCCTATACTGTCAGACAGCCCCAAAACCTAGCGAGAGCCCTGGTGGGTACCCATGACCAATCGTGCTTGCTTCACTCCTGCACCATTTCCATCACATTTAGGGGTCTGTGCACTAACAAACATGCTCTCCATACCAAATAAAAGCTGTTGGTAGCGCCAAACGCGGAAAAAACCGCACACGTATAGAAAGTGAAGCAGGCAACTTTCGGTCGTAGGTCCCATGACCAATCGTGCTTGCTTCACTCCCGCACCATTTCCATCATATTTAGGGGTCTGTGCACTCACAAACGTGGTCTTCATACAAAAAAAAAATGCTCGTTCTGGCCGTCGGTAGCGCCAAACGCGAAGAAATCCGCACCAGTCTAGGAAATGAAGAAGACAACTTTTGGTCACGGAAAAGCTGCACCGGATATAGAATTTGAAGCAGCAACTTTCGGAAATGTACGGTATCAGTACAGGAAACAGACCCAACATGTGAGATATCAGAATCATGTCCTCCCTGTTCCAAAGAATCGGCTAGCCCAAGGCGACATCCTTTCACCATTCCCTCTGCTCCTGTGGGTCGGTTGGCCAGTGCAGTGATCCCCCATGGCCTAGGCCTGGAAGAAAGACGATCCTGTCTTGATCCACTGCATGGTGCGGTTGGTGGGAGGAGCAGATAACGTGTGGAGAGCAAGCAGAAGCGAGAGGGGAGAGATGGGGGAATGAGAGAGACAGCATGAGGAGAGCAAGCAGCGCGCAGCATTGAAGCGAGTGGGAGAGACGAGTGGATTAGTGGGAGAGACGAGTGGATTAGTGGGAGAGACGGGGCTGGTGTGCCATGACACTGACAGCCAGTGGTGTGATGCAGTGTGTTACATTGCGATGTTGCATGACTCACTTGTGTAGGCCCACTTGACAGGGTCCAAAGCCAGCAGCAGGGGTGTATCCAGGTCCACCCACCTGCACCCACGAGAGGTTCACGCAGAGAGAGAGAAATGCACAGAGCCATGTGATAGAGGACGAAGGGGGTTGAAGGGGAAGAGGAGGGACACACACTTGGAAACAAAAAGTGCTCGCACATACAGTATCACATGGGGTTGCAGCAGTAGGGACATGCCTCTGTACGCAGCATGGTGATGAGCATGGAAGGGCGCCAAGCAGCAGCAGTGTCTACGAGAGGAGACATGTGATCAGACAACTGAAGAAACAGTTTCTGGAAAAGACTCACAGGAAACACCAGAGTCCAGGAGCCATGCGCGCAGCCATGGCAAGGTGGGTCTCCACCATGCCCCCCACCATCACCTGCAGCGGCTCTACGCTCCTCCCCTGTGCTGCATTCCCGCTCAGAACAGCAGCAACCACCCCTCTTCCCATCCTCTCCCACCTCGTTCCTCCTCTCGCGCCAGTGCCGCTTTTCCCTCTCGCCCCTTTCTCTCTCATCCCGTCCCTGCCCCACAGGAATTCTTGTGATTGTACCAAGGTCGTCTACCAAGGATTGTATGCGAGATGTGCCTTTACTCTTTGGGTGCACCGTGCATACGTGTGTGTGTGTGTGTGCGTGCGTGCATGCACAGCTGTGTCGCACGAGGCAGATGTAGAGCAGCTGCAGCAGCGAGGAGCGGACGAGCACGACGCCGACGCCCTCCCCAACGGGAGCTGTGCCGCACACAAACTCCGCGATTGCCACCGCCACTGGCGCCACACGCCCAAACCACCCGGCGGGAGGTGGCATCTGCTGCACCCGTGGGGAGGAGAAGATCTGCACCACCACGGTGCAGCGCGGGTGGGACTGCAAGTTGCGCACGTGCGCCCTGCCCACGGCAGGTTGCTGCCCAGGGCAGGGCGGAGAGCAGGGGTCCCGGCCATCACTGCGCGCGATGCAACGACTGGATAGACAGGAGGGGAGTGAGAGGAGCCGTTAGCGATGGGCTGGATTAGGCGAGTGGAGCACGCGAGAGACGGAACCGCGTTAGTACACCGTGACTAGCCAAGAAAGCGAGTTGCGCACAATAGTACTGTCGTTTCATCCGCCGCCGGCGCGGGCGGAGAGCGAGTGGGCCAAGTGAGGGAGCGAGTTGTGCACCAACGACTCAAAGGCAACAACTCAAATGCGAAGCGAGTGGGCCCATAGTACCGCCGATTCATCGGCCGCCGGCGCGGGCGGAGAGCGTTGAAGCCTAGAATTGGCGCCGTCCGCCTCTACACCTTTGCGCCCCCCTCTCCGTCGGTGCGCCCCCCGCCCGTGCGCCATGGCGTTCCCGTCGCTGCTGGCGCTCACGCTCGACGAGTTCCAAGCAACGTTCGCAGGCCCGTCGCACGCCGTCGCACCCATGCCCATGGACGACTTCCTGCGATCCGAGTGGCTCGCCAAAGAGTCGCACATGCACGCCGCCGCACACGCAGCAGGTTGCACGGATCCGCGCGCACCACAGGGCCGTGGAGATTTCGAAGGAAGAGCTTATAGGGGGGATGGAGGGAGTAGGGAGAGAGCACCCCCTCCGTTTTGCGGCACCTCGTCCCCACTCCATCCCCCGATCACCTCGCGCAGGTCTCTTTCCGCGAGCGGGTATGACTGCATCAGGGTGCGCGCCCACCCCGCCCCTGCAGCCACGCTCCCGCACTACCATCTCCCCCTCCGCGCCCGCCCCTGCACTCTCCGCTGCTGCCTCCGCGCTCCCCCTCCCCTCCCCCACGTGCGCCACGCGCGAGAACAGCTCCTCCGCCTGCCCCCATTCCCCCGCCTCCATCTGCGCCCGCGCCGCGGGGAGAAGCGGCCAGAAAGAGGGGGAGGGGGAGAAGGTGCAGGAAGGGAAGAGTGAAAATGAGGGGACGAGCAACGGATAAGGAGGGTGCGGGGACAGCAACGCGCCTGCCGCTCAAATTCCCTTTCCCCAATATTCTCCGCAGTGTCACGCAGCGCGCACCTGCCGCTCTGCCTCGTCCAAGATGTCAAGATATTCCGTTAAATCGCTCTCTACCGCTTCATTATCTCCGCCTTCGTCGTCCCCTGCGCCGCCCTCCTTCCCCGGCATTCCCCTCTAGCGCGCAACGAACAGATGCGCTATCCATGCGCGTGCGCTGGACTTTTCCGCCTCTCCGCCAGCTGCAACCTCCCCCTGCACCGCCACTCCGCACGTGCGCGTCACGATGCTTTCAGTGCGGGTCCCGAAAGTACAAATACATTTCGTTAGGTGATTAGTAACCACAATTTGCTTTTCGTCACTCGTCAACCCGTTCGTCTGGTCACAATTTGCTTTCGGGTTGCTGGGTTACGTACCTGAGGCGTGTTTGAACCGCGCAGTCACAAGTGTTGTTTTACGTAAAACTGGGTCTCGAAACTGCTTACATACTTTCAGGACCCGCCCTCACTCACGATGCTCGATGCTGCTGTCCCATCGCAACGCACGGCGCACTGATGCCATGGCGAGTTCGGGTGGACAACCAGCCATTGCCCGCTGCTCCGCGGGTGTTGCAGCATCCGCGCGTTCCAGACAAGAGGAGCCGCCTGGGTGAGCTCAATTGGTACAATCGAAGCCGTTCATCCATTCCTCGCATTTCGGAGCTCTGCGAGCCTTGAAGCTCGCAGCGTTTTTAACCAAGGGCTTGGCTATCGTGGTCGCGGGATAGTGGAGAGAGGGGGATCAGAAGCGTCGCCGTGTGTATCGCTGCCACTGATTCCGCTCTTGACACGCGTTACGCAGTTTTCGCACTGTACTTCTCGACAACTGATAGGGGGTTGGAGCATCGAGTGTAAGCGTCCGCTTTGTCTGAGCGTCGCTTTGCACTTTAATCTCTCTTGGCGTCCCACGGTCATCCTCCGCACGACCTTGGTTCCAACGGTGCTTGTTCCAGCGGTTTTAGTCCTCTAAATCTCTGCTGCGCGCTGGAAACGCTTAGCGGCAAACAACAGCAGACAGCAGGAGAGAGCAATAGAGAGCAACAGGCAGCAGCAGGGAGCAGCTGCATTCTCGCTCTGCCTCGTGCGTCGCCGCTGTTACCTTCGCGCCGTTCCGCGCTGTTTTCTCCGCGCCTTTTTCTCCGCGCCCATTCTTTCCGCGCGCCTCGCCGTCGCCTGCTCCAACGACGCGCGCGATGGGCGACGAGGGCTGCGACGACGCAGGAGCGTCGCTGCTGTCGCACGAGAGCGAGCCAGAGTGGGCGCAAGTGGCGGGCATGGCGAGCGACCTCGTCGTCACCAACTGCCAGCGCACCTTCCACGTGCACCAGTACCCGCTGTACGCGTTGCTAGCCTTCCACGTGCACCAGTACCCGCTGTACGCGTTGCTAGCCTTCCACGTGCACCAGTACCCGCTGTACGCGTTGCTAGCCTTCCACGTGCACCAGTACCCGCTGTACGCGTTGCTAGCCTTCCACGTGCACCAGTACCCGCTGTACGCGTTGCTAGCCTTCCACGTGCACCAGTACCCGCTGTACGCGTTCCTAGCCTTCCACGTGCACCAGTACCCGCTTGCTAGCCTTCCACGTGCACCAGTACCCGCTGTACGCGTTGCTAGCCTTCCACGTGCACCAGTACCCGCTGTACGCGTTGCTAGCCTTCCACGTGCACCAGTACCCGCTGTACGCGTTGCTAGCCTTCCACGTGCACCAGTACCCGCTGTACGCGTTGCTAGCCTTCCACGTGCACCAGTACCCGCTGTACGCGTTGCTAGCCTTCCACGTGCACCAGTACCCGCTGTACGCGTTGCTAGCCTTCCACGTGCACCAGTACCCGCTGTACGCGTTGCTAGCCTTCCACGTGCACCAGTACCCGCTGTACGCGTTGCTAGCCTTCCACGTGCACCAGTACCCGCTGTACGCGTTGCTAGCCTTCCACGTGCACCAGTACCCGCTGTACGCGTTGCTAGCCTTCCACGTGCACCAGTACCCGCTGTACGCGTTGCTAGCCTTCCACGTGCACCAGTACCCGCTGTACGCGTTGCTAGCCTTCCACGTGCACCAGTACCCGCTGTACGCGTTGCTAGCCTTCCACGTGCACCAGTACCCGCTGTACGCGTTGCTAGCCTTCCACGTGCACCAGTACCCGCTGTACGCGTTGCTAGCCTTCCACGTGCACCAGTACCCGCTGTACGCGTTGCTAGCCTTCCACGTGCACCAGTACCCGCTGTACGCGTTGCTAGCCTTCCACGTGCACCAGTACCCGCTGTACGCGTTGCTAGCCTTCCACGTGCACCAGTACCCGCTGTACGCGTTGCTAGCCTTCCACGTGCACCAGTACCCGCTGTACACGTTGCTAGCCTTCCACGTGCACCAGTACCCGCTGTACGCGTTGCTAGCCTTCCACGTGCACCAGTACCCGCTGTACGCGTTGCTAGCCTTCCACGTGCACCAGTACCCGCTGTACGCGTTGCTAGCCTTCCACGTGCACCAGTACCCGCTGTACGCGTTGCTAGCCTTCCACGTGCACCAGTACCCGCTGTACGCGTTGCTAGCCTTCCACGTGCACCAGTACCCGCTGTACGCGTTGCTAGCCTTCCACGTGCACCAGTACCCGCTGTACGCGTTGCTAGCCTTCCACGTGCACCAGTACCCGCTGTACGCGTTGCTAGCCTTCCACGTGCACCAGTACCCGCTGTACGCGTTGCTAGCCTTCCACGTGCACCAGTACCCGCTGTACGCGTTGCTAGCCTTCCACGTGCACCAGTACCCGCTGTACGCGTTGCTAGCCTTCCACGTGCACCAGTACCCGCTGTACGCGTTGCTAGCCTTCCACGTGCACCAGTACCCGCTGTACGCGTTCCTAGCCTTCCACGTGCACCAGTACCCGCTGTACGCGTTGCTAGCCTTCCACGTGCACCAGTACCCGCTGTACGCGTTGCTAGCCTTCCACGTGCACCAGTACCCGCTGTACGCGTTGCTAGCCTTCCACGTGCACCAGTACCCGCTGTACGCGTTCCTAGCCTTCCACGTGCACCAGTACCCGCTGTACGCGTTGCTAGCCTTCCACGTGCACCAGTACCCGCTGTACGCGTTCCTAGCCTTCCACGTGCACCAGTACCCGCTGTACGCGTTCCTAGCCTTCCACGTGCACCAGTACCCGCTGTACGCGTTGCTAGCCTTCCACGTGCACCAGTACCCGCTGTACGCGTTGCTAGCCTTCCACGTGCACCAGTACCCGCTGTACGCGTTGCTAGCCTTCCACGTGCACCAGTACCCACTGTACGCGTTACTAGCTTTCCACGTGCACCAGTACCCGCTGTACGCGTTGCTAGCCGTCATTCGTTTCACGTGCATCATTACCCAGTGTACATGTGTATGTGAGTTTGTGATGTGCAGGCGCTGAAGACAGGGTCACAAGGGTGGATGGATGAGATCAGCTGCCTCAAGGCACAGCTGCAGCAGGCCCTGTGGCCTGTGAGGTAATGCTCTTGTCTCTCGCCTCGCCTGTATTCGCTCTTGCTTTCCCTGCACTGCAACCCCATCTCAACCCAATTCAACCCAACTCATGTCATCCAGTGCACATTTGACACCGTCCCTCTCTTGTGGTATCGGTTCCCGCAACACACGTACCTATCTGCATGGAAGCCCATTCGCACCCACCCACCCATTCCCACCTATTCCCACCCACCCATTCCCACCTATTCCCACCCACCCTTTTGCACCAACTAATTCACACCCACCCCCACGCGGGGGGCGGCAAGTGGCGGAATAGGCAGCAATGCGTGGAGAGAGAAGCGGGGGAGCCGGCGGGGGCGAGGGGGAAGTGGGGGGGCAACCGGGGGGCAGGGGGAAGGCGGAGGGGGAGGAGACGGGGTGCTAGCAGCGGCGCGGATGGGCGGCTAAAGAACGTGGGGGCGAATGGGAGCAGTGCTGACGTGGCACATAATTGAAAAGCTAGAGCAGCAGCAGCAGGGAGGGCGTTGGACGAGCATGCGAGGGAAGCAGGGCAGGCAGAGGTGGCACCCTCACAGCGCCACAGCAACCAGCTTCGCCATCTGAGCTTCACACTGTGACAGAGAGGGCGCCTGGAGGCGATATCTCTGTGCCTGAAACACAACTATGTGAAGCAAGCATGGCAACTCGAGGTGAATGCACGCCGTTGCCAGGTAAAGTGGACGAGGGGAGTGGGGAGGGCACGGTGGGGAGGGGGCAGGTGGGCGGAGGGCGCAGCGCAGTGGAGAAGGGGAGGTGGGGAGGGGAGGGAGCAGAGGGGAGAAGCGAAGGTTGGGGAGGGGAGGGCGAAGTGTGGAGAAGTGAAGGTGGGGAGGGAAGGGCACTGTGGGGAGGGGGGAAGGTGGGGAGGGGAGGGCGCAGTGGAGAGGGGGGAAGGTATGGTATGCCGCGTCGGACATGGGTGCATGCTTGCCCTCGCCCCCACACCTCTCCGCTTTTCATGCTCACTCACTCACCCCCCGCCGACCCCCTCCTCTCCTCCCCGCCGAGCCAACCACCTCTTTTCGTCACCTTCCCCCCTTCCTGCCCTCCACACCCTCTCTGCCCGCCTCTCTCCTGCCCGCTTCCCCCCCCCCCTACCTTCCCTTCTCTATCCGCCCTATCGACAGCCCTTGACCCCCCCACTCTCCCCCCACTCTGGCGCTCACCAGAGTGGCAGCAGCGCGCACAAGGTGCGGCGTGCCATGGGGCTTGTGCAAGCACGGCAAGCCGGGAGCATCCCCTTGTAGGCATGTGATTGTGTGATCATTCATTGCCATATGTGCAGAGAACAACGCAGTGGGTCTCAACTTTCTTCGCCCTCTCCGCTTTTTGTGATCACTCACTCCCTCTTCTCCTTCCTGTTGACCCCCACTTTCCGTCAGAGAAGGGGAATGTGGGAGGGTGCGACGCGGAGGGCGGCGAGGAAACGATTCTGCATGGCTTCATGGATCATCCGCCGCAGATCGGCGGTCATCTGGACGCGATCATGGCGGCGCCAGATGCGGCGGTTCACCCGCAGGAGGCGCAGCCGTCGCTCACGGAGCACGTCAGCAGCAGCGCAGGGGCGAGCGCCAGAGGCTGCTCCGCGCAGCACAACAATGCACGCGACGACGGCGCAGGACCCGGCTCACGGTCCCCCCGCCCAACACCCCGCATGTCTCGGCACACGAGCGTCAAACGGGGTCGTGGGACGACGTCAGCAGCAGCAGTAGCATGGATAGCTCCACTGCCGCCGCAGCTGCAGCCGCAGCCGCCGCAGCCGCAGCGCTCGCGGTCAACTCGCGAAGCGCAAGTTGGGGAAGGACGAGGGTGGCGTGTGCGGGTAACGCGGGGAACCGTGAGCAGGCGGCGATCAGCAGCCGGTCCGCGTCAGAGGCGCAGTGGCAAGGAAATGGACAGATGCAGGAGTGCCGGGCGCTGTCGCTGCCACACCACGGGCAACCAGCAACGGCCCTGCGGTGGTCAGCAGGCAGCAGCTGCAGCAGTGCGCATGCAAGCCCCTTCTCTCGCTTCCTGCCACCTGCGTCGCCGCTCCTGGCTCTGCGTCTTTCTTTGAGGTTTGGAATGAAGCGCACGGATGATGGTTACACTGACGGTGCTGGTAACCACGCAGCAGGCAACGGCAGTCATGGTTATGACAGCGGCAACGGGTGTGAGGATGGAGGCGTGCGTTACGATGACATGGGCGGGGATGACATGGCTGAAGATGACATGGCTGGAGATGACATGGCTGGAGATGACATGACTGGAGATGACATGGCTGGAGATGACATGGCTGGAGATGACATGGCTGGAGATCACATGGCTGGAGATGACATGCTGGAGATGACATGGCTGGAGATGACATGGCTGGAGATGACATGGCTGGAGATGACATGCTGGAGATGACATGCTGGAGATGACATGGCTGGAGATGACATGCTGGAGATGACATGGGCGGGGATGACGCGGGCGACTGGATGCCGTGCAGCCGTGGGCTCAAGGACGGGCAGGTGGCGGGCGGGCGCATCAAGGCGCGGAGCATGGCGGAGAGGCAGAGGCGGGAGAGGATTAGTGAGGGGCTGCAGAAGCTGCGGATGGCAGGCACTGCAGAGGCAAAGTGACATCGCTGGAAACAAACACGGTGCTGCACCAGGCGTCCTGTGGGGCCCTTGGTCAGGCTGGGGCCTTCCTGGGTGGTACTGATGGAGCAAATTCCAATAACAGGAGCCGCCATGCTAATGGCTTCATCAACCCCTGAATAGTGCCGAGTTGGATTGGCTTCGAGGAGCCATAGAAACTACTGTAAGCAGTTTTTGAGTCGACTCAAAAGTCAGCAAGTTGGATTAGTCAGCTTCGAGGAGCCGCATGAAACGACCGTAAGCGGTTTTTATCTGGTACTGGCACGTACCAAGTTATCTACAGTAGTGGAGTGGGTAGCCTTTGAACATGTGTAGGTGACTATTGCTTAGGATAGGATATGTTTTGCATACGTTCTTGCATGCACATGTGGCACTGTGAGCCTCACTAGTAAGTCCCTACGTGACTGCACGTGATCCAGACTCTTAAACATGTTTCACACTGTTCATTCAACCCTCCTGGCATACAAATGACAATGCTTCGGTCTGAGGACCCGGGACTTTTGCAGGGGGGTTTATTCATTTGGGAGATTGAGTTCTCTTGGGTTCCCTTCCACTGGTACAGCTACAGCTACAGCTACTGCTGCTGCATCCGCTCTAGCATCTCCAGAGCAGCAGGCGGAACCACCTTCTGTCCGCCCTTCTCAGCCATGCCGCTCGAAGCCATGTCCTCTAGAATGTCAAACGCGGCACACCAGGCTGCCTCCAGGTCCCCAAACCACTCCTCTCCAAAAGCCCTCTGCAGTGCCTTCATGAAGCCAGTGCGGAAGATCTGTGAAGGGAGGAGTGTGGGGGAGCGAGAGGAGTTGAACTTGATTGAGCTGGGCGGCACACCACGCGGCTTCAAAGTCCCCAAACCACTCCAAATGCTCTCTACAGTGCCTTCATGAAGCCAGTGCGGAAGATCTGTTGAGAGAAAGGTTTGGGGGACGCATGGAAGGAGTGTGGGGGAGAGGGAGGAGGAGGAGGACTCAAGCATGGCAGAAACCCAAGTTGCCAAGTGATTGCTGCCCTAACCACTCCCCTCCCAACCACTCTACCATCCACCACCCACCACCCACCACCCACCACCCACCACCCACCACCCACCACCCACCATCCACCCACACACCGGCGTCATCCCCATCAATGCCATAGTTGAGGTGCCTGCCACCCAGCGCCTTGTGTGTACCCCTGCCAACTGACTTCCCCACTCACAACCACCCACACCCCCACAACCACCCACACCCACTCACACCCACCCACACACCGGGAAGTCGTCCCCATCAATGCCGTAGTTGAAGTGTCTGCCACCCAAAGCCTTGAAGGACGTTTGCTTGTGTGCTCCTACCGTCGCCACTCACATCCCACCCACACCCACACCCACCCACACCCACCCACACCCACCCACACCCACCCACACCCACCCACACCCACACCCACCCACACCCACCCACACCCACACCCACCCACACCCACCCACACCCACCCACACCCACACCCACCCACACCCACCCACACCCACACCCACCCACACCCACCCACACCCACCCACGCCCACCCACGCCCACCCACACCCACTCACACCCACCCACACCCACCCACACCCACCCACACCCACCCACACCCACCCACGCCCACCCACGCCCACCCACACCCACCCACGCCCACCCACACCCACCCACACCCACTCACACCCACCCACACACCGGGAAGTCGTCCCCATCAATGCCGTAGTTGAGGTGCCTGCCACCCAAAGCCTTGAAGAAGGGCGTTTGTTTGGCCACCCGCTCCGGGTCATCCCAGTTGCTGAAGGCCTCGCACATCTGAGAATGGGGAGAAAGGGCGAGGGGAGGGTGCATACACGGGTATGCGTGGGCATGTGTGAATGAGAGGGACGGGGCGTGGGCATAAGTGGAGAAGGGCGTTTGCTTGGCCACTCGCTCTGGGTCGTCCCACGAGCTGAAGGCCTCGCACATCTGGAGCGGAGAGGGCGAGGGAAGGGTGCATGCACAGGTATGTGTGAATGAGGGGGAAGGGGCGTGGGCATGGGTGAAGAAGGGCGTTTGCTTGACAACTCGCTCCGGGTCGTCTCAACATTCTTCACCCACCGTCTCATTCCCACCATCCCACACCCCAATCCGAGCTTCCTTCCCCGCCACCCCATTCCCCCCCCCACCACCCACCATGGTGAACGCGAGTGTGGCGTGCGCCTCGAGGCGATTCCCTGCTTACAGTCATCCTCGAGCATTTACAAAATTACTGCCAGCATTCCCCGTCCCTCCCACCACTCCATTCGCCCCATCTTCCCATCACCCCCACCCACCATGGTGAATGCGAGCGTGGCGTGCGCCTCGAGGCGCGGGTTGACGGGCGCAGGCTCGCTCGATTCGCGCACCATGGAGAAGAGCGGCTTGGCCTCGGGGCAGATGTCGAATATGCTGACGTGGCGGGGGGGGTGGGGAATGAGTCAGAGCGAGACAATGCGAGTCAACGCGAGTCACCACAAGTAGTGCAAGGCAGCGTGACACACACGAGTCAACGCGAGTCAAAGCGGTGCACTCACGTGAGGTACATGATGAGCGCGTGCTGCTTCCTGTCCTTCTCGATGCGCGCGTACGATTCACGAATCAGCGCCGCTTGTTCCGGCAGCAGCACTTCTTGCCGCTTCGGTACGCCTCCGTAACTCGCGGCGTCTGTTGCGGCGCCAGTCGCGGGGGCGGTGCCGGTTGGAATGGGCGGTCCCGCGAAATCCTCGTCGCTTCCCACGTGGCCGAAGAGGATATTCGAGGGAATCTCGCTGCCCCCGCCGTACATCCTCGCGACTCGGCGATTGCGATTCCCCAAGAGATTAGGATGCAGAAAATATATATAAAATACTTATATACTATCCCTCACAACATAAAAATTGCGAAACGCAGTTGTTTTCGCGAATTGCTGGAAGCAGTTTCGCCTTCGCCAGCTGGCTTACGAGCGCAGCTCGCCGCCCCGCAGCGCCCAAAAGTACTTGCAGCCCAGCCGCTGCTCCGCGTTGCGGTATTTCCCTGCCTATTCAGGCTGCTAATTCAGCCCGCGGGACTCTGCAGCAGGCAAGCTGACCCCTTCCTATTCCGGCGCGCTTCCAATGGTGTCACTGCTGCTGTCAGCTGGCTGGCAGTTGCTGGGACGTTGCTCACGTCTACGTTAGTTGCCTACGTAAATTGCCTACGTCAGCCTTACGTCAGTTGCTCACGTCAGTCGTTACTCGGCAGGCTGACTCCCTAGAAGCGTGATTGGTCGACTGGAGAACCCTTTGGCTGGTGACGAGGCACGGCGCCACAATTTGCGCTTCGTATTTGAGCCCAATGCCGCCGTCTCTCGTATGTACAATGCTTGCGCCGTTTGTGAGGGCGTGTATACTAGGAAGGTGAGAAAACTGAAGGCTGTGGAAATAAAGACCAAGAGAGGCGAAGGCGAGATGTAAATAGGCCGCGTCTCGGCGGGGAGGATGACGGTAGACGAAAGCTGGTTCGCAGTTCAACTTAGCGGCCAATATGTTCGGAAACACCGCTTCCGAAAGCACAGCATCGTACCCAACCACTTTATTGTTAATCAACAAAGCTCGTGATAGTGAACAGTGTTGGCCAGCAACCACGATTCCGTCGTGCTGGATGATTGAGGGATGATATTGAACCCGGTTACAATGGTGATAATAATCGTGGAAGCTCGTCAATGTCCACGATGCGAGGGCCAGTCTATGGAGTGCGAAAAGGAGGGCGAGCAATTTGGGTTGGTCGCAATTGGCGACACATTCGCGTGAGGTCGACGTGGAACGGTCGCTTGCTAGGCTGTACATCGGCCGCGCCTGCCTGCTATTCGCTATAATTTCCAGCATCGTGCCAGCAGATGACACGTCCTCGCGTTTTCGCGCAATGTCGAGTAAATGGCAAAAACGCAAGTGTAAATATCACTACCTTTTTTAGATAAACACAGCCTAGGAAAAAAGGTTTACATAAAAGAAATCAGGTAGCAAAGCAGTTCAGCAAGAATAACGTCAATCCTGTAAAGAGCAATAAAAGAGTCCTAACTATGCCTGGCCCCTAAGCTGGCAACACCTGCTTCAGAATGCCATTAGCGCGGTTGCTGCTGTTGTTGTCTCCACTGCTGCTGCTGATGCTGCTGCATTTGCTGTTGGTGCAGCTGCTGCTGATGCATTTGTTGCTGGTGCATAAACTGTTGCTGCTGCTGCTGCTGCTGCTGCTGCTGCTGCTGTTGCTGCTGGTGCTGAAACTGCTGCTGTTGCTGCTGCTGCACTTGTTGCTGCTGCTGATACTGCTGTTGATGTTGTTGCATGTAGGGAGTATTGATCGGAGGCGGCGGTTGAACACCAGGCCCAACCACCTCTCGTCGCCCCCCTCCAAGCACACCCCCCCCACCACCCCCACCACCCCCACCCCCTCCCATCCCACCGCTCCCAGCAGCATTACCACCACCATTACCACCACCTGCACCTGCTTGTACTCCAGTCATTTCCTTCACAGCTACTCCCATCCCTCCCCCGTTTACCCCCACAGCACCCACCGCATACGGCACCCCCCCACCCCCAACCGGGCCCCCCATTTGCCCCATGCCAAATCCCGGCCCTGCTACCGTACCTGCTGGCCGTACCATGTTCCCTCCCCCATACCCATACCCCATACCTGCCGGCACAACCATACCGCGGTTCACAACCATGCCTGGGTTTGGGCCTGGCACCATGCCTGGCGAAAAGGCTGGGCCCGAACCTGCTCCCGGACCTGGTCTCACCGAACCACCAATACCTGCAACGGAAATTGCTCCTGGACCCATGATGCCATCCCTCTGCAGGTTTGGTGGAAAGCCTTGTCCTACTCCCCTTCCTGCTGCCCCAACCAACCCCGAACCTCCCGCTAAAGCTCCAGTTCCCGCTGCTGCTGCCGAACCAGTCATTCCCATGCCTACCCCTCCAGGAGAGCCTACTGAACCTGGAGGTTGGACCAGTCCGTATGGAACCGGACCAGGGGCAGATCCGGGAACAGGTCCGGGAATAGGTACCGGAACATGCCCCGGAACAGGTCCGGGCATTGGCATGACTCCCCGGCCATGCATGGCCATCATTCCCACAGCAGCATGTGCTCTCCACACGTTCAGCGGATGGGGAGGGCCAAGAGTAGGAATCTGCTGGAATTGCATGGGTAAACCACCTGTGTGCATACTGCCCGGAAAACTGCCTGGTGGAAACCCCGCCCCTGGAAACCCTGGCTGAATCAACCCTGCCGAACCAGCGCCCACCAAGCCTGGAGATTGTCCCGGGCCGTGGACAGACGCGTTTGGTGCCGGACCTGGCGCCGGACCTCCAGGCATGGCAGGTCCCGCCCCACCCGGGCCTCCGCGCCCGGTTCGGTTGCCAGCAGCAGCAGCATTCGCGGGCGCAGAGGGCGAGAGGGAGGGGAACTCCGAAGCATAGGTAACGACAGGGGCGTATATGGGTTGCATGCCGTACGGATTGGGCGCCTGCGCGCCAAAGCCTGGGTCGAACCTCTGTGAGAACCGATCATAACCGCGCTGGTAGTCCGGGTCTTGCTTCTCCTTCTCCCTATCTCGCAGAATAGCAACGTTCCTCGCTTTTCGCCCGCCTGAAGAGCTCTTGGTTAGCCCTTGCTTATCCGCGCCAACCTTTTCCTCCCCGCCACTTCCCCCGCCACTGCCCTTTCCCTTCCCGCTTCCCTTCCCCCCTGCCTCCGCGCCTGCCTTCGCCCCTGTCTTTCCGCCTGCCTCCGCACCTGCCTTCCCCCCTGCCTTCCCCTCTTTCTCCTGCTTCCCCCCCACTTCGCCCTTTCCGCCTGCCCCTTCCGCGCTGCCCGTGCTCTCTTCGCTGTCCACAGCATCCACTTGGGCAGTGTTGAAAATTCTTGCTCGCGCCCGGTTATACATCTCCTTTCGCTCCTCCACGGATCGGATCACTCCCGCGCCATCCGCCCCGTCCGCGGAACTTCCGCCCATTCCCCCTTCTCCATCCCCCGCAGCCCCTCCTCTTCCCCCGCTCGGCCTCCGCCTTATTGCCAGCTTAAACCCCCCAGGGCCAGGCGCAGCTTCCGCGCCCGCCCCGCCGCCGTTCACGGCGCCGGCGCCGGCAGCGCCGCCGCTACCGCTGCCGCTAGTCGGGCCGAGAGGGAGATCGACGAGGCGGACGGGCGGTGGGCGAAGCTCGCCAATCTTTCGCGCGATGACGACAGTGCACTCGCCACCGCTTGGCGTGACGGAATCTGCGGCGGACGTCTGTAGCGAGTAGTGCTGCGCGACGCGGTGCGCGGCGGCGCGATGGTACGACGACGCCATTGGCTGGAACTCCATGACCTGAAGGCTCGGGTTCCGGATAAACCGCTCCACGTCCTGCTCCATGCGGAGAACTGGCGCGCGGGAATTGGGGAGGGGAGAGTGGGGGGGGAGGTTGAAGCGGGGACAAGACGGAACTTGAGGTACCTCAAAGCGGACTTTGAGGCTCGGGTTCCGGATAAACCGTTCCACGTCTTGCTCCATGCGGAGAACTGGCGCGGGGGGGATTAGGGGGGTTGGGGGAGAGGAGGGGCGGGGAGGGGAAGGGGAACGGGGGAAAAACGCGAGGTGGAGAAAGAGAGTCGTTGACCATTGGAGGAAGAGGAAAAAAGTTATCTATGCGCTTTGAAAAGAAAAACCTGAGGCTGGGGTTGCGGATAAACCGCTCCACGTCGCCCTTCAGAATTCTTGAAAGCAACCCCATGCAGGAAACTGGTGTCCGGCGAAACGAGAGCATGAATGATACAAGCGAACAAACTTCTGAAAAGGAAACAAAAAGTGCAGTCGCACATATCTAGAAGGCAATAAAAAGAAGTGCCAACGTCACAGTCGAACGTACTCGTGAGTCGGTCGCGAGGGTTCGCAAGAGCCTCCCTGAGAAAGCTGTCGACGAGCTCCAACCGTTTGTCGATCACTTGCGGCTGACCCGCCGGTTGATTCGTCGCCGGAAGCCCGGGTTGCTGGCTCGACAGGTGATTGCCCTCCCTCGCTTGCTCCTGCTCGTCGCCGGTGCCGGTCCCATTGGAGCTGTCAATGAAGCTGTTGTTCCCGCCAGTAGCGCCGTTTGTTACAATCACGGGCTTGACTATCTGCAGTTGCTTCAATCGCTCCTCGAGATCGTCCGACTCCCACGAGTCTGGAGCTGCTTGCTCTTGACCGTTGGATTCAGTAGCGGATGCCGATGCTGCTGGTAACGAGGATGGCGGTGTAGATGAAGATGGCAATGGGGAAGCTGCTGCGGTGGAAAGTGAAGGTGAGGAGGATGCGGATGATGCTGATGGTAATGACGCTGGTGACGCAGATCCAGCCGCTGCTGCCGTCGCCATGACTGTTTGCAGTATAATTCGTGCCACGCCCTTTTATTGTAACGTACGATGTAGAAACGGTTACGATACGCTCTTGCTCCGGTCCCCCTTGTAAACCACTGGAACGCCTCAGAATTGAACCGAAATTGAACCGATCTGCTGCCACGAGATTACCAGTCAAGCGACCTTAGGAAACAAACCGAAAAGCCTTGAGACCACGGCACGAGCAATATTCAGCTTAAGAAAAATCCATGAAACTGGCAAACCTCACGGCGAATCCTCCATCCCTGAGGCAGAAGCCTGATTCTTTCCTGCTCCTGCTCCGCATAGCTTCTTAACCTTTCCTCCATAAATCGCATTCCTGACACTCCAGAGCATAAAACTTGCATCAGCGAGGCTTGCGGCCCTTAACGAGAGCCCAGGGCCGTCCGATCTGACAACTACGTTGATCAACGGATGAACCCTGCACGGTGAACATAGATCAAGAAGACGCTTCTACATACAGAGTATTCTAGGTTCCAGGAGTAAGCAAAAAGCAACGGATAACAAAAAGCTCCAGCCGTAATGAATCTCAGACAGGTTCGCAATGGTTCGATGCGGTGAAACAGGCAAACCGCTTTGTAACTTTCAGCATCGTATTCAACCGAACTTTGAGCCTGAAGTGTCACCCCCTCGTTGCAGTTTTTGTGTATGCTATACCGCTTCGAAGGGGTTGTGCGTGGTGGAGTTCCCAGGGACTGGCGGGACCAAAAAGAGAGTCGGCGGAAGGTGACGTGGCTGGCAGGAGCGGAGCTTCCGAGGTTCCGAAAGAAATACGTGTGTTAGTACACTCAATTTTGATATGATCTCACAGATATTTTACAGCAATGCACAAAAAAATAGAAGCATTGTTATGGTCATAGAGACAGCCTGACCAATTCCTTCACCATCGCTCTCTGCTGAACAGCAGAAAGGAACTCGGAATTTTGAGCTGCATTTGCAACAAGAATGGTGTTCTTTATTGTGTCTCCCTTCACCAGCAAAGCACACCAGCACAGCACAACAGAAGCAATCAGAACGAACCACCCCCCGAAAAAAAAATGCAACAACAATGACAGTGCCATAGGCCACGCAACTCACCCATACTCTTCCATTGAGGCCCACAGCAATTTCAAAGGCCAAACCAGCAGCGTCAAGTGCCTTCAATACCGGGGCTGTTGGTGTTGCCAAGAGGCTGGGAACAAAACAAACCACAAACACAAATGGGAACAACTGGGGTCAACTGGAATATGATGCATGGATGCATGGAGACATGGGTGCTTGGTTCGGATGGCATGAACGCATGGAGGCATGCATGGATGCATGGGTGCATAGGCACCTGGATGCATGGAGCCATAGATACATGGATGCATGGACACATGGATGCATGGTGGCATGAATGGCTCACAGGCGAGCGAGGGCAGTGGAGCAGTCAAAGAGGTGGCCGCCCACTAGTGGCCCGAACTCTGCTGCCTTGCCACTTGCTGAGAGATGGAAGGGCGGTAGCGAGAGAGAGACAAAGGGGAAGAGGTAGAGGAGGGGGAGAAAAGGGGGAAGGAGGAAACGGGGATGAGTGGAAGGAGGTTTAAGTTGCAGAAAAGGCAGGCCACTAGAGGACCTCACACCTCCCATCACCCACCATTCACCATCCACAAATGAACGCTCCGGGTCCCACCCACCAACACCACTCAGCACCACTGAGCACCACTCACCATCGACGCATGAGAGCTCAGGGTCGGCATCCCTGTGGGTCTTGACCACTCGGGTGTACACTGCCTGCCCTATCTGCGTGTACACACATGCACAAGTATGCACACACATGCCAAGACATGCATGCACATGCCCATATGCACACACATGTGAAGGCATGCACACATGCGCACACTTGTGAAGGTATCCGTGCATGCACATGCACCATTACTCCACCTATCTTCCTTCTCAATGGAGAGATAACCCTCCCAGCTTCAAAATACAGCCCAAATCCCTGAACCCTCTAGCTGAACCAGCAAGTTGGGCCGAACCATAACAGCAGGTTGGTTCGGACCGTACCTGCAGGTTGGGTCGGTTTCGTCTGGTGGCGCCCTCAAACGCGAGTGCAGGCAGGATGGCGAGGCCGGGGCCCTTGATGTCCACGTCTAGGTTCTGGTGGGGAGAGGCGGAGGGGGAGGAAGAGGGCATGTGGGAGAGGAGGGGACATGTATGGGTGGGGATTGTTTTGTGTGTGTGTGTTGAGTGCTGGCAGGATGGCGAGGCCCGGGCCCTTGATGTCCACGTCTAGGTTCTGGTGGGGAGAGGCGGAGGGGGTTTGTTGTGTGTGGGGGGTGGACGGGGAGAGAGGGGAAAAAGAGTCTGTTGAGAGCTGGCAGGATGGCGAGGCGAGGCACAGGCCCTTGATGTCCACGTCTAGGTTCTAAGGGGGCGAGAAGCAGGGGACATGGGAAGGGGAATGTTGTGTGTGGTGCGTGGTGGTGATTTGTAGTTCCATATGAGATGAAAAGGAAGCGGTGAACGGAGAGCAGAGCAGCATACCTCCATGTGCTTCCTATGGAGCAGCATACCTCCATGTGCTTCCTATGGAGCAGCATACCTCCATGTGCTTCCTATGGAGCAGCATACCTCCATGTGCTTCCTATGGAGCAGCATACCTCCATGTGCTTCCTATGGAGCAGCATACCTCCATGTGCTTCCTATGGAGCAGCATACCTCCATGTGCTTCCTATGGAGCAGCATACCTCCATGTGCTTCCTATGGAGCAGCATACCTCCATGTGCTTCCTATGGAGCAGCATACCTCCATGTGCTTCCTATGGAGCAGCATACCTCCATGTGCTTCCTATGGAGCAGCATACCTCCATGTGCTTCCTATGGAGCAGCATACCTCCATGTGCTTCCTATGGAGCAGCATACCTCAATGTGCTTCCTATGGAGCAGCATACCTCCATGTGCTTCCTATGGAGCAGCATACCTCCATGTGCTTCCTATGGAGCAGCATACCTCCATGTGCTTCCTATGGAGCAGCATACCTCCATGTGCTTCCTATGGAGCAGCATACCTCCATGTGCTTCCTATGGAGCAGCATACCTCCATGTGCTTCCTATGGAGCAGCATACCTCCATGTGCTTCCTATGGAGCAGCATACCTCCATGTGCTTATCGATCACGATTCCAATAACTGCCTCCTCCACTGCAGGCGTGTACTGATGGTGAGGAGAGGAGGGACATAAAGAAGTGGCATAGAGAGGAGTTACATTGGTGCCATTGGGTAGTACGTTGGGCCGTGAAGAGCAGGGCACAGAGATGCACGTGCACAGTGGGGCATTTACAGCAGTTGTAGCATGCACGGGGGAAGTAAAGGAAGGGGAATTGAGGAGGGGGGGGGGGGGGGGGGGGGGGGAAGAAGGGGGTTGGGGGGAACAAGACGGTTGACATGCAGGCCAGGAGGCAGATCAAAACGGCATGTGGAAGAATTGGAACGAGACTTAATTTGCTGCTTGAATTCCTTCTCCCACGCACTAATGCTACATCCCCACACACATGCCACTCACGCGCTTCACACTGCAGTCCACCCACAGCTTCCTCTTTCCCACGTGCAGCCCCAATCACACGCACATGCAACTCACTCACTCACTCACTCACTCCCTCACTGGAACCCCACACCTTACACCATCTCACTCACGCGCTTGACACTGCAGTCAACCCACAGCTTTCTCTTCCCTGCTGGCTTCAGTCGCCCCGCTCTCATGCCCACCACCATGTCGCCCTCCTGCTCCCCGGGCAAGGACACGGGGGGGAGACGGGTATTATGTAGGAGATGGAAGCGTAGATGAGTGGGTAGGCGGGTGGCTCGGGGGGAGGTGCGGGCTTCAGCCGCCCCGCCCCGCTCGCATGCCCACCACCATGTCGCTGTCGCCCTCCTGCTTCCCAGGCAAGGAGGGGTATTATGTGGGAGATGGAAGGGTGGGTGCGTGGGTGGGAAGGTGGGAGGCACGGGGAAACCGCGGGCTTCAGTCGCCCCGCTCGCATGGCCACCACCATGTCGCCCTCCTGCTCCACCAGATAGACAGGACAAGGACATGGGTGTTATGTAGAGGGGGGAGGGTGGGTGGGAGGGAGGGTGGGTGGGGAGCACGTGGGTGGGGAGCACGTGGGAGGGGAGCCCGTGGGTGGGGAGCACGTGGGTGGGGAGCACGTGGGTGGGGAGCACGTGGGTGGGGAGCACGTGGGTGGGGAGCACGTGGGTGGGGAGCACGTGGGTGGGGAGAGAGAGCAGGCGCTCAAGTACTGCGAAGTGAAGAGCAACAAGCAGCGGGGAAGAGGGACCTGCGTGAGACCATACGTCAAAGCGTGGTGACTCCAGCGCTTTATGAAACAATGAGTCCAGCGCACCTGTCGGAGTCCTGGACCGATTCTGAGCACGGACGACGTGACCTGCTTCAGATCCACCGCTACGTCCCCAGGCACCTGCGAGAGAGCCCAGGACACAGGATACGGCGGTAGCCCTAATTCAGAGGCCATGACGAAATGCAAAATGATTTCACGAAACGGTGGCACAGAAGAGTCCCGAATGAGGTTAAGGATATATTACACTAGCCCGGTAACGCACCATGATTTGGCCTACAAACGGGGATAATGTGCCGGCCTTTGCGTCGGGCTGTCCATCTGCGGAGCCGCCTACGTCAGCGTCGTCGTGGATCGCTCTCTCTCGATCGTCTACGAAACGGGAATCACGCGCTGTAACGGGGAGCTTTCGCGCGGTACTTGCACTAGCTCGTTACGCAAGCGACACGAGATTCGCAGTTAGCGACAAATGGTATTAACTCTCCTTGCACTAACTCGTTACGCTCAGGCTTCTGCTGTTGAGAATGAGGGTTCTATGCTCGGGACTATGCGACACGAGATGTTGGCTTGGCGGCAATACATTCGCCCCCTAGGGAATAGTGAGTGAATGAAATGCAGGAGAAAACAAATGTTTGACGTGATATTTTATTATACTTGGCAAATGTGTTTCATGCTCGAGATAGTGTATAACGAGTACGAGGCCTTGTCCGAAACGAGATGTTCCCCCCCCGCCCGGTTTTCCGAACATTACTTTCAGCAGCCCGTTCTCTACCGCGTCGAAACGTACTGAACCGTAAATGACGTTACGGCGACCAAAAGTGTGAAACCAGACTCAGCCAGGCTGGGAATTGCCGAGCCTAGCTTAGTCAGACTTGATCAGTGATCATCCCGAACTTGAGACCGAGCCTAAAGAGGCTTGTTTTACCTGAGTGAGGATGGAGAAGCTAAGTACAGTAGCATATTGGATGCTCTTATGACGCGAATATCCTCCTGATATCACATCTGTTCTGCTTTCGCATCACACAAGTCAGCATAGATTCCTCCTTACCTCCTCTCGAGTTATCTCACAGCAGCAACTTCGAAACGGTCAGCCACGCACGCTCGGCTTGTCGCGTCATATTGACCGTACTTCCGAAGCAGGTCGCCCGTGGTCAATGTAATATTCCTCGAAGCTCTATAGGGTTTTCTTACCAGCGAACCGGCAAATGACCTCGCTGAGTCGGGCAAGCTACGGTCTTGCTCAGCGGAGTTGAAGCGAGGAGCTCGAAGCAGATTATACTCATGGCGCCAAGAGGCTTACGATGCTAAGAAGAGGCGGCAAGAGCGCGATTCTTAGAACAAAATCCCAAGAGCGCGGCCCTTAGAACGGACTTCCTGCACCGTGTGACGAATCCTGGCCGTCGCAGTTTGTTCGCCTGCTGACGGTTGCGATCCGAGGTTGTTCGTGTCGTGCGACCGCAACGCGTAGCTACTTCTAGCGGCGTGATCGGTGTCCTTAGATTAGGAAAAATGGGAGCGGAATCCAACGAACGGTTAGCAAGTGCGCTAAGTGAGGAAGAGATTCCTGAGGAAGACAGAAACGCTTTCAAAGCCCACGCGGAATTTCTCGCGGTACGTCATTGCTGTGTTCGATGTACATGGGCCCATGTCTGCTTATGGCTTATGTACGCTCACTGTGCTCATCCCATGATTGGTGGATATGGCTTGTTTCCTTACCAGCAGGCTAGGCTTCCAGGTAACCAACCTGTTCGCAGTTGCTTGCCATGCTTCTTGTTGTTTATCCGTGTCTTTTGTGCAAGCGCAGAGACGACACCATCAGCAGCGGTCGACTTGGAGGCAAATAGTCACATGGGTGAACGGCAAGATTACATTGTACAATGTGACCTTTGGCCTCTACATCCTGGATTGGTGGGAGGTCCTCCTAGTCAGTATCCTCTCAGCGTTCAAGCAGCCCTTTCAACCCACTCGAACCCACTCGAACCTCTCTCCTCAATCCTGTACCCCTTCTTTGCATCCCTGTCTTGCATTGCATCATGCCTTTCCTTAATTAACGCTTTCGTTTTGTCACCCCAACTTCTAGCAAATCCTGCCTCTCCAGCCCCCTTTCTCTTGCACACTCTTGCCTCTAACTTTTCTCTCTTCCCGCCTATCCATTATGCTTGAAATAGCCTGGTTCCTGTGGTTCTCGTCCACGTTCACTGTACCCACGCTTTCCTTGACCAAGCCTTTCACTTTGTTATAATCTGTCTGCTGTTTTCTGTCATCTTATACCCACGAAGACACCGTTGGAGCTCTCATCCTCTGCTTTCTCCTCTACCACTCGTGTCTCCTCATACTTACATCCGTGAAGACAGTCGCTTCGTTTCTATCATAGTTAGCTTGACTACGAAGGGTATTGTGACACCAAACAGTGTACTCGGATAGGAGTGGAGCAACCAAGTCCACATGGGCTTGCTTGGCGTGGAAGGGGTGTGTGGTGTGGTCATGAAGCATGAGTCATGAATCATGATCATGTGGTGTATGATCATCAGTGGATACACTAATCACAGAAGGTAGTGGGTAGACGTGGAGGAGCCGTAATGAGGTTAACTGTTTTGACCTGTGGCTCTCACATTTGGGGCCCCTCATGTTCAAATATTGCTTGCTTGTTTCAACATTTTCAAGAAACAATTTCATTCCCTAAATGGAAGGGACGTCTGCTGCAAACGAGAATGAAATATCTGAGGCTGTCGTGTTGTTTCCTGGTCTTGTCAGATCGTCCCCTCCATCCATCACCCCTCTCCAACTGTTTTGAATCCAAATAAACCGCTCTGCCGCAAGAAGCATGTTCCCCAACCGTACTGTAAATTCTTTGAACGCATTCACATCTTCACCAACCGTACTTGATCTGAGATGCACTGCACTGCGCCCTCCCTCTTTCACTCCCCTTGAACAGCTGTCCTTCACACGCGGGCCAGCCATTGACATTGGCTCGGTCGGCAACGGCAATACCGAGGCTAGCTGTGAGATGCGATCATGAAAATCACACTGCTTCAGTGTTGCATTTCTTCGTGCATCAGTTGAGAGTGCGTCGTAGTAAGGGCGCGTAACTTTTTCCATTTTAGTCAAATGTCCGTACGGAGCCCCCAAAACGTCCGAACGGGGCTCCGTCCGGACGGATGGGGATGTGGTTCGGACGATGAAGCGTCCGTACCACAATTGTGACACTTTTTTGCAGTTTCGAAATTTAAAATTCGTGCGAAACAGTAACGAGCATAACTTACCTCGCCTCAACAGCGCCCAATTCGCAAGCATGCATTTGCGGCTCGGTAATGTTTGAACTTTCCAACCACTTTGTCCTCTTGCTCGCGCTACTGTGACTACAACACACAAACAAATTGAAAGTTGGAGTGGGAAGTTTGATTCTGAAAAATGTGTCTCGCGCACCAATGACGTTGCAGGGGTTCCGGACGGTCCGAAATCCTGTCCGGACGGTGTCAGTAGCGTAGAACGGACGCTGAACTGACAGAAAAGTGTCAGACTTCGTACGGACGATTGCGACGTCGCGAGGGGTCTAGCGAACCTTTTGACGAACCCTGACGATTTTAGTAACCCTACAAAAGTCCGGACGGGGCCTCCGTCCGGACGATGAAAAGCAAAAAAGTTACGCGCCCTAACTACGAGATGCAGCGAGTAGTTTGAAGCGCTGCAGGAACGCACCGCATACGATTACTCGGTCTACCAGGGATCCCTGCAGGCAGCGCATTGTACCGTACCACGTGCAGCTTCCTGCTCCGGGCGCTGAATTTATCATTATTACTCGCATTGATTATTCCGTGAATCCCGGACACTGCTGACAACATTGTTAACTTCTACCATTGTTTACATTGAGTCGGTTATAAGAGGTTTGGGTCGCCATGGAGTCGGTTCTCTCGCGGCCGCCTGTCGTTACGGTGCAAAACTCAATGCGAGGCCTGGATGCCGTGAACTCCCATCGCCGGCGACCGTTTACACACAATGTCGCACACAATGTCGCCACGTTAGGTCCAGCATTGTCCACAAAATGGACCAATAGGACGTCTCCGTCAGTAAGGAGGTTGACATCTCCGTTTTTCTCGGCATCTCGCAGTCGCCAGCGAAGCGTCGTCGCTCCTCGCGCTGCCTCAGACGGCCCTGAGGAGGTGCGCTCATTTCGTGGCTATTCCGTGTCAGTTCAAGCCATTCCGTGTCATTTCGTGGCCATTCCGTGTCAGTTCGTGGCCATTCCGTGTCATTTCGTGGCCACTCCGTGTCATTTCGTGGCCATTCCGTGTCATTTCGTGGCCATTCCGTGTCAGTTCAAGCCATTCCGCGTCAGTTCAAGCCATTCCGTGTCAGCTTACGTCCATTCCAGTGTCATTCTCTCTCAGTTCGTTACAGTCCTTGTCAAATCCGTTTCACTTCCACTCCCAGCCGTTTCCAGTGATTCCATGCCATTCCCTGTCATACCATGTCATTCCATGCCATTCCCTGTCATGCCATGTCATTCCATGCCATTCCGTGTCATACCATGTCATTCCATGCCATTCCCTGTTATACCATGTCATTTCATGCCATTCCCTGTCATACCATGCCATTCCATGCCATTCCCTGTCATACCATGTCATTCCATGCCGTTCCCTGTAATTCCATGTCATTCCATGCCATTCCCTGTCATTCCATGCGATTCCATGTCATTCCACGTCATTCCATGCCATTCCCTGTCACTCCCTGTCAGTCCATGTCATTCCATGCAGTTCCCTGTCATACCATGTCATTCCATGCCATTCCCTGTCATTCCGTGCCATTCCTGTTGCTCCCTGTCAGGCTCCAAATCTCCCTCCTTCCACTCCCTCCCTCCTCGCCCTTCTCTTCTCCCAACTTCCTCCCCTCATCCGCAGCAAGCATCCAACAACAGCACCGCACTCCACCCATCAGAACTTCCCTCACTCAACACCAAACCCACCGCTTCTGCTTCAACACCCATCCCCACCCCACCCACGCCACGTACTGCCAGCCTCTCCTCTCTCCTCCCCTCTCCACTCCCTCGCTCCGTCCTCCTCCCTCTACTCGCGGCGGCCATAGCTGCAGCCACGTTCTTCTCCTCCCTCTCCTGGCGCCTGGGCGGAGGGGGTGCTTCCTTCGCCGCCCTGCTGCGTCCTCCCCCTGCCGCCGCTGCCAGCAACCAGGTGAGTGAAATGGCCTGACTGACTGACCTGCCATGTGGCACCCACAGCACAGAGACAGAGGCCAACTCACGGAGTTTTCTTTTGATGCGCCTCAAAGGACCGACCGACCGACCGACCTGCCATCTCGTCATGTGGTGGTGTCACCCACAGACAGAGGCTGGCTCGCAGAGACAGCTAAGCTAATAATCTATCCTCTCTTGCTTTCTATCATATCCATCCACTCAACCCCTTCTCTTCCCACCCCTCTGTCCAATCCCACAATCACCCTCCACCCGTCGCAGATCGTGCTGACCCCGCCCCCACCCGGCACAGCCAGTCCAGCGGCGCTCAAGTCACCCCAGCAGCGAGCAGGCATCACCGACAAGGCCCTCTATGCCATCGACCTCTTCCTCACCACTGAACCTTCTGGGAAGGTGAGCAGAGCAGATGAATGAATGAGGATGCTTCAGAAGGGATCTCTTTGCTCCGGCACTGCTGGGCTTGATGGTCTCATTAGAGACAAGGCCCTCTATGCCATCAACCTCTTCCTCACCACTTAACCCTCGGGGAAGGTGAGGAACCAGAGGAAGGGTAATTCCTCAAAGGGATAACTTTGCCACTGCACTGCACTGCTTGGCACAACGGTCGCATCACAGACAAGGCCCCCCATTTCATCGACCTTTTTCTCACCACTAAACCCCCGGGGAAGGTGAGGCAAGGCAAATGACAGTGGGAAGGTTTCCTTTCTTCCCTGGGTGTGTTGTGCCTTGGTGTGTTGTCTCCTCTAAGAGGCGCCTTTCCTTTAAGAGGCGCCTCTCCTCTTAGAGGAGCCTCTCCTCTAAGATGCAGGCGCTTCTCTCTAAGAGTCGCCTCTCCTCTAAGAGGCAGGCGCCTCTCCTCTACGAGGCAGGCGCCACTCCTTTAAGAGGCAGGCGCCTCTCTTCTAAGAGGCGCCTTTTCTCTAAAAGGCGCCTCTTTGCTAAGAGGCAGGCGCCTCTCCTCTAAGACTTGGTCCACGCGCGCTCCTTGGTCCACGCGCGCGCCTTGGCCTTGCCGTTCGGCCGCGCGCCTTGCCGTTCGGCCGGCGGCCTTGCCGTTCGGCGGCGGCCGGCGGCCTCTCCGTTCGTCCGCGGCGGCCGGCGGCCTTGCCGTTCGTCGGCGGCGGCCGGCGGCCTCTCCGTTCGTCGGCGGCGGCCGGCGGCCTTGCCGTTCGTCGGCGGCGGCCGGCGGCCTCTCCGTTCGTCGGCGGCGGCCGGCGGCCTTGCCGTTCGTCGGCGGCCGGCGGCCTGGCCGTTGGGCGGCGGCGGCCGGCGGCCTTGCCGTTGGGCGGCGGCGGCCGGCGCCCTTGCCGTTGGGCGGCGGCGGCCTGAGGCCTTGCCGTTGGGCGGCGGCGGCCGGCGGCCTTGCCGTTGGGCGGCGGCGGCCGGCGGCCTTGCCGTTGGTCGGCGGCCGGCGGCCTTGCCGTTCGTCGGCGGCCGGCGGCCGGCGGCCTTGTCGTTCATCGGCGGCCGGCGGCCTTGCCGTTGGTCGGCGGCCGGCGGCCTTGCCGTTCGTCGACGGCCGGCGGCCTTGCCGTTCGTCGGCGGCCGGCGGCCGGCGGCCTTGCCGTTGGTCGGCGGCGGCCGGCAGCCTTGCCGTTGGTCGGCGGCCGGCGGCGGCCTTGCCATTAGTGGTCGGCGGCCGGCGGCCTTGCCGTTGGTCGGCGGCCGCCGGCCTTGCCGTTGGTCGGCGGCCGCCGGCCTTGCCGTTCGTCCGCGGCCGGCGGCCGGCGGCCTTGCCGTTCGTCGGCGGCGGCCGGCGGCCTTGCCGTTGGTCGGCGGCCGGCGGCCTTGCCGTTGGTCAGCGGCGGCCGGGGGCCTTGCCGTTGGTCGGCGGCGGCCGGCGGCCTTGCCGTTGGTCGGCGGCGGCGGCCGGCGACCTTGCCGTTCGTCGGCGGCGGCGGCCGGCGGCCTTGCCGTTCGTCGGCGGCCGGCGGCCTTGCCGTTCGTCGGCGGCCGGCGGCCTTGCCGTTGGTCGACGGCCGCCGGCCTTGCCGTTGGTCGGCGGACGCCGGCCTTGCCGTTGGTCGGCGGCCGCCGGCCTTGCCGTTCGTCGGCGGCCGCCGGCCTTGCCGTTCGTCGGCGGTCTTGCCGGCCTTGCCGTTCGTCGGCGGCCTTGCCGTTGGTCGCCGGTGCCGGCCTTGCCGTTTGTCGGCGGCCTTGCCGGCCTTGCCGTTTGTCGGCGGCCTTGCCGTTGGTCGGCGGCCGGCAGCCTTGCCGTTGGTCGGCGGCCGGCAGCCTTGCCGTTGGTCGGCGGCCGGCGGCGGCCTTGCCGTTGGTCGGCGGCGGCCGGCGGCCGGCGACCTTGCCGTTGGTCGGTGGCCGGCGGTGGCCGGCGGCCTTGCCGTTGGTCGGCGGCCGGCGGCCTTGCCGTTCGTCGGCGGCCGGCGGCCTTGCGGTTCGTCGGCGGCCTTGCCGGCCTTGCCGTTCGTCGGCGGCCTTGCCGTTGGTCGGCGGCCGCCGGCCTTGCCGTTTGTCGGCGGCCTTGCCGTTTGTCGGCGGCCGGCGGCCGGCGGCGGCCTTGCCGTTGGTCAGCGGCCACCAGCCTTGCCGTTCGTCGGCGGCCTTGCCGGCCTTGCCGTTGGTCGGCGGCCTTGCCGTTGGTCGGCGGCCGCCGGCCTTGCCGTTTGTCGGCGGCCTTGCCGTTTGTCGGCGGCCGGCGGCCGGCGGCGGCCTTGCCGTTGGTCAGCGGCCACCAGCCTTGCCGTTCGTCGGCGGCCGGCGGCCTTGCCGTTCGTCGGCGGCCTTGTCGTTCGTCGGCGGCGGGCGGCCTTGCCGGCCTTGCCGTTGGTCGTCGGCCGGCGGCCTTGCCGTTCGTCGGCGTCCGGCGGCCTTGCCGTTCGCCGGCGGCCGGCGGACTTGGCGGCCTTGCCGTTCGTCGGCGGCCGGCGGCCGTGCCGTTGGTCGGCGGCGGCCGGCGGCCTTGCCGTTGGTCGGCGGCCGGCGGCCTTGCCGTTCGTCGGCGGTCGGCGGCCGGCGGCCTTGTCGTTCGTCGGCGGCCGGCGGCCTTGCCGTTGGTCGGCGGCCGGCGGCCTTGCCGTCCTTGCCGTTGGCCTGCGGCCGGCGGCCTTGCCGTTCGTCGGCGGCCGGCGGCCTTGCCGTTCGTCGGCGGCCGGCGGCCTTGCCGTTGGTCGGCGGCGGCCGGCGGCCTTGCCGTTGGTCGGCGGCAGCCGGCGGCCTTGCCGTTGGTCGGCGGCGGCCGGCGGCCTTGCCGTTGGTCGGCGGCGGCCGGCGGCCTTGCCGTTGGTCGGCGGCGGCCGGCGGCCTTGCCGTTGGTCGGCGGCCGGCGGCCTTGCCGTTGGTCGGCGGCGGGCGGCCTTGCCGTTCGTCAACGGCCGGCGGCCGGCGGCCTTGCAGTTCGTCGGCGGCCGGCGGCCTTGCCGTTGGTCGGCGGCCGGCGGCCTTGCCGGCCTTGCCGTTGGTCGGCGGCCGGCGGCCTTGCCGTTCGTCGGCGGCCGGCGGCCTTGCCGTTTGTCGGCGGCCGGCGGCCTTGGCGGCCTTGCCGTTTGTCGGCGGCCGGCGGCCTTGCCGTTGGTCGGCGGCGGCCGGCGACCTTGCCGTTGGTCAGCGGCGGACGGCGGCCTTGCCGTTGGTCGGCGGCCGGCGGCGGCCTTGCCGTTGGTGGTCGGCGGCCGGCGGCCGGCGGCGGCCTTGCCGTTGGTGGTCGGCGGCCGGCGGCCTTGCCGTTGGTCGGCGGCCGCCGGCCTTGCCGTTGGTCGGCGGCGGGCGGCCTTGCCGTTCGTCGGCGGCCGGCGGCCGGCGGCCGGCGGCCTTGCAGTTCGTCGGCGGCCGGCGGCCTTGCCGTTGGTCGGCGGCTGGCGGCCTTGCCGGCCTTGCCGTTGGTCGGCGGCCGGCGGCCTTGCCGTTGGTCGGCGGCCGGCGGCCTTGCCGTTCGTCGGCGGCCGGCGGCCTTGCCGTTCGTCGGCGGCCGGCGGCCTTGGCGGCCTTGCCGTTTGTCGGCGGCCGGCGGCCTTGCCGTTGGTCGGCGGCGGCCGGCGACCTTGCCGTTGGTCAGCGGCGGACGGCGGCCTTGCCGTTGGTCGGCGGCCGGCGGCGGCCTTGCCGTTGGTGGTCGGCGGCCGGCGGCCTTGCCGTTGGTCGGCGGCCGCCGGCCTTGCCGTTCGTCGGCGGCCGCCGGCCTTGCCGTTCGTCGGCGGCCGGCGGCCTTGCCGTTGGTCGGCGGCCGGCGGCCTTGCCGTTGGTCGGCGGCCGGCGGCCTTGCCGTTCGTCGGCGGCCGGCGGCCTTGCCGTAGGTCGGCGGCCGGCGGCCTAGCCGTTGGTCGGCGGCGGCCGGCGGCCTTGCCGTTGGTCGGCGGCCGGCGGCCTTGCCGTTGGTCTGCGGCGGCCGGCGGCCTTGCCGTTCGGCGGCCGGCGGCCTTGGTCCACGCGCGCGCCCTGGTCCGCGCGCGCGCCCTGGTCCGCGCGCGCGCCTCGGTCCGCGCGCGCGCCTCGGTCCTTACCGAAGCGCGCGCGACCAGGGCTAAGCGCGCGTGACCTCGCCCAAGCGTGCGCTGTGAAATTTCTGCACTTTGCTGCGTTGTGAAATTTCTGCACTTTGCTGCGTTGTGAAATTTCTGCACTTTGCTGCGTTGTGAAATTTCTGCACTTTGCTGCAAAGCCTCTCGTGCGATTTTTCCCTCTGTCGCTTTTCTTCGAATGTTCCTCTGCGCCCCGCCGTCCTCAGATGCTTGCCAGTGTCTCAATGGTGTCAGTTTCTCCCTCGCATCTCTTACCCCCGACTCGCATCTCTTTTCCCGCTTCGAGGTGACTTTTGAGGCTTTTAGTCCTCTGGGAGGCCCTCAAGCTGCTGGCACCCAAGTGATGAGATGTCTAAACTGCCTCAACCACCTCGTCCTTCCCCCTTGCCTTGCCCCTCCCCCCCTCCTCTCTGTCCCCCAGCTCCTGCTGCTCTCGGTCCTCTGGGTTACCCTCATGCTGCTGGGAGCTGCTGCCTTTGTGTGTGGAAGCGTTTGAACCACCTCAAATGCTTCTCCCTCCTTCCTGCCCCCACTCTCCTTCCTACCTTCCCCCAGCTCCTGCTGCTCTCTGTCCTCTGGGTGGCCCTCATGCTGCTGGGAGCTGGAGCCTTCATCGCTGCGGCCAAGGCGACCAATGAGGACGTGCCATTTGGCGAGGCCGTGTGGGTCTCGTGGACCATGCTGTCAGACCCCGGCCAGCAGGGCGCTCAGGTGAGCCGGTGGAGAGGGGTGGAATGGAGTGGAATGGAGTGGAGTGGAGTGGAGTGGAGTGGAGTGGAGTGGAGTGGAGTGGAGTGGAGTGGAGTGGAATGGAGTGTAGTGGAGTGGAATGGAATGGAGTGTAGTGGAGTGGAGTGGAGTGGAGTGGAGTGGAGTGGAGTGGAGTGGAGTGGAGTGGAGTGGAGTGGAGTGGAGTGGAGTGGAGTGGAGTGGAATGGAGTGTAGTGGAGTGGAATGGAATGGAGTGTAGTGGAGTGGAGTGGAGTGGAGTGGAGTGGAGTGGAGTGAGTGGAGTGGAGTGGAGTGGAGTGAGTGGAGTGGAGTGGAGTGAGTGGAGTGGAGTGGAGTGGAGTGGAGTGGAGTGGAGTGGAGTGGAGTGAGTGGAGTGGAGTGGAGGGGAGTCCACTTGTTTTCCTGCCTGCACGCCAGCCTGCCCGCCTCGTTCATGCAGTGTGCATTGCAATCGCCCAGTTGAGCGCCGTGTGGGTCTCGTGCCCCATGCTGTCAGTCTGAACTGAACCAGGCCAACAACATTCCTTAACATCCCCTCTCCCCCCCTACCCCAGGATTCGATATGGAAGCGGGTGCTGTCAGTGGTGGTGACGATCAAGGGGCTGCTGCTGCTGGCTACTGCTGGCGCTGCTGGTGCATTTACTACTGGGTGTGGCAGCAGCCAGGTTCCTTGGTCCCATTCCTTCACATCCCCTCCCGTCCTTTTGTTCCTCTCCCTTTCCCCCTCCCAGGACTCGATATGGAAGCGGGTGCTGTCGGTGGTGCTGACAATCAAGGGGCTGCTGCTGCTGCTGGCGCAGCTGGTGGCGGCGATGCTTGGGAATTTGGACTGTCACCTTCCCAGTGCCTTCCTTCCCCTTCTCCCTCCGTTCACATCTTATTCCTCTCCCACCCCAGGACTCGATATGGAAGCGGGTGCTGGCAGTGGCGCTGACAATAAAGGGGCTGCTGCTGCTGGCGCTGCTGGTGGGTCTGGCAGCAGTGGCCTTCCCAGTGCCACCACCCTCCCTCTTCACGTCCCCTTCTCTGCAATCTCCCCCCACCTCCCCACCCCAGGACTCCATATGGAAGCGGGTGCTGTCAGTGGTATTGACAATAAAGGGCCTGCTGCTGCTGGCGCTGCTGGTGGGTCTGGCGACTGACGGTGTGGCGAAGCAGGTGGACGATCTGAACAAGGGCAAGGGGCCCGTCATGGAGCGCGGGCACGTGCTTGTCGTGGGTGAGTGGGTTGCAGTTCATACATGCATGTAAGTGCATGCCTGCCTGCCATGCCTGCTTCCGTGCATGCCCGCCTGTAGGGTGACAGCAGGAAGCTCAGCAGCACAAGCAGCAGGTGGACAATCTGAACAAGGGCAAGGGGCCTGTAATGGAGCACGGGCACGTGCTGGTTGTGGGTGAGTGGGTTGCTTTCATATAACTACATCACATCAGCACAGAAGCACAGCAACACAACATCACCTCCCCCTGGTGCAGCAGCTGATGGCGCTCCATGGACGTCTAGGCGTCTCACTTAAGAACCTCCCCTCTCCCCACTCCCTCTCACCTCACCACCCCCTCTTACCCTCCACTCCCCCTCTCCACGCCCCTCCTCCAATCCCTAAGGCTGGACCCCCCGCACCATCCCGCTGGTGCAGCAGCTGGTAGGGCAGACGGCGGTCGGAGCGTTCAGGTTTGCTCTGCAACCAACGAATGGAGTCCATCCTTCCCCCCCACCTCCTCTCCCACCTTACGTTTCCGCTCTTAGGCTGGACCCCCCGCACCATCCCGCTGGTGCAGCAGCTGGTGGGGGCGGATGGCAGTCGGGAAGTCTAGGATGCGCGTTGCTCTGCAACCAACAAAAGGGGCCCATCCCCCCACCCCTCCCTCCTTTCTTCCCTCCCAGGCTGGACTCCCCGCACCATTCCCCTGGTGCAGCAGCTGGTGGGGGCGGATGGCAGTCGCGCAGTGGTGGTGCTGGCGGGCGGCAAGGGCAAGGAGGAGATGGACAGCGCACTGCTAGATGCCATTCCCAAGAGCGAGAGACACAAGGCGGGAGGCGGGCAGGTAAGAAACATGAAATGCAATCGAGTCAAGAGAGTCAAGGTGGGCAACAGTGTTAAAATATATATTGTGTAGCATGCCAACACATGTGACTGTACACCAATTGTGGTGTACAGTTGGGTTGGGACTACACCCAACTTTGGGTGTAGTCTTGCACTTTGGGGTGCCACCACAATTTGGGGGCTCCACCCAATTGTGGTGGAGCCCCCAAATGCATCCCTCTTGACTTGTGGGTACCTCACTTCCCACAATTGAGGTTACCCCAAGCCAAGTGGGCCTAGGGTTGCCTCACTTCTACAAAGTGTGGGCAACCCAACCCACTTGACCTATGGTTCCCTCACTTCCCCAAGTGAGGTCAACCCAACCTATGGTCACTTTCATCCTTCCCTTCCAACCTTCCCTTCCAACTATGTATGCTAGGTTGTTCCTCTAATCTAATTACTTGTTCAATTCACAATCTTCACATGGTATAGAGCTAGTTGTTCCTAAGCCTTTTCTCTCCCTCCCTCAAAGTTTTTTCTTCCCCATGGGCCCACCCCACAGCCACAAACCCCCTACGTGTGGCTCAACCTAGCATCTCCTTGGCACGACCTACGTTGTCGCCGCCCTCCCCTCCCTCCGCCGTGATTGCGCCCTCCTCGCCTGCGGATCCCACCGCCGCGAGTGCATCACCGCCCCCCGTCGCCGCGACACACCGTCGCTGCCCCCCCCCCCCCCTCCCTCCCCCTTTTTTTCCGCCGCCGCGCCTTCTCTGGCGCCGCCTGCACATCCCGCCGCGACGCCTCGTCGCCGCCTCCTCCTCCCCCTGCCGCGACCCCCCGTCGCCGTCTCCCTCCCGCCGCCGCGCCTACTTCGGCGTCGCCCGCGCATCCCTCCGCCGCGACGCCCCGTCGTCGCCTGCCCCTCCCGCTGCCGCGACGTCGCGTCGCCGCCTCCCCCCACCGCCGCCGCGCCTTCCTCGGCGCCGCCTGCGCATCCCGCCGCCGCGACGCCCCGTCGTCGCCTCCTGTCCCGCCGCCGCGACTTCGCGTCGCCGCCTGCACTCCCCATCGCCGCGACCCCCCGTCGCCGCCTACGCATCCCGCCGCCGCGACCCGCTCGTCGCCGCCTGCACGATCCGCCGCCGCGACTTCGCGTCGCCGCCTGCACGACCCGCCGCCGCGACTTCGCGTCGCCGCCTGCACGACCCGCCGCCGCGACTTCGCGTCGCCGCCTGCGCATCCCGCCGCCGCGACCTTCTCGTCGCCGCCTGCACCCCTTGCCGCCGCGACCTTCTCGTCGCCGCCTGCACCCCTTGCCGCCGCGACCTAAAGTCGCCGCCCGCGCGACCTCCTGCCGCGACCTGCTCGTCGCCGCCCGCACATCCCGTCGCCGCAACCTAACAATCGCCGCCCCCGCATCCTACCGCCGCGACCTGCTCGTCGCCGCCCGCGCATCCCGCCGCCGCGCCTTCCTCGTCGCCGCCCGCGCATCCCACCGCCGCGCCTTCCCCGTCGCCGCCCGCGCATCCCTCCGCCGCGCCCTCCTCGTCGCCGCTCGCTCATTCCGCCGCCACGATTCCCTCGTCGCCACCCGCGCATCCCGCCGCCGAACGTTCCTCGTAGCAGCCGCCTCATCCCGCAGCAGCAGCGTCATTGGCAGCAACAGCTTCGCCCACAGCTACACCTGCGTTCTCCCTCCCCCTCCCCCTTTCCTCCTCCTCTCCTCCCACGCAGCAGCAGCCGGGACAGCTCAGCAGCCACAGCAGCAACAGCGGCAGCAGCGGCAGCATCAGGAGCAGCAATAGCAGCGGCAGCAGCTGCATCCACCATCTTCCTCCCCCTCCTCCCCTCCCCCCCCCCCCCTCCTCCCTCTCAGCAGCAGCAGCGGCAGCAGCGGCAGCAGCGGCAGCAGCGGCAGCAGTGGCAGCAGCGGCAGCAGCGGCAGCAGCGGCAGCAGCGGCAGCAGCGGCAGCAGCGGCAGCAGCAGCAGCAGCCGGAGAAGAACTCCACTCCCCGCAGCAGCACCCCCCCCCCCTCCCCTCCCCCCCCCCCCCCCCCCCTCCTCCCTCTCGGCTGCCGCGGGTCCACCCGCCGTCGCCCTCCCACTTGACCGCCACGGGTCCACCCGCCGCCGTCCACCTCGAGGCCGCCGCGGGTCCACCCGCCGTCGCCCCTCATGGCTACCACTCCTCCCCCTCTCCCCCCTCCCATTGACGCCTCCTCCGTCGACAAGCTTCAGCTTGCCGCGGACCGCTCGGCGATCAACTGGCATTCCTTCGTCGGGAGCATCCGCCGTGTTCTCCAAGATGCATTCGTCGGACCCTACTGCGTCCTTGACGTCCTCCTCCGCCGCCCGCAAGCCCTCCAGCCCACGGCACCCAATCACCCCGGCGAACCCCCTCCACCCCCCATTCCTCCTGGTCCTCCTCCTCCTGAACCCACCTTGGAGATCGCCACTTCCCCAGCGCTCCAAGATGCCGCCGATGCCGCATTTCTCCACGATCGCCGCGAATACCTCATCCGCAAGGCGGAGCATGAGGTTGCGGTACATAACCACGACTTCGCGGTAGCGGAACGCGCCAATCGCCTGGCGCTCCTTGATGAGTACAATACGGCCATGGCGGACTACCTCCCTCGGAGCATCGCATGGGCCACTGCTGACAACCGCGCCTGCACCATCCTCCTCGGCGCACTCCCTGATACCCTCATGCGCCGTTTCCAAGCTCGCGAGATGCGCGCCTCCCTCATCTGGGCCGAGCTCCAGGCCATGTTCGAGCGTCGCGACATCAGCTCTGTCGGCGCCCTGTTCCAGGAGTACTTCTCCATCACCCTCGCCACTTGTGATGGCGCATTTGACTACGTGGGGCGCATGCAGGAGGTCGCTGATCGCCTTGCGGCACGCCAAGCTGCCCTCCCCGAGCCCCTGCAAATCCACCGCCTCCTCTACAACCTCACCCCGGACTACGAGTCCCGCCTCCATGCCTTCACTGAGGCCAACCCCATGGCCGGCCTCGACGACGTGGTCCAGTGGATCATTGACACGGAGGTCAAGCTCCGCACCCCCGTTGTCAACCTTACCACCCCTCAGTCCTCCTCCTCCACCTCCCTCAACGCTACGCAGCCGCGCAACCAGGGTGGTCGCAGCGGCGGCGGCGGAGGCCGTGGAGCGGGTGGCGGTGGTGGTGGTGGAGGCCGTGGTGGTGGCGGTGGTGGTAGTGGTGGCCGTGGTGGCCGTGGTGGCGGTGGTGGTGGTGCTGGCAGCGCCCCTGCTGGAGGTGCTGTGACTCGAGGCGGACGCCCTGGCACTCTCCCCCCATGCACATATGTGCGTCGCCATGGTCCCCATGCAGGTACCCCTTGCGGCCAGACCAACCATCCCCCCACCACGTGCTTTAAGGCACTCGACGACGCCTGGTTTGATCGCGGCAACACTGGCACCCCTCCACGCTGGAACTCGGTCACACCTCGCCCCTCCTTAGTGGACATTCAAACCCTCCCCTCTTTCCTTCCTGCTCACCTCCGCATGGTTACCCCCTCCCCACCCTCACAGCTGCAGCAGTTTCAGCAGCACCAGCAGCAGCAGCACCTGTACTTCCACCAGCAGCAGCCGCAGTTTCTCCAGCCCCAGCAGCCGCCGCCGCCGCAGTTCTTCCAGCCACCGCCGCAGCAGCAGCAGCAGTTCCTTCCCCCACCCTGGCAGCAGCAGCCACTCACCTTCGGCACAGCGGCCATGGCCGCTCATACCTCCCTTCCTCCTCCTCCCCCCTGGGGTTCCCTCCCCTCTGCCCCCCCCAGTGTTCCCGACACTTCTGGTAGTTTCCTTGGTAATATCAGTGTTGCACCGTCCGTCGCTGCCATGTATCCCTCTGCTATCAATGAGACTTCGTTTCAGTACCCCGTCCCACCCCCTCCTCCCTCTTCTCCCACCCTGGACTTTGTCCTTGACAGTGGAGCCACTGAAACCGCACTGAAAGACGCTGGCACTCTCACCCCACTACCACTTCCCACTCAGGTTCATGGGGCTGATTCCAGCTTTTCCATTCCATGCACTCACCTCTCCACCCTCCCTTGCACTGCCTTCCCCTCCGGTAAGGTCACAGGTCTCCACATCCCCACTCTCCGCAACAACCTCCTCTCCCACCGTGAGCTCCAAGGTGTTGGTATCACTGCCATTTACCCCGGTTATGCCAATTACTGTGATCTCTACCAAACCTCCTCCGGTCGCTTCCTTCTCCGCATTCCGCTTTGCCCCCGCACTCGCCTCTACACACTCCGCACGCCTCGCCCATCCTTCTGCCACGTCACCACTCGTTCCGGTGCTTCCACCGGTCCACCTCCTCCTCCTTTACTTCCCCCTTCCCCTCCCCCTCAAGTATCCTCTTCTCCCTCCCCACCATCCTCCTCCTCCCCTCCCGTTCCTTCCATCACCCCATCTCCCTCCTCCTCCACTACCCTCTCCCACCCTGCTGTCCTCTTACACCACAGACTCGGCCATCCCAACTTCACCGCCCTTCGCACCACAGTCACCTCTCGCCTCCTCCGCAGCCTTCCTCCTGTTTTACCTCCCCTCCCCTCCTCCCCCTCTCCCCCATGCCCTTCATGCATTCACGGCAAGCTCAAACAGTCCCCCCACCACAGTCATCCCACCTTCGCCGCCGCCCCCATTGACCTTGTGCACATGGACCTCTGGGGCCCCTATCCCATCCGCTCCCGCCAGGGGCATCGGTACATGCTCGTCCTCGTTGACGACCACAGCCGGTACTCCACCACCTTCTTCCTTCACACGAAAGACCAGGTGCCGGCAGTGGTCATCAACTGGGCCGAACAGTGCCGCAATCACTTCAAACGCCCCGTCGGCCGCCTTCACTCTGACGGTGGGGGTGAGTTCATCAATAACACCCTTGCCACATACTGCAACACCTACGGCATCCAACAGACCTCCACCCTTCCCCACTCCCCTCAGCAGAACGGCATTGCTGAGAGCCGCATTCGTGAGATCACCAAGATAGCTCGCTGTCTCATTGCTCATGCCTCCACCCCTCCTTCCCTCTGGAGCTATGCCCTCCTCCACGCCGCTCTTCTCCTTAATCTCCGCTCCCACCCTCAGCATCCTTCCTCCTCCCCTACAGAGCTTTGGTCCAACGCCAAACCCGACGCTGCCGGCCTTCGCGTTTGGGGCTGCAAGGCCTTCGTTCTCATCCCACCCGCCGACCGCTCCCGCGCCGCTGGCAAGCTTGCTCCTCGCGCCCTGGAATGCGTTTACCTTGGGCACAATCGCGACTCCCCAGGCTACCTCTTCCTCCACCCTCCCACCAATCGCCTCATCCGCAGCGGCGACGTCGTCTTCGACGAATCCGTCCCCTATTACTCCACTCCTCCCCCTGATCCTCTCCCTCCTCCCACTCGTCCCCTTGCTTGGACCGACACCGTCCTCCCGCCCCTTCTCCCTCCAGCCCCTCTCCTCCCACCCGTCGCAGCTCCGCTCCCGCCCTCCTCCTCCGCCGATGTCTACGACCCTGCCGCACCCGCTTCCCCCGCTCACTCGGCCGCACCCCCTCCCCCCCCCTCCCTCCTCCTCTCCCTCTCCCTCCTTCCAGCAGCCGGATCAGCAACAGCAGCAGCAGCAGCAGCCGCAGCAGCAACAGCAGCAGCAGCAGCAGCCGGGACAGCATCCGGGGCAGCAGCAGCAGCAGCAGCCGGGCCAGCAGCAGCAGCAGCAGCCGGGCCAGCAGCAGCAGCAGCAGCGGCAGCCGGGACAGCAGCAGCAGCAGCAGCAGCAGCGGCAGCAGCAGCAGCAGCAGCCTCAGCAGCCGCAGCAGCCGCAGCACCAGCACGGTCAGCCGCAGCCGCAGCAACAAGGGCAGCAGCTTCCGCAGCACCAGCAGCAGCAGCGGCGTCGTGCCACTTCCCGTTCCTCCCCCTTCCTCCTCCCTTACATCCATACCCGCTCTGTGGACAAAATCCTTGGGGCTCCTCCTCCTGCCTCCATTCAGCTCCTTGAGGACTCCCATGAGGAGTTTCTTAACATTCGGGAGCACACTCCATTCCTTGCCGCCCTCTACCTTGACTTCCTGGGCTTTCCTGTCCTTGGCGCCACTACTACCCCCACCATCTTCACTCCCTCCACCTTCCAGGAAGCCATCACCTGCCCTGATGCGGATAAATGGATAGCAGCGATCTTCCTGGAGTGTGAGGCTTTCATTCGCAACGACTCCTTTGTCGATGTCCCCCTCCCTGCTGGCGCTAATCTCGTTGACGGCAAATGGGTCTTTCGGGTGAAGCAGCTGCCGGGCGAGGAACCAGTGTACAAGGCCCGCTACTGCGCCAAGGGGTTCACGCAGACTTGGGCTGAGGACTAATGGTTCACCTACGCCCCCACCGCCAAACCACCCACCCTTCGCGCCGCCATGGACATTGGTGCACGTGACGACATGGAAATCGACTCCATGGACGTCTCCAATGCGTTCCTGCAGGGCGACCTGCATTAGCGCATTTTCCTCCGGCGACCCCCCGGGTTCCACGCAGCCTTTCCTGAGAACACTGTCTGGCAGCTGCGTCGCCCCGTCTACGGCTTGAAGCAGGCACCGCGTGAGTGGCATGCGAAGCTGGCTGCCACCTTGGGGTCCCTCGGCTTCTCTGCTTCCCACTCCGACGCCAGCCTCTTCATCCGCTCCTCCCCCCGCCGCTTCTTCATTCTGGTATATGTCGACGACATGATCCTGCTCTCTGACACCAAGGCCGACATGGGGCAGGTGAAGCTGTCCCTGCAGCAGCGGCTCAAGTGCAAAGACCTTGGCGCCCTCACTCACTACCTCGGCATGACCATCACGCGCAACCGCCCTGCTCGCACAATCACCCTCTCCCAGTCCCATTACATCGGCCAGGTCTTGGAGAAGTTCGACATGGCGCAAGCCAAGCCTGTTTCCACCCCGCTCCCCTTCGGTCACCAACTCGCTCCACCCACCTCCCCCACCTCCTCCCCCCACCCCTATGCCGAGCTCGTTGGGTCCTTGATGTACGCAATGATGTGCACCCGCCCCGACCTCGCCTACCCCATCAGCGTGCTCGCTCGCTTTGTCGGCACCGGTCGTCACTCTGAGGAGCACTGGAAAGCTGCCAAGCGGGTCCTCCGCTACCTTCGCGGGACCAGGGACCTTGCCCTCACCCTCGGCGGCCCTTCCCGTCCCCTTCTCTCGGGCTTCAGTGACTCCTCATGGGCTGACACGCAGCCGGACCGCCGCTCCTCCCAGGGCTACGGCTTCACCCTTGGCAGCGGCCTCATCAGCTGGCGCTCCACCCGCTCCTCCGCCATCTCTCTCTCCACCTGCGAAGCCGAGCTCTACGCTGGCACCATGGCCGCCCAGGAGTCACGCTGGCTCTGCTTCCTTCTTGCGGAGCTTGGCGCCCCCCAGACGTGCCCCACTCTCTGGTGCGACAACGCCAGCACCATCCATCTCACTCAGGACCCCGTCTATCACGCCCGCTCCAAGCACATCGAACTCCGCTACTTCTTCGTTCGCGAGCTCGTCCAGAAGGGCCTCATTGCCGTTCGCAAGATTGCAACCGAGGCCAACTTGGCCGACATCTTCACTAAGGCCCTCCTTCGCCCCGCGCACTCTGCCTTCCTCCGCCTCATTGGCCTTGCTCGCCCGGGCGCCCCTTGATTCAGGGGTTGTTCTCTTCTTGTGTTAGCATGCTAAGGGGTTGTGTTAAAATATATATTGTGTAGCATGCCAACACATGTGACTGTACACCAATTGTGGTGTACAGTTGGGTTGGGACTACACCCAACTTTGGGTGTAGTCTTGCACTTTGGGGTGCCAATCCACCCAATTGTGGTGGAGCCCCCAAATGCATCCCTCTTGACTTGTGGGTACCTCACTTCCCACAATTGAGGTTACCCCAAGCCAAGTGGGCCTAGGGTTGCCTCACTTCTACAAAGTGTGGGCAACCCAACCCACTTGACCTATGGTTCCCTCACTTCCCCAAGTGAGGTCAACCCAACCTATGGTCACTTTCATCCTTCCCTTCCAACCTTCCCTTCCAACTATGTATGCTAGGTTGTTCCTCTAATCTAATTACTTGTTCAATTCACAATCTTCACAAACGGGAGTGAATAGGCGGGGCACAATAAGCAAGGGGGAGATGGACAGCGCGCTGATGGACGCCATTCCCAAGAGCGAGAGACACAAGGCAGGAGGCGGGCAGGTGAGAGGCAAGGGAGCCAAGCGAGCCATAAAAGGGCACCTGAGGGTGGTGGTGCTGGCACACTGCACTTGCGCAACCCCCATCATTCCCTTCTCCCTTCCTCCGTGCGTGCATACCTGGCACCAATTCGTTTTCTTCGTCCTTCTCACTCCCGTCCCGCCTCCCATGTGCATACCGGCTCCCGTCAGATTGTGACGCGCACCGGCTCGCCCTTCCACTCAGAAGACCTGGCACGCTGTGCTGCTGACGCTGCTAGACCCAACACGTGTGCAAGGATTTGATTTCCCCTCCATCTCCTTGCTCCCCATGTGCATACCTGCTATCATCAGATTGTGACGCGCACTGGCTCGCCCTTCCACTCAGAGGACTTGGCGCGCTGTGCTGCTGACGCTGCTCGCTCCATTGTGCTGCTCTCCCCGCCTGTCTCCGACCCCTCTCAAGCCGACGCCTTTGTGAGCATGCGGGGCTGTGCTGTGCTGCGGTATGGTGCGGTGTGCCATCGCATGGCATGGCATGAATGATTGGAGATGGGAACCACTTATTGGATCCTGCCCAGCGCACACACCATCCGTACTCACTTCCATGCATGCATCATCATTCCAATTATGCTCACCCACCCCCTCAGGTGATCCAAGCGAGCCTGGCCCTCGCCACGCCAACCGTGCTAACATCAGTTGACAGTTCCACCACTCCCATCTGCCACATCTCTCCCATGAACCCAATTTATCCCACCCCTTCCATCCCTCCCACCGCTCCACCCAGGTGATCCAAGCCAGTCTCGCACTCGCCAACCGGCCAGACATTAGCGCTGACATCATCGCGGAGCTCTCTTCACTCTCCAACGTGCGCCTGCTGCAACGCCTCCACCGCACCCTCCTCGCCCCCTCCCCTGCCACCACTGCCCAAGCACCGCCCACTGGCATGAGGGGGAGGAGGAGGCGGCTGGTGCCGGTGGCAGCAGAGAATCTCTCGCTACGCACGCTGCTGTCCGCTGCTGTTCACCGCGGCACTGCTGACGTCACCGCTGACCTGCTCGACTTCGAGAACGACGAGTTTTACTTCAAGGAGTGGTGAGTTGTGAGTGAGGGCATGCTTGTTGTGAGGCAGGATCAGAATAGCAGCACCGCTAGCAGCAGCAGCAGCAGCGCTACCAGCAGCGCTACCAGCAGCAGCAGGCGGCAGGGCGGGCACATGAAGATGAGAAGGAGGCGGTTGGTGCCGGTGGCGGCGGAGAATCTCTCGCTGCACACGCTGCTGTCCGCTGCTGTGCACCGCGGCACTGCTGACGTCACTGCTGACCTGCTCGACTTTGAAAACGACGAGTTTTACTTCCAAGGAGTGGTGAGTGGTGCTGTGGGGTGATGGTGGGTGCTCTATATGAGGCGCTGATTCAACCCCAGCCGACCTGCTTGACTTTGAGAACTAGGAGTTTTACTTCAAGGAGTGGTGAGTGGTGCTGTGCTGGTTCTGAGGTGTGGTGGGCTCATGCACTGCGTCCTGCTTTAGTTCATCCCCTCCGTGCCTCTCCATCCTCTACGCCTCCCCATCCCCCCCTCACTCCTTCTCCCCTCCACACGCCAACAGGCCAGAGCTGGTGGGGCGCACGTTTGGCGATGCGCTCTTTCTGTTCGACAACGCCACCCCCTGTGGGCTCATGAAGGCCCCCAGGCAGCACACTGCACCTGATGCTTCCAGTGCCGGCAGCACAATGGGTGAGGTGCTCGTGAACCCACCCAGCTGGACGCTCATAGAGGTACGCAGCTCTGGCTTATTTTGTTTTCAGATGTCTCAAAAGTCACTTCCATAGAGCTATGCTGAGAGCACTCGCTGCATTGCTCCTAGTTCTTCCCGTCCCCTCCCCACAGATGTCCCCACTTCCCTCCAGCCGTATCCCTTCCCTCTTCACCTCCTCTTGATACCTCTACCCCGTGCCTACATCAGGCCGGGGACAAGCTTGAGGTGATCGCAGATCGCAACAGTTACCGCCCAGGGTCCAGCCGCCCTTGTGATGGTCCATTCCCAAACCCCCACTCCCCCCCCCCCCACCCCTATACTCCCCCTCATCAGCCCGGAGACAAGCTGCTGGTGATAGCAGCGGATCGCAACAGCTACCGCCCGGGGCCAAGTCGCCTGCCGCCCCCGCCGTCCGAGCTCACTGCTGCAGCAGTCCCAGCAGCCACTCAGAAAGCGCCACGTGGCACCAGCAGCAGCAGCGTGGGCGGCAAGCAGCATGTGCTTATATGCGGGTGGCGGCCGGAAGCAAAGCAGCTAGTGGAGCTGTTGCCCTCGATACTGGCACAAGGTGGGTGTGTAGGGGGAAGTGGGGGGGGGAGGGGTGGAAGGGGGGGTTGAAGGGGTTGCATGGATCAATTTAATTGAGCTACTCTCACCCTTCCTGTCCCTCTTCCCCCTCCCTGCCCCCCTTCCCCCGTCCCGCCCCTAACTCCTGACAGGCAGTGAGGTGACGGTGGTGGCGACACACATCTCGCCAACAGACGAGCTGCTGCTGGGGAACATTCGCAGGCACAGGAAGCTTCCCATCCGCATCAGTGAGTGCCGCTTGCAGGGAGTTGGGGGGAGGGAGGGAGGGGCCAGGGAGGTGGGGACAGTGAAGTAGGCAGGTGGTAGAGTCGCTCGCTCCCCCAATCTCCATCCGTCCCCATTCCCTTCCCGTCCTTTATCACCTCTGTCACCGTAGACTCGGTGATTCGTTCTGCCAAGTCCGCATGTTCCAACGCCGCACTAACATGCCCCGACGCCCCAACGTGCCCCGACGCCCACCTCTCTCTTGTTCCCACACCATCAATTCCTCACCCCTCACCCCCTCCTCCTCCTCCTCACAGAGCGTGGCAGCCCATCAGACAGGGAGGTGCTGGAGTCGCTACCTCTCGAGACAGTGGACTCGGTGATTTGCTGCAGTCAACGCAAGTCAACGCAAGTCAACGCAAGTCGACGAGCCCCAACCATCCTGCAACCGCCACCCCACGCCCTCTTGTTCTTCCCATTCCATCCAACCCCCCCCACACCAGAGCGTGGCAGCCCAGCAGACAGGGAGGTGCTGGAGTCGCTGCCTCTTGAGACCGTAGACTCGGTGATTCTGCTGCAGTCAACGCAGGTCAACGGGGGGGAGAATGGGGAAGACGGGGAGGAGGATGCTGGCATGGTGGACAGCTCGCAGGCCACAGTGACGGCGCTGCTTATCAGGAGCATTCAGGTGCTTATCAGGTGTTTCCCCATGTACGTTCAGGTTCAGGCACTTTCTTGTTGTTTGCTCATGTGCTCTGGAGTTGTGGATAAATGACGAGTCACACTGACTGCTCTGCATATCAGGCAACCAACTCACGCCTTCCTTCCCATACAAGGCAATCAAGGCACCACCCTTCCCATACCTGCTCATGTTTGTGGGGTCCCTGCAAACGCATTCCAAACCCCCTTCTTTTTCCTCTTCCAACTCTCTTCTCCTGCTTTCTCTCCCCACTCTCTCTCCCCCCTCTGCCTCTCCCCCTGTCCCTCCCCCTGTCTCTCCCTGTTGTCTCCCTACTCTCTTATTCAGGCCGCCAGGGGGAGAGCACAGGAGGCAGCGATAGTGGCGGAGGTGCCAGCGAGTGAGAGGGACGTGGCGAGGCAGGTGGAGAGGCATGCTCTGGACGGAGACCAGGCAGGCAGAGAAGCAACCCAAGCGAGCCAACGCGAGACCCTTAAAACACCCTTCTTTCCCCTCTTCTCCCTCCTTTTGTCCCTCCCCCTTCCTCTGCCCCTGATCCCCCTGACTCTCCCTGCCAGGCATCCAGGGGGAGAGCACAGGAGGCGGCAATAGTGGCAGAGGTGCCGGCGAGTGAGAGGGACGTAGCAAGGCAGGTGGAGAGGCATGCTCTGGACGGGGCAGTGTGCCCCGAGCACCTGGAGGCTCAAGTGCTGGCGCAGATCACACACGACCCGGGTGAGAGTGGGGCAGGGGAAGGGGTGAGCAAGCACTCTCAGGCCTTGGCAGGTGGTGCGGTATGCTCAAGTGCTGGACGGTGGCGCTCTGGACGGGGTAGTGTGCCCCGAGCACCTGGAGGCTCAAGTGCTGGCTCAGATCACACACGACCCGGGTGAGATGGAAGGGTAGTGAGTGAGTATTCTGCGTGAGTGGTCTAAGTACGGCTAGATTTCCAACCCCCCCATATCCCTGAATTCTTGGATTTTCTTGCCCAGAATCAATCTCTGTCAACCATCCTCCATTGTGCCGCGCCACAGCGAGGGGGAGAACGAGGGATAAGACCCCGCATTCCCCTCGCCCTCCCCCTCCGCAAATCCCTTTTCCTCTCTCGCTGTCCTCCCCGCCAGATGTGGGCACGGTATTGGACGAGATAATTGGGTCGGAGAGGAACGCATTCATCAAACCACCTCCCCCTCACCCCTCCTGCATGCACTTTCTTCTCCCCCACCCTTTCCTCAAACCCCTCTGCCCCGCCAGATGTGGGCACGGTGTTGGACGAGATAATCGGGTCGGAGAGGAACCGCATGGCGGTGCGGCGAGCAGACGAGTTCATAGGGGAGCACGAGGCAGGCATCTTCAACCTCTGGGAGATGCAGGTGGGGCTTTAAGCAGGGGAAGAGGGGGGTATTATCAGGGGGTTAGCAGGGCAGCAATGCAGGTATCTTCCGCATGGCGGTGAGGCGGGCGGGTGAGTTGATAGGGGAGCAGGAGGCAGGCATCTTCAACCTCTGGGAGATGCAGGTGGGGCTTTAAGGGAGAAGCACGTGTGAGTTTAAGGAGGGGAAGTATGTGAAGCTGTTAGGGTGAGCGGCTGGTAATGGCGTTCCTGCCCCCTGCATGCTCCATGCCTCCTTTCCCCCCATTTTCCCTCCCCACCCCCGGTGAAATTCCCCCCCTCCCTCCCCTTATCAACCCAACTCCTCCCTGCCCGATCCACCCCGCTCCTCTCCTCCCCCCCATCAGGCGCGGGTGTGCATGAGTGAGGAGTTGGTGATAGCGTTTCTGCCCACCGCATGTCCTGTGCCTCCTTTCCCCCCACTCACCCTCCCCACCCCTGGCAACATAACCCCCAACCCCTGCCACCAGGCGCGGGTGCGCATGAGTGAGGAGTTGGTGATAGCGTATCGGCACCAAGGGGAGTGGCACCTCAACCCCTCTCACAAGGACCAACCCATTCCCTGGGGGCCTGACGACCGCCTGCTCGTCATCCGAGCCTCGCCGACAGCTTCGGTCAGACCTGCAGCCGTCAACACAGCCTGATGTGGTGCTGGCAAGCACTGAGACGATGCCGAAGATGCTGATTTCGGCATGTGCTGTGCCAGGCCATGGGAGAAACGCCATGCCATGCCACATGCCATGCCACATGCCATGCCACATGCCATGCCATACTGCTTTGCTCTGTCCCTGCCATTGCCCTGCTTGCACATACCTCGTCATCAGCCCCTGTCATGCCACCCTCTGCCAGCTCATGCATACATTGCCTCTCCAAGCAGTGTAGTAAATTATATAATGATAAGCAACCTAGGTAAAGCAAATCACTTGCCTGCCACCCCTATTATTGTATAACCAAATGCAAGCTAGTCAATCTGTAGCTAGAGTATGGTGCTGGCCCATCTAAGTGGGGGTTGAATAAGCACATATCATACTATACATAAAGATGTTGCATCTTTTACATGGTACACTTATCTCCTACCAGTATCTCTGCTATGTGTACTATCAAATGTCTCATAGTCCGTCTGCCTGCCATATGCTGCATCTGCATACTCCTCGTCTCACTCCCAGAATTCCCAATCCATTTGCGGGCCTCGGCTCGGCTCACATACCATACCCTCATGTTCACCCCATTCTCGGATATAGCGTCCTTCTTTTCTCCTCTCTCCAGAGCTCGTCTTGACCCAGACACAACTCGCACCTCCCTCCACATGCACCCCCGTATGCCCCTCCCCCATATGCGCCTCCCTCCGCATGCGCCACCTGGCGCCTCCCTCGTTATTGGTCCTCGTTCAGGTATCGCATGAGCACTCGTCTCTTGGCCAGCCGCGGGTGCGACAGGTCTGCGACGGGATCCACGATCGCGCGCGTTGCAGCGTCGTCCGCCGAGTTGGGAGTGTACTTGACGACTAGCCGGCGGTCGCCGCGCCGCATCAGAACGACCGGCTCCGATAGGTCGATTTTAGGCACGCCGATGGTGGCGCAGAGCGTGGAGAGGAAGAAGACGAGGAGAATAAAGACGAGGACAAGGCGCGCTGTGGATAGGACTCGGCTTGAAAAGGCCTGGTGGGGTGAGGGTGCGGGAACGGGGAGAGGGAGGAGTGAAGGGGAGGGGGAGGGGTTAGAGATGGGAGACGGATAACATAGGCGGGGATGAGGGTCCTAATGCTTGGTGCGAGGGTTTGCCTGGCTTCAGGTCTGGTTTAGCGAGCCACCAAAATGCCTCTCTTGATCCCAAATCTCTCCCGACATTTCCCGCCCGTACCCCTAAAACCTGCTGCGTCGCCCTTCCGCTGCTGAGTATCCGCCCACCCCTCAGCTGGCCAGCCTCGGCACAACCAGGCTCGGCAGGGAATGATCCCTTTGACCCTAAGTCTACCTGCTAGCAGAACTACACAGGGTTTTCGAGCAAACCGCAGCTCTCTCTGTCAACGATAGCTGCCCTGCTCCCAATCTGTTACAACCTCATCCTTTCTCTCCTGCAGTCCACTCTCTAAGCTATCATCATACTGCTACAGCCGCTTCGCTGTCAGCCGCGGGCACGTATCCCCGATCGTGTCAGACGTGACGTCATTGTGCGACCGCGTGACGACATCTGGTCTATTTAACGACTCGCTAGCGACTCGTCGGGTATCGCTGCGCAGATGCGGTAATCGCACACGGAAACCCAAGAAAGCGGCCTCTTCTCGAGGCACATGATTACGCAAGTAAGTTGGAGTCGGCTCAAAAGTAAATGTCGTTACCTTGGATCGCGATTTGCCGTCGCTGAACGCGCCTGCTGTGAACGACGAAACGGGTGATCGCACGCACAGTGGCGACCCCATCTCCCACCGCACGCACTTCCGCGCGCTCTCCATGGCTGCCCGCGATTCACGGCGATAAATCCGGTAGATCAAGATCCGGCTCCCGTGTAATACGCTGGCAGTAGGGTCTATAAGGTAACCTGGTTACCACTTAGTAAGCGCATAGGCTGATTCTGAGGCGCGTTGAAAGCGTAGGCTAAGCTTTGGAACTCTCTTTACACGTTTGCTTAACGACGGGTCTGCTCCAAGTTGCTTGTGATCTGTCCCGAATGCACAATTCGAAAGTAAGAGGCTGCTTCTCCTAGCGCTAATACCGTTGTCTGGCGATGCGCCGAAGAATAAGCGAGGGGCTGCGTTGCGAAGGCATCAGGCGAGGCTGTGAAACATTGCCTTCGCGAGAGGTGTGGGTATTGCGGGAAGCGCGGGTGTTGCGGTACGAGAACCACGTTGCGAGAAAAGGAGGTGGTCGCTGAGTTACGGAGAGTTCCACCAACAACGCCGGTGCATGTTGACGCTCGGGCTGGAATTGCTTGATTGCTTGTGGGGCGGAAACTCTGTCGGTGGTTCCTGAATGGAGCAGTGTGGAATGAGTGTGGCTGGAATATTTTCAGGCAATCGAGCCTTGCAGCTGGTGTTGAATAAGGAGCCACAAGGAATGAAGTTGAGGTTTATGTCTGGTCTAGCGAATGGGAATGTTGACCCGTGTGCTTGCTGAAATTGGCTTCTTGTCCTGCGTTGCTGTGGTGCAGAAATGCGAGGGGTGAGAGAGGACATGCGTGAGGGCGACGCGACGCCGCAGTGGGGAAAGGCTGTGCCCTGTGTGAACAGAGCTGCCGTGACATGGCATGGCATCATGATTCATGGCACATTTGTCCGAGGTTGAGGGCGAATAAGACGAGAAGAACCAGAGCAGTCAGGAGAAATCAGGAACCAGCATGCGACGCGGGATGCTCAGATTCACCAAAGCAAGGCGCAGGCAAAGTCGACGAAACGAATTCAGCGACTTTCGCAGAAGGCGAGGGGAATGAATGAGCGCCACTCGCTGCATGGACGTGGCGTTTCGGAATCTGCTGAAGCGCACTCCCGCTTCCCTGGAACCCCTCCCTCCCGCCACCAGCAGCAGTGCGACAACATGGAGGGCGGAAAGAAACATAAACAGCGGTTCGTCGTGTCCTGCCAGGGTGATAAGCAGCAGCATGAACGGCAACTTTCAGGGGAGAATTCTCACCTGAGGTGGTTACGAAATCCAACCACCGTACGGTACGGTTTACTGTAAAGAACCTGTCAACGAATCACGGCAGCGCTTCTCTTTCAATTCAGTTCAGGTGGCATTGCATTGCATGCCCCACCAGCCAGGAAACAAACATCGGCGCTCACAGTGAATTGGTCGGGACGCTTCGAGCCCAGATAAAATTCCAGGATTCGCCAGAAATGATCAGCTTTCGTCAAGCGGGAAAATCATTACAATCACCTTATTTCATTCCCTTTTGTACACTCTTTCAGAAGCTCATCTCACCCAATGAATCCAGCATATTCAATTCGCAGCTGTAATGAGATCAACATTGCAATCTCTCAATTCGGTCCACCTGCAACAAATGTGTGTGCCCCCTTGCAATTCATTAGTTGGAATTGAAACCAAAACACCGTATGGTGGTAAATCAAGGTATTGCAATAAGCTATTATTCCAACCTAGCATGGAAGTCTGGAATGCACTGCATTGGGTATTCACCACTAAATTATGGTTGATGTGGATAGCGCACCCAAGTCGCCAAGCAGAGTAAGAACCCAAGTGTTTTTACAGTGCTACACACAAGCTGTTTGATGGTGCTAATGGGGGTTCCCATGGTGAGGTGTGAGGGGAACACAGGTGAGTGGGGAACGCAAGTGAGTTAGCAGGGAAATGGTGGTGAGCAGAGAGAAATGACAGTGACGGATTGGGGAGGGGAACGGCGGTGAACTGGGGAAAGGGAGGGGAGGAGTGGGAAGGAGGAGAGTAGGAGAGAAGGGATTATAACAGCAGGGAGGGAGTGGCGGCAAGAGGAGGAAAAACGCGGCGAGGGAGGGAGGGGGATGGGAGGGAAATTGCAAGGTGGGTGGGGGGTGTGGAGAAAGGCAAGGGGCGGTTTGGGGGAGGCTGATTGGGTGTTGGGGAGAGGAGCGGCAGTGAGCGACGGGGGGGAGGGGAGAAAAATGGTGGTGGAAGAAGCGGAATGGAGGGGCGAGGGGAGGGAACGGCGGCGAGAACTGGGGAAAGGAGAGGTGAATGGCGGTGATGCAGGAGTTTGGGGAAGAGGTGGGGGAGGGGGTGGACCGTGGAGGGAGAGGGTGTGTGGGGGAGGGGGGAGAGAAGTCGGGGGGTTATAAAGAAACACAAATTCGTCCAAAACGGTCGGTTCAGTTGATTGAAAAGTTCATTCTCAGTGATGTTTAATTCCCAGTGCTGCTGGTTGCGGCTCTGATGTTCGTAGTCCATGGAACCGCCATGGCTGCAGCCGTGCAAGAGTGAATTCGGTGAAAGAAAAAGTCGTAACCTCAGTAGCTATGTTGAACTGCAAATTGAAGAAACACGTAGGGAAACAGAAAATCCTACAGTAATGAAGGCAAGTCAATCCTACATGACTAGTCGACGCAGACAATGGTGAAAGACATGCGCCGCGTAAACAGCACATACTCACCACCCCACCGATCCCGCAGCGGAACGCCCGGCGGAACCCCGCGAGCACCCTCGCGCGCACTTCCCCCCAACCCCCGCGCGCACCCTCTACTCAAAACGGCACCTGCGCGTCGGCGGCTTCCGCGACGATGGGCAAGCGGGGGGTCTTCCCGAGGAGGCACGACACGACGCCGAAGACGAAGCACGCGAAGAGGTAGAGAAACACGGTGTTGTAAAAGATAATCGTCAGCTGTAGCGAGATGCCGTCGTTGCCCGCGAACAGGCGCTCGATGAGCGACGGCAGGATCATGAGGATATCGAGAATCACGGCCTGCATCGCGTTGTAGCGCACGTAGCGGTCGAGATTTTGGTTGCGGATGACGGCGAGGTAGAGGAGGAAGAAGAGGATGAGGCCCGCGTACGGGAAGGAGTTGTAAGCTTGCACGAGCGGGATGATCGGGTCGAGGATCACGCGCGTGAAGGGGTATTGCGCGTAGAGGAACCGCGCGTAGCGCGCGCCGTCTAGGAGCGGGAGGAAGTAGACGCTGGCGGAGAGGATGCGCTCTGGGACCCCCACGCTCCCGTCTCCGCCTCCCCCGCGCGCGTGAACGCGCACTGCGCCGGGCGAGCGAGACGGGAGGTGGGGTTGGCGCGCGGATAGAGCGGAGAGAGCGGGGAGAGAGGGGGCGAGGGCGGAAGCGGAGGAGAGGTGGCGCGGGGAGAGGGCTGGGCGGGGGAGGAAAGCTGCGCGCTGACGAGGAACGGCGCGGCATGCGGCTGTTGATGTTGAGGCAGTGCCGGAGACGAGGCGCAGTTGGGAAGTTGATGCGGATGATGCGCAGCGGGGAATGAGCCCCGCTGTGGCTGCGGCGCGCGCATGGCACGACGCGACTGACGTCGACATGGCGACGTGAATACTAATTATAAAGTCCGACACAACCTACGAGTTCCAAAAACGGATATTAACTCTCCTGTCAAGTGCCTACCGCTGACCGTCGAACCAAGATTGTACAATTTCAACGGGATTGAGACAAGATGTGGCACGATTAGCTGGGAAGGAGCTAGTAGGACACGGCACAAATTCGGGGCCAAGGTTTAGAAATCTGCAAATTAGTGATCGCAATGTGGGAGCTGCAGATGAACCTGCTTGGGGGATAAAACGGTGCGGAAGGGTGAGTGGTGGTGCGGAGGGTTCCGGAGTGGAGGGGGAGGAGTGGGAGAAATCTTGCTTCCTGGGGCAATCGAGTTTGTGCGGAGCGGAGCAGAGCTGCGGGTTCCCCTCATTGCGGGGAGGGGAGTGATCTGCCTCCCCTATCCCTGGAAAGCCAGGTTTCTAGGCGATGCGCTCCGCACCGCGTGTCATGCCGAAGATCGGAAATCTTAATTGGATGTGCCAACAGCGCTCATTTCCACGTGGCAGAACGTTTGGCTGCCGTGTGGAGTGGAACGATGTGATGGTAGAAATGTGATATTCGCTACAAGCATAGCTCGATAACCACGAAATTCCGGAACCATAGTGTCGTTTTTGCTTACAGCTTCCTGTGTTGTATATGGAAAATTGCACCTAGTTTTTGCACAAATGCAACACAAATTCCCGATTTCTCTGAACCTCGGCCCTGAACCCAAAAATCACACATTAGTGCGCGCATACCTAGCTAACACGTGCGCATCCCGCCGATTAATCCGCGCCCTAGATCGCGCCAATGGCTTCTGTCGCCGTGCGCCTACCCTCCTCCACCGCTGCGCCCGCAGCCTCCGCGACTGAGCTAAATGGCGCAACCTCCCGCCCGCGCGCGCTGACCAGCTGCGCGCCCTCAGCGCTGCTCCCCCGCCAGTCGCTTACCCTGCGCGCCAAGCCTGCGCAACGGAAAACGAAGGTACGGCGAATGCTGCACAGGTCGTTGAAGCACAATGTGCGTTTAGCTTGTACGCGTTACGACTCTCCCATAACCCACCACTGCGCAACAAATCTCGAATCACATAAGGGGACCTACATTATCCTTTCCACATTTTCCCCTTCCCCTTCCCCGATGCCCCCCTTCCCTTCTCTCCCCCCCCCCCCCCACCCCCCAACGCCTCCGCCGATCCCCGTGTTTCGGCAGTCCCGCGTCTGCTCCGCGCGCCCCGCGATCACAGCGTCAGCGGCATCTGCGCCGGAATATCTGGAGGCGCTGCTGGACGCGCCGCCGGCCGTGGCGCGGCAGGAGGTGACGGCGTTCGCGCCGGCGACAGTGGCGAATCTCGGCCCGGGATTTGATTTCCTCGGATGCGCCGTCGAGGGACTCGGCGACCACGTCACGGCGCGGGTGGGCGTTACCTGGGGTGGGCGTTACCAGGGGTGGGCGTTACCTGGGGTGGGCGTTACCAGGGGTGGGCGTTACCAGGGGTGGGCGTTACCTGGGTGGTGGGCGGTACCTGGGGTGGGCGGTACCTGGGGTAGGCGTTACCTGGGGTGGGCGTTACCTGATTTTCCCTCCTGCCCGCCCCACTCCTCCCCCCAAGATCTTGGCAGCCCCTCCCTTGCCTTCCTCATTTCCCCTCCACCTTTACCCTCCCTCTCCTGCCTCCCTCCTTCTCTTCTCCCCCATTCCTCTCCCCCCACCCGCTCTTCCCCTTTCCCCCTTCCCCCCATATCCCCTGCGCCCCTCTGCAGATCCTGGACGTGCCCGCCCCGCCCTCAGGCAACATCATCATCGAGCGCATCGAGGGCGACAACGGACGGCTGGGATTCGACCCCGCCACCAACTGCATCGGGATCGCCGCCCGGGCCACCATGGAGCTCCTCGGCCTCTACGGCCCGGACGGCAAGGGCAGCGGCACACCAACCAAATCCGGATCAAATCTTCCCGTGATCGGCCTCACTCTGAACAAGGGTTTGCCATTGGGGAGTGGACTGGGTTCCAGTGCTGCGAGTGCAGCAGCAGCAGCCGTGGCCGTAAACGCCCTCTTCGGCTCTCCGCTCTCCAAAGCACAGCTGGTGCTGGCGGGGTTACAATCCGAAGCTGCTGTGAGCGGTTACCACGCGGACAACGTTGCGCCGGGGCTCATGGGCGGGTTTGTGCTCGTGAGGTCGTACCGGCCGCTGCATCTCATCCCGCTCACATTCGGCGAGGGGAAGAAGCTCTTCTTTGTGGTCGTGACGCCAGCGTTTGAGGCGCCCACGAAGGAGATGAGGGCAGCACTTCCAAAGGAGGTGAGAGAGCTCCCCGTTATGACATGCTGTGGTATAGAAGCTGGCCTGACCTGGCCAGGGTATGATGTGTTGTGGTGCCACTGCATGGGAGATTCCGGATTCGTTTCTCACATCTCTTGGTTTTGTCATCTGCCATGGTGTGTTGTGGCTTGGCATGGCATGGCATGGCATGGCATGGCATGGCATGTCATGCAAGCAGATCACGATGGCATCACATGTGGCCAACAGCAGCCAGGCAGCGGCTCTCATCCACGCCATCCACACGGGCGATGCTCGCCTGCTCGGTGCTGCCCTCGGTGAGTACTGCTTCCCTTAGCGAGTGCTCTCTCCTATTTGAGCCATGTGCTGTCTCATCTGGATTTGAGTTTGCTCCACTTTGCTCCTTGCTTTATAAAGTTGCTTCTTAAATGCTGTCTGTGACCTCCCTCTTCCATCCTCCTTACGAGCAGCTTCGGACACGATAGTGGAGCCACGGCGCTCGCCTCTAATTCCCGGCATGTCAGCAGTGAAGGTGGCAGCCAAGGCAGCGGGGGCACACGGGTGCACCATCAGTGGAGCAGGCCCGACTGCAGTAGCAGTGGTGGACAGCGAGGAGGTGGGGCGGGCTGTGGGAGCAGCCATGGTTGAGGCGTTCCAAGAGCAGGGCAAGCTTCATGCTAAGGCTACTGTGGCTGCCCTGGACTCAGTTGGTGGGAGAGTAGTGTAGAAAACGTTTCTGAATGACACGTTCATTGCTTATGCAGCTAGATTTAGGGTACGGTACCATACTTTCCTGGAGAGACATAAACATTTAGTGTCTAAAAATACTCAGTGGTGCAAATTTTGTCTTCATATGTAATCCGTTCCAGAGCTTTTGTGTGACTGGCTGACAGGAATAACCTTGTGGAGACTGACTGACTGAACCCCCCGCATTACACAATCTTGGTACCCCAACGCCAATGTGGAACGGAAGCAATATGCACATGTTTTGAAGTCTCTCAGGCACATCAATGCAAACATTACCTAGGCTAAGCCCAATGACGTCATTTAAAAATGAAGCAGTAACCCTACCGTAGTTGCGTAAATATCGGCGAATGAGTAGACAAGCAGGTCATAAATCACCTTTCAAAAAATAACCGTAAGTAGACCCCTAAGCCTTGAAGGGGATGACCTTGTTCACGATCTCGTCGCTGAGAGCGGCAACCTGCGAGTCGAGGCTCTTGAGGGTCGACTCCTTCTGTGTCTCCAGGTTCGCGAGCGACGACTCGAGCTCCTTCTCGATGCGCGCGCGGTACGCCTGCAGCTTCGCGTCCAGCTCAGCAGCCACCTCCTTCTTCATCGCGTTCATTTGCCCTGACGCCTCCGCGCGAGCCGCCTTAATCAACGCCTCGGCCTGGCTCTGCAGGTCCTTAATCTCGCCGGAGTTATCCCTGACACCAATAAGCTTCTTCCTGATTTCCTCGTCGCGGGAATCCATGACGGTGGAGACGGGCTTGAACCAGATGGTATCGAGGGCAACCATGAGGAGGAGGAACTGGACGACAATGATGGGGAGGGTCAGGTTGAAGTCAAAGATCTTTCCCTTCTCCTCCTCGGCGAACGCTGGCATGGCGATCATCGCATTCATCGCGATGATCGCAGCGTGGTGCATCTGCCTCGTCGCCTTCTCGCCGAAGATACCCTCAACGACGGACGACGCAGCGGACGAGATCGTCGCGTGGCTGGCGACGGCCTTGTTCTCCCTAGCGTCGCACACGAGTCTAGCAGCGCTAACGACGGAAGGAAGCTTCGCGGCGGAGCGAAGGCTCTTGCCGGAAACAAAGGACCTGTTCAGGCCCTTGACGGTGAGGCTAGACGCCATAGCGGAGGCAGCGACGGCAGCCATTGTCATCTATGTGCAGAAACCGAAGCTACGACTTGAACGGCAGACTTGCAGGAGAGCAACAGCAGCAACTATGGCTACTGAAGTGGGAAAATGCAGTCTCGCTTGAAAATGACTGCTGCTGCTGTCTGCTGTGTTGGGAGAGGAAGGGACGGAGAGGGAGGGAGACGAGCTTGGAGAAGCAGCAGCAGATCGGAGAGAGTCGAAGGAAACGGTGGAAAGAGAAATCAGAGCGATTTGTCACGGTAGGGAGAGACACAAGTGGGAGAGGAGGCGGGGTGAGGTTGGGTGAGGGGTGGGAGGTGAGGTATGCTTGAGGGGACGATCTTAACCGTAAAAGTGGTATGCTTGAGCACGATCGACGGTACGTATGTCTTGGCGACAAGCATGGGGTCTGTGGGCGACAAGCATGGGTCTGTGAAAGATGGGTGATGTGTGAGGTGGTGGTGTGAAGGGTTTGGATGGAATCTGCTGACGAAACCCTATCCAGATGGAGCTCCATTGTTGCGGGACCGCTGATCATTTGCCATTTGGCATCGGTTCGCGGATCTCGCCGCCACTTTCCACGACTTGGTAGCCGCTAACAGATGTCGAGGTGTCCGGTGTTATTACCAAAATTAATTAGTTTACAGAAAATACTTGAAAACTGCACTTATAACTCCGATTGACGTCTGGACTTGTATTTTGTATCAGAACCAGAAACAGACAAAATCACCCCTGAGTCTTGGCCAGCTCATCCAAGATCGTAAGACACGAGTCACGACGAAGGGGCCAGCTGGCTGACGAGGAAGGGAAATGCTTTATTGGTCAGCTTCCAAGATGAATTTGCCGCCACAAACCACTTCTTGGGCAGCCAGCCACTCAGCCAGCGTGTGTGTATGATTGTTGACGTCAACCGCACGAACCGAGCCTCGCCAAGTTCGGTCCAAGGCAGCGCAGAACAATCACCCAACCTCGCCAAAGCTCCTGCCTGAACCCAACCTTCGCTTCGGAATCCCTTCAACCAATTACAGCTGCTTCGCACACGGCGCCAAGCTCGAGCACAGCTGGATGGGATGCTACGGCCCACGAGTCATGGAAGCACCGTGTGAACTCACCGTCACAGTGAGCGGGCAGGAAGGAGTGACAGTGACTCGGCCGCCGTTTGCATGCATCCCTTTCGGATCAGGTACGAAATGCTCGATATTTTACCTGCTGCAGGGAAGGTGAAGGGAGAGCGCCGAGCCATTTTCCGTTGCGCACCTCGGTCCTCTCGAACCAATCTCCTTGGCAGCATCTCGTCCAACCACAAGCAGATGACCTGTGAAATATAGTAGCTTGTCAACTCGCCGTGACGTATGCCGGAAGCATAGCGCCTGCAAGCACAGCCACGAATAGATTCCAGTGGTGCACTTCGAGTTGCCGCCATAGGATCCACAATCTCGACCAACCTACGTCACGAACATTTCTCGCAACGGAACGACGAGCTTGACACTCACGCAGCGCGGCGCGTAGTTGCATTTACACCAGAAGACCTTTGGGGTTTGAGGCGCCTTAAAATACCCTCACCCGCCAGAAGCGCGTCGAGTTCGCTCGTATTCTGGATTCGGTCCGCATCGCCGCGCGCTCCCGTGGCGCGTCCAGGGCTGACGGCAGCATGGCAGGCGAACCCGTTCGCTGGGCCGAGATCGACGCCTTCGCCGGCGGCGGCGGTTGCGGCGACGTTTGCGGCGCCATCCAATCGCTCAGTGCCAACGCGCATCAGCGAAGTAGTAACAGATTACACTCGCCGGGAGCCATGGTAACCAGAAATCGCTGGACGGGTTCTGAGACGCCGGACGATCCGACGGATTTCGTGACGGAATCCGTCATGGAAAGGGCCGCTCCTGGCTGGAAACCGACGGGTCGGGTGCGGCGCGGCGGCGGCGGCGGCGTGCAGCGGTCGCGCAGCGTGGAAGGCACGGGAACGGCGGCGGAATGCATGGTCGACGCTGGCGGCGGCGGGCAGCGCCACGTGGTGGTTAGAGCGGCGTCGCGGGATGACAGTTGGGAAGGTGAGGCGAGCAGAATCGACTAGGGGAGCAGAGAGGGGAGTCGCGGAATGGGCGACTCGAGTTGAGCCGACGGTAGTGGTTGTATCGACGAGCCTATTAACTTCATTGCTGCGCCGGCTCGTATCCTTTGCTTCCGTTCCCTCCCCAATCCCCTTCTCTTCCCCTTCTTTTCAACCCCGACAGCGCTGGAGCAGCAGGGTGTCGGCGCATGGAGGCGGTGGGGTTGCGACGTTGCGCGGGATTTGCAGGCACTCGTTCTTTGCTTCGTTTCCGCCCTCCGATCCCCCGCCTCACGGCCTCTTCCCCTTCCCCCCCCCCCCCCACGATCCCCCAGCGCTGGAGCAGCAGTGTCGGCGCATGGAGGCGGTGGGGTTGCGCATTGACAACATCGACCTCACTTGCCTTGACGCGGAACCCGCTCCGCACTCCCCGCAGTCCGCGGGGGGCAGCCGCTCTGCAGTTTCCGCCACCGCTGACGCCAATGGCGCTGACGGCGCGCCAGAGGCCGGGAAAACGCCCCGCGAATCATGGCGTGAGCCCACGGGGGAGCGGAGGAGCGAAGCGGGGGAGGCGGCGGAAGGGCAGGAGGCGGGGGAGGGGACGGGCGGAGCGCCCGCAGGGGGGGAGGCGCACGTTAGATACGCTTTCAGCTTAGTTCCTACGCCCCGCGCCAGACGCGACGATAGTCCCAGATCGTCGGATTCGGTACCGGTGATACCACCACCTGACAGATCAAATTTGCTGGTTTGTGCTCCATCGCTAGGCGCTGACGTGGCAGAATCTGAAGGATCCCTGGATTTCGCCACGGTATTCGTTAATGGCACGCCCGACAGAGTCACAGTGCCTATGGATGCTCCCCCGCTGTCTGCGCCACCTGCATTGGTTTCCGCAGCAGGGTTAGCCTACCAGGGCGGAAATGGCCCCCCATCGCCATGCGCCCCCGTCTTGCTACCCGGGGTGATTTACTCTTCAAATACAGAATGTACCCCCGGTTCGCTTAGCACCAATCATTCTGCTGCAATGGGACAGTTTTCCCATGGGCCAACCAATTACGCTCCCATGCACCAGCCTTCATTCCGCTCCCCCCATTCCTCCTCTCACTCCTCCCCTTACTCCTCGCTCTCCATCCTCCCTCCCTCCTCCTCAGACTCCTATGACCACACACTCCCCTCTCGGTCCGCCATTCCCTCGCAGACCTCCTACTCCCCCACCTCCTCGACTCTCCACTCCTTTGCCTCCCCCGCTTGCACCTCCCCCGCCTGCGCCTCCCCCATCTCCGTCTCCCCCACCTCCGCAACCCACGCTCCTCCCTTCGCCCCAACCAGGCCCAGGCCTGCCCGGCAACCTGCCCCGGGCTTTCATCGCAGGAGCAGCTCTCTTTCCGTTCTGACCGAGTATCTGCCCGGGGTGGCACCTGCAGCCTGCAACTCTCCTTGCGGTGCCACATCCGCATGCGCACACCCCACTGCATCCACTTTTGTCTCCCGACCATCAGCAGAGAAACCCCCAACGCCGCGTAAAGCCCCGGTGGCCCCCAGGTTTGCTCGCTCTCCCCAAGAACCGTCTGCTGCTGCTGCTGGGAACGATTCCCCACGCCTGCAGCTCAGGCAGCAGATGCAACAGTCACAGCAGGTGCAGATGCAGATGCAGCAGCAGGAGATTGAGCAGATGCAGCAGATGACGCACATGCAGCAGCAGCAGATGATGCACATGCAGCACGTGCAGCAATACCAGCAGGCTCCACAGCTGCAGCAGATGCAGCAGCAGCAGCAGATGCAGCAGCAGCAGATGCAGCAGCAGCAGCACATGCAGCAGCAGCAGATGCAGCAGCAGCAGATGCAGCAGCAGCACATGCAGCAGCAGCAGCAGGTGACGCATGTGCAGCACATGCAGCAGTACCAGCAGGCCCCACAGCTGCAGCAGATGCGGCCTGCCAGAGAGAGCATCACCGGGGGCCGAACCAGGACCCCATCCATGCACCGATTCACACCGTCGCTGCCTGAACTATCCATGGCAGATGCACTGGAGGAGGAGGGGGAGGGTAGTGAGGAGGGGAGTGATGGGAGTTTCTCAAGGAGCCCAGTAGTGGCTCAGCTGCCATGGAAGGATGGGAAGGGAAGGCATGGTGCGCCGACGCAAGCTCAGAGGTACGGTGTACCAGGCCACGCTGGGAGGCTCGGGTCACCAACGCAGGCTGGGAGGATCGGTTCACCAATGCAGGCTGAGAGGCTCGGTTCACCAACGCAGGCTCCAAGGCTCGGGGACATGGTACAGGTTCGGAGATTCTCCCCAGGTGGTGGTGGTTTGCCAGCTGGAGGTTCGGGCAGGGCCGGCGCAGAAATCAAGGTCTGGGAGACATCAGAAAGGGGTTTGTTGCAGGGGAAGGGCCGGTCTGTTTCTAATAGAGAGACTGGTTATAGGAGTATGAGCAGCGATAACGTCCTGGAGGAGTGGAGCGACATTGAGGCAGATGCTGAGTGGGTGGCGGTGGGAGGGAAGCAGGCAAACGCAAGGGAGGCTGGGGGGTTGGATGGTGGCAGTCCTAATTTGAGTGGTTACAGGGGTATGAGGGGTGGTGGTGCTGCAGCGCATGAGGATGTGAGGGGTGGCAGTATGAGGGGCCAGGAGGAGGGTGTGAAGAGCAAGAGGAGTGTGCTGAAGAAAATGCTGTGGCGGTTCAAGTCAGGACCAGGTGGACACGCAGAGGAGTCTGCCAAGGGGAAAACACCGCCACAGCAGGAGCAGGAAGAGGAGGAAGAGGCAGAGGAGGAGAGGCAAGGCGAGCAGGAGCAGGAGAGGCATGGAGGTTACACAGTGCGTGTCTTTGCAGAAGCAGAGTGTTGACCTGTAGGATCAAGGTCTTGAGATCTTGCAGCATCATTTAATGGGATGTGGTGTTGGGTTGCTTTGTTGGGTAGCTTTGCTTGCTGTGTAGTAGGCTAGAAGCTGACAGGTGGCATGCATATCCGTTTATCCTGGTAGATAGATATACTGTATGATCCGGTGGCGGATTGAAGCTTGGGATTACCCCATACCGTATTCTGCATACCACAGCATATATTAGTATAGAGTACAGGCACAAGGGGCTACAGTGAAGGGGGCACGAGAAGTGCCCCCAAGACAGGCAACCTTGCTACCAAGGCACCTGTCTTGCCCCAGTATAACCCCTAATTAGATGGTCCTACATTCACCCCACCATCCCCCCATTCTTGACGCCCACCACCACCACACCACCCCCATACCCATGGTGCCTCATTGCACATCAGGAGGCAAGATGCATGGCTAAGCCACACCTCATGTGACAATAGCCAAACCTCACATCACTCCATCCATGATCCACCTCCAGCAACCCCTCCGCCCCTTACAGTCACATTAGCTGACAGTCCCTTGGTTATTTCTGCCCCGTGGTGCGTACCACCTGCTGCACGTGACTACAGCGAAAGGTGGCCACAGCCCCCACTCCCAGCTTCCACACTGCAACCCACCGCCCTTTACAGTCACAGCAGCTGGTGCTCCCGCAGGTACTGCATCGCCATGGTGCACGTGACTACAGACGGCAGCAGCATGTCGCCGCCCAGCGCCAGCCTGTCAAGGTCCTGGGCGGGCAGGTGCAGCACCTGAATGAACTCCTCCGGGTCGCGCGGCAGCGGGGTGAGGTCGGGCAGCGGGTCGATGACCAGGAACGGTGTGAAGCGGTTCTTGCACCACTTCACCTCGAGAAGGCCCGGATGGTCTTCAGGGATGAGCCTTACGAGCTGGCCGCCACGCAGACGCGCCTGGTGGTGGTAGGGGGTGAGACAGGGGTTGAGGGGATTGAGTAAGGGGGTGGCAACGGGGTGGGGTCGGGCAGCGGGTCGATGACGAGGAACGTGTGAAGCGGTTCCTGCACCACTTCACCTCCAGCAGCCCGGGGTGGTCCTCGGGAATAAGGCGCACGAGCCGCCCGCCACGCAGACGCGCCTGGTGGCAGGGAGTAAATTAAGGGTGGAACGAAGGGAGTCAGGGGTTGAGAAGAGCGAGTGAAGCAACACGAGGGTGGTACGAGTAAAGATGCTGCTAGTGCTGGGACACAATGCTCTAGCGTCTGCATCCATTACATTGAGTCGCTCATTGGAAAACAATCTGGGATTCACTTCGGGATGCACATCGTCACGCAAGTTGGGATCCATGGGTGGTGCAGAGTGGCAGCTCACCTCCTCAGACAGCTCGCTCCGGACGCAATCTTCCAGCGATGTATGCGAGCTGCTGAGGCCCCCACACGGCACTGTGTACAGCAGGCTGTTGGCGCCCTGTGGGGGTGAGAGACGAGGAGTGTAGTGCAAGGTGGTGAGACGCGGTGGAGAAAAGAGGTAGCGACAGAGAATGGAGCGTGCGCGAGTTGCTGAAGCTACCACAGGGCACTTGTGCAGGGGCAGAAAGAGTTGCGTCAGACGCGCACCTGGGCGTACTCCTTGAGGAGGGTGACGGACTGCGTGGCGGAGTGGAAGGGCAGCACGCAGATGAAGTGGCTGCTGGCGGACGACACGATGTCATACTCCACCACCTTCTGCCCGCGCCCCTGCCTCGCTCCCTCCTCCTGCTGCCACTGCTGCCCCTGCTGACCCTGCTGCTGCTGAAATGAGGTCCTGCTCTGCAGGCTGGGTCCTGCTGCACAGGCGGCCACGATCGGGCCCCTTGCACCAGACGCCCCATAAGCAGATCCGTTAGCTGCACCAGCTGCAGGAGCTGCAGGAGTTGCAGCAGCGGCTGGTATCTGGTGGAATGTGGGGGTGACGAGGCCGGTTTCGGCGGCATGCTGTGGCTCTTGCTGTGCAAGAGGCAGTGGCGGGTGCTGATGAGGCGACACAAAGAGGAACGAGAGAAACAAGGGGGAGGTAGGAGAGAACAAAAAGGAGTGAGTGAGTACGGATTGAAGGAAAGAATAGGAGGCTTACGGAACAAAGGAATGTGCTCGCATAAACAGGCCAATGCTTCGAACGTACATTCATCTGCACTCATCTGCGTCCTCATGCCTCACCTCCACGACGCGGCTGTAGATTTTGAGGAAGCGAGAGAACTTGAGCTCCTCCTGGCACGAGCAAGAGGGGGCGACAAGAGGGAACGACGGCACAACCAGCATGAGCTTCCAAGAGGCAATAGCACATCCGATCTATCAACTCAGCCACTCGATCGCTGCCCCCACGCTATGTTTTGTGATCTTTAGAAGCTCAACGTGTAGCTACCCGCGATGCAGCTGGCCTGAAGGCAGGAGGCGGTCGGTTCCTGGAATCAAAGCTGACAGCGGAAACATTCACAGATCTACGGCTGGTAACGCCCTAAGGATGAACGCACTGAGCATATACACATGGATCGCCACGTCGGATAAGGATGAAGCACCGCATACCTTGATGATCTTGAAGCCGTGCTGAGGATCGCCGTCAGATCCTCCTCCTTCTTGCTCCTCGTGTTCCACCAATCGCTGTTCCGCCTCAACCAGCGCCTTTCCATTAACCGTTCCTCTCTCTTCTTCCGCCATTGATTCTTCCTGCTCCTCCATCCGCAAATTTCTCTCTTCACGCGTCTCCTCCTTCACCCGCAGCTGCCCAGCCTTTCTCGCCAAAAGCCGGATCTTGTTCAGCATCACGTTTTTCTGACTCCCCGTATCATTCCCAGTGTCAACCCCAGCGGCATGAACGGCACCAGCAGCGACAGCAGATCTTGGCGCAGCAGGTGCAGGCTTCCTCATACCCCCAGTCAGCGTGATTCCCAGCTTTTCCAGCAGGTGAGAATCTTCCCCCAGAGACTCAACAGAGAGGCAGTCGGTCGGTAGCAGCAGCGAGGGAGGCAAGGAGGGAGGTGCGAGCAGCGCAAGACCGTCCGCAACCGGGTCTTCCTCTGAAAGAAAGCGACGGGGAAAAGGAGGGGGGGCGTAATGAGAAGGGTGAGGGAGAGTCAGAGGCGCAATTTGATTCGTGCAATGATCAGCCAAGTTAGCACTACCTTGAACTGCACGCGTCAACTCGCTATGCTCTAACGTTAGCATACCGGAAAGCTCTCTTTCAATGGTTGCTGAGCCTTCTCGCCGTCCTCCTCCCGGGAATGCCTTTCTGGAAGTACTGCTGGCAGCGCCATTGGTCTGAAAAGCAGGGCCTGGTCGGCACGGCGATGACGGCCGGCATGGCGACGACTGCCTCGGGGGAACACCTAACGGCGGCTGCCGCTGCTGGAGGGGCCATTGCGGTCGGGGAAGAGGCTGGAAGCTCCCCTGATGATGCTGGCCGGCTGTGTTGAAAACGCGATGGGAATTACGACGGGCGGAGGTGACAGGGCTTGACGGACGAGGCCGGCTCACGCAGCCTGAAAGGTGAACCGTGAGAAGAAGAGGGGGAAGAAAGTTGAAAGCCTGATCGAAGTGGTGCCTCAAAAGAGCAAATTAGGAACAAATCAATGCGTGTGAAAGAGCTCACTTGTTACTGACGCCATTGCATTCGTGAATTCGTGGAGTCGGTGCTGATGCGCTACTCAGCTCTACCCCTTCAGACTTTCCTCGAAGTTTAGAATACAAATATGGAGTATTATGAGGAATGCGTGCTGTTTCAGAAAGTGAGAATATCTGCTGTCAACGTGAACACAATAATATATCTAGCCGAAGGCGTTGCGTGGTAATAAATAATATAGAAATCTCACAGAATTCCCCACTTCTTCGGGAATCGGCTAACCTTATGCAAACTGAGATCCGCAATGGGATCACCCAGTAGTTGTAGTTTTGCCTGCCAGTGGGATCCATGGTGGTGGATCAATGCAGTTTATAGTTACGTCCGACTTCCTTCCCTGACGGTCTGCCTTCCCTTGGGAATTGGTTACCGAATTCAGGAAATCAGGGATGAGAGAGGAGGAAAAAGTGCTGCCACGCTGACAGACAGAGTGGGGGCAGACGGGAAAGAGGGAGTGTTGTTGCAGCTGCTATTGGCCCAACAGTCCGAACTTCCAGAAAAGCTGGAGATTGACGAGGAAAAGGCATCCGAGGTTGGGCCGAGGATAAATTTTGAATTTCCAGATTATGCTCTGTCAAAGTGTCAAAGCACGATGATTGGCGTGTTATTTGGTTTGGGGAGTAGCGAGCCAGGGTCGTTGGAGGATAACGCACCACAGCCACACTTCTGCTGAAGCTATTGTTTGCGCAAGCTGATGTGGCTAGGCGGCACTGGAAGGTGTGGTCCTCCTGCGAACCTGATCCAGTGGTCTGTGAAGCCTAACCAACTTCGTCCGAGGCTTGCAGGCTCCATGAATTTGATAGGTGCTTCGTTCGGACCAACCAAGATCCAAGAAAGAGCACAGTCGAACCCCTTTAGAGGATGACTCGCTGTAAATTGTTTCGACAAGCATGAGTACAGCTGACTGACTAGCGAGGTTAGAAGGGGATCTTGTTGCCCAGCTTCTTCGCACAGACATTCGGCGACCTGTGACGATCCGGGTTACTCGCGCAACTCAGCAGAAAAACGCCCTACCTACGATAAGGACAGGGTCATCATCCCACAGCCGCTTCCTATTCCTCCACTCCGCGTCGCCTCGTTTACAGTGCCATCCGCCTCTCCCTCTTTATCCGCCATTACCGTGTCTCGTTCCTTCGTGTTCGCTTTACCTCTCGATCTCTAGTTCCGCATCCGCTTTGCGCGCAACTGATGGCTTCCGGTTTCGGCATCCACGGCGGTCGCGGCCGGTGCTACCCGGTGTGGCTCGACTTCTCCGAGTGCATGTCGCAATGTCAGGACCCGCGCGAGTGCGTGCCGCTGCGAGAAGATTACTTCGAGTGTTTGCACCATCGCAAGGAGGTGAGTTCCTCTGCGACGCTAAATCGCCTCCATAGGGTTACTATATCATAACTCTGAAGACCGTGAAGAAGATCAAGTCTAGCTCTCATGGCGCACGATCGGCAAAGGCTCACTTCATGACCCTTTTCGTAAGTGGAATCATAAATACATTTTAGGGTTGGGCATTCTGGGCCATGCCTGGAACTCCACCTGGGGAGAGTGAACACTGCCTCTGTAGCCTCTCCAATCGCCGTGGACATGCACGCGGCTTCATGTTACCTTACGCACCAGTCTGCATGTTCCCCCTACCACCAACCCCCCCTCCTCTCCCCCCCTACCTCTATCCCTGCGTTCCTGTGTGGGCCTTCTCTTGCCCAGTTCACGCGCATGAACGCCATTATCAAGGAGAAGCAGAGGCAGGCGAAGGAGGGTGAGCAACCTAGCACTGAAGGCAATCATGCAGCATCAGGTCATCACTGATCCAAGCTGCTCATTATCAATTCGGGGCTGCAATTCAAGCGATTCTGCTGTTTGTGCTTCAAGAGTCTGCCCTGGACGGAGCTTCTAGGGTCCTATCTTAGTGTGTATGGAAGATGACAGACTGAAATTTGTTGCAAGTGCAACTTATTACTATGTCCAACTAAGAGAATACTAGCACAGAATGTTGAGCAATCATCACCCTAATCAGCCACCTGTGGCAATCAACAGTTATCAGAGACGTTAGTGCTAATGTAGTCAGTCTCCATCCCCACCTAAACTGTGTATACAACCCACCTACACCTTCCAGTGTAACCTGCACGAACCCAAACTCCTCTTCCAGCATAGCCCCACCCTCAACCAGCAGTATTGCCCACTCGGCTTACTCCGTTCTGTCCCCGTCACTCTAAGTCCGTGGGCATATCCGGGTGCCCAAGATTCGCCAGGCCCCTAGCTGCTGTTCGTGGAGTCAACACAGCCAGCGGCACTCCCGCAAGCCATCCAGCACCTCTCACTGCCGCTGTTGATCCTCTGGAATCGCCTGTTCCACCAACAGCAGCACTTGCAGCCCCAGGGTACGCCTGAACCAACTGCTGCTCCACAGTTGCTGCCCGCTCACACAGTGAAAGTGTGGTGCTGATCCAAGAGCGTGTACACTCGATCTGCGATCAAAGCAATCAGAAATGGCATGGATAAGTAAGTATGGCATCCTCGTGTCTGGCTTGAACAGAACTGCACCAGTCAAAACACAATGCCTACATTCGTCCTCACCTTTTCTTCGACAACTGGGAGAATCTCCTCAATTGCTTCCGCAACCTGAGCATTTGAAGCTTCCTCCTCTCCTCCAAGGCTTTCCTCCTCGTCTGCTCCCTCCTCGCTGCTCTGCTGCGGATCTTCCTCCTCAGCCTCCTCTAGCTTCTCCAGAGCCTCAATCTCCTGCAGCTCCTTCAACAGGTCCTCCTTGATCTCTCTCAGACCCTGTAAACGGAACCTCACAGAGGCTAACGACTCATTCTTCCCTCCCCCAGCCTCTTGCTCCCCAGCTGCTGGCTCAACCCGCTTGCCTGATGCCCCTCCATCGCTCTTTCCCGCGTTCTCCTCCTCCTCATCCTCGCTCCCCTCACTCGTGCTCGCTTCGAACGCCCTGATGTCGAGCATGGACGCGAGATAGCACCGCTTCAAGCATGCCTTGATCTGCCTGGCGATCCGCACCGGCTTCTGATCCGCGTTGCAGGTCTCTTGAGCGAAGATGACGTTCATACGCGACTCAAGAAACTCCTTCGTCAGCTCCACAGGCCCTTCCAAATCCATACCCAAGTTTGCTCCCTGCTTGCCTGCTTCTCCGCTAGCCTGAACTTGCTCAGCAGTTGCGCCTTCACGAATGACCTGCTCTACTGTGTCCTTCGCCATTACCTTCAGACCACCCTGTCCCGCTTCTTCTGCTTCTCCCGCCTGCTTCGCACTACCTTCTCCCGCTTGCTTCGAACTCGCTTTTCCCACCTGCACTGCTTCCTCGAGTCCCGCTTGCTTCGAACGAGCTTCTCCCGCTTCCGACCATGCTTGCCTCGACTCCTTTCCAGCCTTTCCTTCTTCCTGCATCAGTGCGCAGCGCTGCATGCTCCACCCTCCGCGACCAGCGTTCCCTGGCGTCACGCCAGGTCTGACAGCCGCGCCAAGAGAAGGACGCCGTACGGCTGGCGTCAGGGACATTCGTCTCTTTTGGAACCAGGCAGCGTCGTCTTCAAGGGGAGAAATTGCATCCACGCCCGAATTGTCCTCCAAAAACCGATTGATCTCTGCAATCCGTGAAACGCTGCCGCTCATGTTCTCCCAATAGCTGCGATTTGCAAGTTTCCGCTTCTTCGAGGTAGGTGTCAAGTGCTCCACACCTGCAGGACTCTGGCTCATCCTCTTCTTGAATCGTCGACTGCTCGGAGTCACCAGTTCCGCTTGTCCAGCACCACCACCCTGGTCCCCAGTCGCCGGAGCCTCTTGAGAGAAACTGGTGGCTGGCGCCGATGCCTCCAAATCAACGTTAGCTGCGTCCACGTGGGAGGATGCAGGAGCGTCAAGAGCTTCAACGGCTGGAGCAGACGACGGAAGGATGGGAGCAGCAGGAGCAGCGATAGAGCCCGGAGAAACCGTACGACTTGCAGGGACCACGTTAGGCTTATCAGCTGGAGCAGGAATCAATCGAGACTGCTTCTTGTCGGCGCGAGGTAATTTGACCTTCTGATAGCCAGAGTTCGGCTCAATATCTTCATCACCATCTGTCTCCTTGGACGAGGACCTACATGCCTTTGCAGCAGAAGCAGCCAGAGAGGCAAACTGTGAGCCGTTATTTTCAGGAACCTCGTCAGGTAACGTCTCGCGAGAAGGTCGACTCACGTTCTTGCGAGGCAATTTGACCTTCTGATAACCAGAGTTCGGGTCAATATCTTCATCACCATCTGTCTCTTTGGAAGAGGACTTAGAGGCCTTTGGAGCGGAAGCAGCCAGAGAGGCAAACTGTACACTGCTATTTTCAGGAACCTCGTCAGGCAACGTCTCGCGAGAAGGTCGACTCACGTTCTTGCGAGGCAACTTAACCTTCTGATAACCGTGGTCAAATCCTTCATCACCATCTGCATCAATCGGAAAGGTCTTAGAGGCTTTAGCTGTTAAAGTAGCCGATGCAGGAACTAAGGAATCCATTGGAATCTTAGGCTCAACAGAATCGAGTTGGTATTCAGGAACTGCGTATGGATCGCTGGGAGGAACTAATGTTATCCCAGACGGTGGATTGCTAATGAGAGGCACCTTAAGCTTCCAATGCGCCGAGTCTACTATATTCTGTCATGAGATAGATGCTGCATTCACTTTCTCGGACATGGCTAGCGGATTTCTAGCGAGAGATGGATGTGGAAACTGGAAAAGGCTGCACCAGAAGTTAAAAATATTGAACACTCTAATGTCAAGGAGAAAGCAACCTAAAAGCTCTGAGAGGAAAGCTGCAACAAAAACTTGACGGCTTCCCACCAAGGCGACGAAGCAATCTTAGTAACCGCTAGTGGGAGCATTAAACTATCTGCAGCTTCAGGAACCGAGATGCAGTAAGAACACGGTGTTGGCAAGGATGCCAGTCTGGCTAACTCACTGAGACGGAATGACGAGCTCACGAAGCCAGGTCTGGAAAATGGAAGCGATATTCCCAAATCAACTGAAAGAGCAACTAATGGATCTGCTTAGTAGTGTTCAGCGAGGCAAGACAGAGCACCAGCAGCACGCTGAAGAGTTGAGAACTTCGTTCATCGAGAATGGTGGCTTTACCGAGGGAGGCATGCGTTACAGTCCGTCTGACAGGTGACAGATTTCGTTCAGAGCAGATTCTTGGCGCGAAGCTGGAGTCAGTCCGTCAGTTGTGGGTTACTCAGCGAGCTGACGAAAGCTTTCTCGCAAGCGCAAATAACCCATCATTTGCGAATCTTGAATTTCGCTCAAACCGCCCAGCCCTCTTTGCTTGCAGTCCCCCAACGCCTGTCGCGCCCCTGCTCCCTGTCGTGCAGCCCCTCTGTATTTTCCCGCCTCCCCTCTTCTTCCCCAACTCTCCCGTCTTCTTCTCCAACTCTCCCCTCTTCTTCCCCAACTCTCCCCTCTTCTTCCCCAGCTCTCCCCTCTTCTTCCTCTACCCTTCTCCCCTCCCCCATAAGCCAGAAATCGTATTGCTGACGATTTTCCAAGTCATCCGCCCTCCCTCTAGACATAAGCAATTTTTTTCTTGATCCTGATTATTCTAATCAGGGGAGAAGGGTCCGCGATGTGGTCCTTGCATTACACATTCTAATGTGGTCATTTAAGCGATCACAATGCTGGCACATTCGATGCTCTAGCAGTTGATTGTTCGTGTCATTGGGATGGGTCAGTCAAGGAAGGGAGGATCTGCAATGGTGGGAGAACTTCATGGCAGGAGCGTCGGCGTCGCTGATATCGAAGACAATTCTGCAGCCGTTCGACACCACGCGCACCATCCTGCAAGTGAGTCAGGGCACCAATGGGTTGTGGAATGTAGGGGTATGTATGAATGGGTGTAGCCCCCTATCATGATGCAGTATTCTTTCCTTGCTGCGTAATTCCACAGGCATTGTCTCTCTATGAAACTCATCTCTTTTTCATGCCAAATTCGCATTCTGAACAGGCCTCCAAGAAGATTCGTGGAAACTACAACAATCTCTGGGCGTGTGCGACAGGAATCGTATGCACAAAGGGTCTTCCTGCTCTCTACACCGGACTGATGGTGTCAATTGCAGTTTCCGCCCCTTCCTCCGCCATCTTCCTCACAGCCTATGAGCAGGCCAAGCGGGCAGCTGAAGATACCATCAACGCGCTCACAGCTTTTCGTCCCTTAAAGCCAACAGAGGGAGGCAGCAGACATAGAGTAGGCGGACAATCACTGGCAGGGTGGAGTGTTGGTTCTGGGGAATGGCATGTTGATGGTTGGTGGAATGAGGAGAATCGAGCACGGGTGCGATCAGTGCTCCTGCCTGCAGCCCCAGCCCTGGCAGCAGTGGCTGGGAATGTGGTGTCCAGCCTGGTGCGGGTGCCACCAGAGGTGGTGAAGCAGCGTGTGCAGGCAGGGCAGTTTGCCGGGCTCCTTGCTGCCGTCACCAGCATGTGGAGGGCGGAAGGGCTGCCTGGGTTCTACACTGGATATTCCACCATGGTAGGTGGGTGACTATTCAGTTGAAAAATGTCGTGGTTGGTGGATGGGTGAGTGGGTTTCGCTGAGGAAGTGAAGCTGCTTGTATAAAGGCATTTTCGCAGGCTCCCATATTGAGCACCTCTCTTGTACGTCACACATTCCCATGCTTGCAGGTGGCTCGGGACATTCCTTATGCAGCCATACAGTTCACGACCTTTGAAACACTCAAGCGCAGGCGAGAGAGAAACCTTGCAGCACACGCTCTAACTTCCAGTGAGGCCAGCAGAGGAGGCTCCACTGGTTGGCCAGGTTTATCTGGCTCAGAAGGACAAGGGAGCAAGTCTGTGGCAGTTCGCCAGTTGTCGCAAGGCGAATTGCTTCTCAGCAACATGTGGATTGGAGCTGTGAGTGCAAGCGTTTGAACCATGTTGGATATTGCGATAGATTTATCTCTTGCACACTCATGTTGTGGGAAAGGCCGTATGAACCTTTTTCGTGTGTTCCTTCCCCATCAGATGGCAGGGGCGATGGCCACCATATTCACTTCCCCCTTGGACGTTCTCAAGACACGGGTCATGACTCAGGAGGTTTTACCGGGTCAAGCATACCTAGGCACCAGACAAATGCTTGCGAAAGTATGGGCTGAAGAGGTAATGGTGTAAGATTTCGTATAGGCAGGATCCTTCCTGTGGTTTTCCTTGTGTTGTCATGCTCTTCTCTTTTCCGTGGTTCACGGTTCCGTGTATGTGTTGTTGGCAGGGAATTGTGGCGTTTGGGCGAGGAATGACACCAAGGTTGCTGTACAAGGTAAGCATGTACATAAGGTACACAGCCAACCTAATTATCTGGCTTACACTGGTGCTCACATGCATACCCTTGTGTGCAGGTTCCATCGTCAGCTGTTTTCTTAGTCAGCTATGAAGCAGTGCGGCGGATTCTGGTTACGGCACGACACACAACAGTGCAAAAATAGGTTCGGGGTTCAAGTTGGTAGAAATAGTGGTTCTAAAGTAGCTACATGTCTCTTGTGCGCTGTGGGACTGTCCATCAAACCTATCTAATGGTTTAGTCATGGTGGCATGAATGTATGCAAGCTCATTTTGCCGGAAACGTTTTTTTTTACCATGATTTTAATTGCATGGTTGTTCACCCTGATATTTATTCTTCACTAACAAAACAGAAATCCTATTTATCCCATAACGAAACAGGATGCCGTGTGCTCCTGGTTTCATGTGTGTAGGGACAAGGCTGGTCTACTTCTCATTCACGGCAGACAATTTTACATGCATCATTTCCAATTTCTGTGCTTCATTCCTTCGAAAATGGCGGCAACCATCGAGGCTAGTCCAGACTTTCCACTTAGCGTCTCTTTCAGAGCTGCTTCAGGTGAGTGGGTCACCTTATGCTCGTGTGAATTGATTGTGTGGATAATCGTGAAACTTGTCAGGTGCTGCTGTTTCTGCCCCATCACGAGCAAGTATAGACCGTGTACGGGCCTTGTTCGGAGAAGCATCCGCGGCACCGCTTTCATTGCCTGCTCATTGGCAAGACTTTCTTGCACGTCCAGCACGAGCCATCGTATGTCTTTTAGCTTGTCAATTGAGTCAGTTCATACTTCGCATATTTACGGAGGCTCGCCCTCTCAGGTGCACGGTCAAGACGTTACTCCTGGGTTCGCTGTTTTCAGTGATAACAGCGCGCTTTCTGATCCAAGACAAGTCGAGGAGTAACTTGGAACTGCGTGGCTCCGATATAGAATCGACGCTCAAAGTCTCTTACATTGCCAATCAACAGCTGTCGTTCACCCTCTAATGTCATTATTCCAAATATATTGTTATGAATTATCTGTGTACAATTTCCATCGTTATGCTGGAGTGGTTTGGTCGGGTTGAGGCTTCTTATATCTTGCAGGTTGTTCCATCCACATCTCGTGTCATTTCTGGCAGATACCGCAGGTCGACTTCTTCCAGGGTTGTCTGATGACATTGCTATGTTATGTCTGGCAATGGTTCCGAAGGGCTACTGGGGTGTCCTGAAATGTGTATCAAAAAGCTGGAGAGGCACGCTCAGCTCAGAAGAAATATGCACGTAAGTGAAGCATGCATTGTGACTCCATGCTGTTTTTTTCCTTGACAATTCCAGTTGGTGGCTGCCTTACTGGGTGCTACCACACTTGAGTGTACACGGCTTGGTCCCGTTGAGTCTTGGCAATTCGTTCGTGTGTAGCCTGATCTCTTAAGTCTGATTGTGCATGCAGTCTCAGAAGACTTATAAATCGAACAGAAAGTTGGTTATATGTGCTAGCGCGTGGTGCAGGTCTCACCCTTCAAGCATACTCCCCAGGTGATAATTATTTTGCAGTCCCCTTTCACGGGCTATCGTTTCAAGTTGTTTGACTCTGATTCGGGTTGCATTATCCAATGCAGTGCTTGATCGGTGGTTTAAGTTTCCCTGGAAAGCCAACCTTGCACCAGGCAGTATGGTAGGAGTGGGTGAGCATCTGGTTGTTGTTGGTGGGCGAGCATCTGATCGCATCAACCCAAACACTGGAGAACCTGAGCACCCCAACTTCACTTCACAGGTAAGGACACTACTCACTGCATGTTTCTTAGTCTTCTGTTGTGGTGGTTGTAATCTTGTTAAAATCCCTTGTAACATATGCCACTATTGCCAGGTGAGGCTCTTCAATGCGAGGACTCTGGCATGGTTTGATGGTCCACCAGTACCACAGACCTTTCCATGCCTATGCTCCTGGAGTGATGGCAACAGGGCTTTCATTGGGGCGTTAACTCCAGGCAATTTTCATGTTCTGGCTTCTGAAGTTCCTGGTGAAGATGTGCAAGAAACGGCCGTTCCTGTTGATGCAAACTGCAGGGCATTGCCCTGTAGTAAAGATTCGAGCTGCACAACCAACTTGAGAGATCAAGCGAGCCCATGTAATCCGAAGGGCACTGTGCTCAGGAAGTGGAGGACAATCTCAGAAGGCCCAGTTGACATGCATGATGGCGAAGTTCGACAAATCAACAGTATTGCGAGGTAATGTGGTTTGGACTAGGTATTGCAATTTATGGCAGCATTGGTTTGCTAAAAAAAAAAGGTTTTTTCATTCTTGCAGTGCTCAACTGACTCCATTTACCATGAATGGCAAGCAGCACATAGCAATCTACAACGACTCTACTTCCCCGTCGGTCATTTTGGAAGTCAACCCAGAGAAGGAAACGTGGGTCAGAACTGAGGCACACATATACCAACAGTCGATGGGAGTCTGCTTTGCAGCTCAGGTTTTTGGCTGGACAGGATCAGACTGCGACTCTCTTTCGCGTGCTCTACTTGAGAGCATTGACGAAAATACTATGGATCATCCGGGCCTCCGCTCCAAAGGGTTTGCGTTTTTGGATGATGATCTGGTCGCAGTTGGTGGAGTTCGATACAATATTCGTTCTTTTGATGTGACTGAGCTTAGCGATTTCAATGTTTGGAGCCAAGAGGCACAGGGATGGGTGCCTGGCCCTCCACTGCCATACGGAGGTGGAACAATTATGGCAATAGCAGTATTGAGGATATAGTTGGCCTGAGGTTTCAAAGGCTAATTGCGCATTTAAGTTAACAGGACTTGCACCATTTTTACCTGTCAAACATGCCATCTTGCACTATATAACACGTATGCAGATCACCATTTTATATTTTCCATCAGTTGCAATGAGGAGATGAATTTGAGGAGATGGTGAGTGAGGAGAGTGATTGACTAGTAACGAGCTTGGAGTTGGGTTGCGTTGCGCAATGTGGGTTATACGAGTTGGGTTGTGCAGATAACCCAGATTTATAATATTTCAATAAGAACGGTCCGGCGTCCGCCCCGGCAGCTGCTGCTCCCTTGATGGGGCCTTTCCCAGCCTTGTTAGACACGAGGGTGAGGAGGGTCTTGCCCATGAGGCCTGCTGTGGCCTCTTTGCAGCGCAGGTGGCACAGCACGCGCCCATTGGCTTGTGCTGACGCCAGTGAGCGCATGGAGCTGCCTCTTCTGCCAATGCCACCTCGGCGTCCTGTGGGTGTGAACGGGGGAGGCAGAGTGGAGAAGGGGCGGAATGGGGAAGAATGGTGAGAAACGCGGGAAAGGGAGGGAAGGAGGGGAGGGAGGATCCAGAGCAGCAGACGGGTGAGCTGAGCAGACAACACCAGCCGACCTGGGCGCAGGGCGGACAGCAAGCCTCACTTTTCCGAGGTCCAGCAGAGGCCGCATCCTCTTGACGAACTCGTGCACATCGCTGCAGTCACTTGCCGCCACGCTCCCACGCGCCCTCCCCAACCCCGCCACTCCATACCCCATGCCTGCACCCCCCTTCCCCCCTCCTGCTCCTTCTCCCCCTTTACCGCCTCCTCTTCCCCCCACCCCCTTGCCCTCGGTGCCGCTTTCCCCCCTGTCGTCCCCCCCACGCGCATCAACAGGCACATCCCACCCCAAATGCTGCTTCAGAGCGTCTCCCAGCTGGAGCGCTCGCTCCCATTGGCTGCTGCTGCTCCTGTTGCCGCCCGTCATCCGCCTTCCCCGTCAGACTCCCCACCTTACCGCCACAACACTAGCTGCTGATCTAAGCCGCCCGGCATGTGCCGGCTCTCGTGTCGCCACCCATGCGTGACCGCAAGTTCTGATTAGATGGGAAGGGAACGGATGGGGATACGCGAACAGCAGCATGCGAGTGAGTGAGATGAGATGAGATGGAGACTGCAAATGCAGACAGTCAGCCAGCCAAGCAAACAGGGAGGTGCAGAGGCAGGCAGGTGGCATGCAGCCAGTCAGCAAGGTCACGTCACAGCATCATGCTTAGTTGGAATATACGCGTATAGCGTATGCATGGGGGTGATGCATGGGGGTGATGCATGGGGGTGATGTATGGGGGTGATGCATGGGGGTGATGCATGGGGGTGATGCATGGGGGTGACGCATGGGGGTGATGCATGGGGGTGATGCATGGGGGTGACGCATGGGGGTGACGCATGGGGGTGATGCATGGGGGTGATGCATGGGGGTGATGCAGGGGGTGATGCATGGGGGTGATGCATGGGGGTGATGCATGGGGGTGACGCATGGGGGTGACGCATGGGGGTGATGCATGGGGGTGATGCATGGGGGTGATGCAGGGGGTGATGCATGGGGGTGATGCATGGGGGTGATGCATGGGGGTGACGCATGGGGGTGACGCATGGGGGTGATGCATGGGGGTGATGCATGGGGGTGATGCATGGGGTGATGCATGGGGGTGATGCATGGGGGTGATGCATGGGGGTGATGCATGGGGGTGATGCATGGGGGTGATGCATGGGGGTGATGCATGGGGGTGACGCATGGGGGTGACGCATGGGGGTGATGCATGGGGGTGATGCATGGGGGTGATGCAGGGGGTGATGCATGGGGGTGATGCATGGGGGTGATGCATGGGGGTGACGCATGGGGGTGACGCATGGGGGTGATGCATGGGGGTGATGCATGGGGGTGATGCATGGGGGTGATGCATGGGGGTGATGCATGGGGGTGATGCATGGGGGTGACGCATGGGGGTGACCTGGGGGTGATGCATGGGGGTGATGCATGGGGGTGATGCATGGGGGTGATGCATGGGGGTGATGCATGGGGGTGATGCATGGGGGTGATGCATGGGGGTGACGCATGGGGGTGACGCATGGGGGTGATGCATGGGGGTGATGCATGGGGGTGATGCAGGGGGTGATGCATGGGGGTGATGCATGGGGGTGATGCATGGGGGTGACGCATGGGGGTGACGCATGGGGGTGATGCATGGGGGTGATGCATGGGGGTGATGCATGGGGGTGATGCATGGGGGTGATGCATGGGGGTGATGCAGGGGGTGACGCATGGGGGTGACGCATGGGGGTGATGCATGGGGGTGATGCATGGGGGTGATGCATGGGGGTGATGCATGGGGGTGATGCATGGGGGTGATGCATGGGGGTGATGCAGGGGGGTGATGCATGGGGGTGACGCATGGGGGTGATGCATGGGGGTGATGCATGGGGGTGATGCATGGGGGTGATGCATGGGGGTGATGCATGGGGGTGATGCATGGGGGTGATGCATGGGGGTGATGCATGGGGGTGATGCATGGGGGTGATGCATGGGGGTGATGCATGGGGGTGATGCATGGGGGTGATGCAGGGGGGTGATGCATGGGGGTGATGCATGGGGGTGATGCATGGGGGTGATGCATGGGGGTGATGCATGGGGGTGATGCATGGGGGTGATGCATGGGGGTGATGCATGGGGGTGATGCAGGGGGGTGATGCATGGGGGTGATGCATGGGGTTGATGCATGGGGGTGATGCATGGGGGTGATGCAGGGGGGTGATGCATGGGGGTGATGCATGGGGTTGATGCATGGGGGTGACGCATCATGGTGCCTGCGTGCCTCACATCGCAACCACCACCCCTCCCAGCAGCACCCATCACTGCCTATCAAGATGTGCCACCGTGAGTTCCCACCGTGAATCCCCCGCTGTGAGTTCCCACCGTGAATCCCCCGCTGTGAGTTCCCACCGTGAATCCCCCGCTGTGAGTTCCCACCGTGAATCCCCCGCTGTGAGTTCCCACCGTGAATCCCCCGCTGTGAGTTCCCACCGTGAATCCCCCGCTGTGAGTTCCCACCGTGAATCCCCCGCTGTGAGTTCCCACCATGAATCCCCCGCTGTGAGTTCCCACCGTGAATCCCCCGCTGTGAGTTCCCACCGTGAATCCCCCGCTGTGAGTTCCCACCGTGAATCCCCCGCTGTGAGTTCCCACCGTGAATCCCCCGCTGTGAGTTCCCACCGTGAATCCCCCGCTGTGAGTTCCCACCGTGAATCCCCCGCTGTGAGTTCCCACCGTGAATCCCCCGCTGTGAGTTCCCACCGTGAATCCCCCGCTGTGAGTTCCCACCGTGAATCCCCCGCTGTGAGTTCCCACCGTGAATCCCCCGCTGTGAGTTCCCACCGTGAATCCCCCGCTGTGAGTTCCCACCGTGAATCCCCCGCTGTGAGTTCCCACCGTGAATCTTAAATCCCTTCCTGTGTATCCCTGACCATGCACCTCTCACCATGCAGTGTGGCGCGTTGCTTGCGCGTGAGAGAGGGCGGAAGGACCACACGTGTCACTGGCAGCTGCTGGACACGTGGCAGCAGGGGAAGGGAGAAGGAGGGGAGGGGGAGAGGAGGGAGGGGAGTGAGGAGGGGGAAGGGTGGGGTGGAGAGATGCACTGAGAAGAATGAAGGCTAGAGAGGCAGAATACCATTACATTACACAAAGAAAAAAAGAAAAAAAAACAGCACCCGAAAATGAAGGAAAGGCGAGGCGATATGCCCTGCACCCCAACCATAGGCATCCATGTCTATCAAGAATATATTTATCCTTGAGCATCCCTGCAGAGTGACATTTCCGTCTGTCAAGAGTCCGACTGTCAAATTCCTCCATTGTAATAGTACAGCCTCCTTGGCAATAGTACGTGCTTACTCCAGCCGTCGCTCCGGCTTCAGCAGATGCTGCAATGACATTTTCCCCACGACCTGCGCTTGCCCCGTCACCGGCGGATTCCGCTACCTCCGCGGGTGCACACGCGGAAGCGGTTGGAGGGTCTGCGGGTTTGGCGGTAGTGTCCGCGGGAGGCGCGGAGACCTTCCGCGCGGTGCGGTTAGCCGCCCGGCCGTTTTGGCCGCGGCCTTGCACTTAGCCGCATCCGACACCATTCCGGGGGGAAAAGAAGGAGGAAGGAAGGCGGAAGAAATGCGGAAACAGACGCGGAGACGCAAGTGGAAGATGCGGATGGCCTAAACGTCGCTGCGCCGCGACGCCTCTATGTCTACGGCTTCTTATATGTGCACGGAAACTCGAAGTGTGCAAACTGAAGCGTCGCTACCGGTTAGAACTGATTAATTGCATGCAGCATTTTGGCATTCCGTGCGAAATCCAAGGCTTAGCCTGCCAGTTGCTCTGCTGGTGCCGATAGGAGAAGCTCGGAAACTGGAGGGAGTGAATAACGAACGATAAGAGCTATCGCAGTTGATCAGAACTGATTCGTGGAACAACGATATGGCAACTGCTCCAGACCGCTAAAAGCGCCTCACGAAAAATTGCTTGCTTCACGTAAAATTACGGTGTGTGTCACACTTGGTCCGAGGTGTATCGGTGAAATCACTTTATACCGCGTACGATTTCTGAGGATTTGCAGTTAAAGCTCGGGTCTCAAATTTCCAAAGGTTTAACACCTGGTTGGGTTTGCCCGTCCGTGATTGGGTAACGAAAGACGAAAGTTTTTACGAGCGGGTGAAAAGAACACAGCGAACTCCCCAACAATCAAGGCCAAAACAAACCTGGGTGGGCAGGTTTGGGTGTAAGACGAGCCTTGGGGGACAGGTTTGCGTCTGATTGAGAACTATGCGACCCACCCTGGCGACGCAATCACGTTTTGAGGTTGACAGAAGTGTGAAGTCAGAAAATGAGTGCCCACGCCAAGCAACCTTACTCCCGTCGCTGAGCCGTAGTAACACCGAAATAGAAAGCCAGCTAAGCATTATTTCCCCCGTTTACGATTAGTATGAGAGCATCTTCCTTGATCGGGAATGAGAGACGGGATGGGCGGATTTAGAGTGGAAAACGCGGATTGAGATTAGGAAGGGCAGATTGCGACTACTACGGGCGGAATGAGAGTAGGGATGTGCGGAATGAGTTTAGGGTTTGCGTAATGCGATTTGGAACGTCGAAAACAGGTAGGAAGGGCGGTGTGAGATGAAGAAGGGCGGATTGAGAGGCAGAAGGGCGGAATGAGAGGATGAAGGGCGCGATGAGAGAACGAGGGGCGGAATGCGAGGAAGAACGGCGGATGGAGAGGAAAAAGGACGGAAAGAGAGGACGAAGGGCGGAATGAGGAAGAAGGGCGGAATAAGAGGAAGAAGTGCGGAATGAGAGGAAGAAAGGCGGAATGAGAGGAAGAAAGGCGGAATGAGAGGAAAAAGGGCGGTATGAGAGGAAGAAGGGCGGAATGAGAGGAACAAGGGCGGAACGAGATTAAGAAGGGAGGGATGACAGTAGGAAGGGCGGAATGAGAGTATGAAGAGCGGAATGAGATTGCGGATGGGCGAAATGCGAGTAGTTATGATGGAATGAGATTATGGAAGGGCGGAATGAGATTAGGGAAGCGCGGAATGAGATCAGGGATGGGCGGAAGGAGATTAGGGGTGGGCGGAATAAGGCGCGGGTTGATGGGGAGGGGGAATGGAGGGGGAGAGCAGGTGCTGCCCGAGGAGGGGGAAGAGAGACGTCGTCCCTTTTGACAGGGAGGTGAGTGCATGGGGGAGGGGATGTACTAGTGGTGAGGGTGGTGGGGAGGAGGAGGGGCAGGGGCTGTGGCATGTGGTGCGGGCATGCGGGGTGGAGTCAGCAGAGGGGCTGAGTGGCGTGGTGGACAAGTGGGGCTGGACCGCCATGCATGTGGCTGCTCGGAATGGTGACTCCCCCGTGGTCAGTCTCACCTGCCTCCCCGCCTGCACCCATGCAGCACAGCCATGCACCAGCTCTCACCCATGCAGCACAGCCATGCACCAGCTCTCACCCATGCAGCACAGCCATGCACCAGCTCTCACCCATGCAGCACAGCCATGCACCAGCTCTCACCCATGCAGCACAGCCATGCACCAGCTCTCACCCATGCAGCACAGCCATGCACCAGCTCTCACCCATGCAGCACAGCCATGCACCAGCTCTCACCCATGCAGCACAGCCATGCACCAGCTCTCACCCATGCAGCACAGCCATGCACCAGCTCTCACCCATGCAGCACAGCCATGCACCAGCTCTCACCCATGCAGCACAGCCATGCACCAGCTCTCACCCATGCAGCACAGCCATGCACCAGCTCTCACCCATGCAGCACAGCCATGCAGCCCGCTCAACACTCTCTGAACCCACCGTCCATCACGCGTGTGCACTCATCCCTCCCCGTCCACGTGCCTGCACTCACATGCACCTTCAATAATGTCGCAGGCATGGACCGCACTCACCCTGCTGCCCGCTTCTCTCCCTCCCCGCCGTTCTCCCATGCATGTGCCTGCAGCTGCAGGCGCTGTTGCGCATGGGCATGCCAGCGGGGGTGTGCAGCACGCGCAACGCCACCACGCCACTGCACGTGGCAGCGTATGGCGGCCACGTGGACTGCATGTGCCTGCTGGCGGCTGTGCGTGCCTGGCGGCTGTGAGTGCCTTGCGGCTGTGAGTGCCATGATTGGTTCAATGCAAGAACGGTAGAAAGTGCTTCGCTCGTTTCTTTCTCCACCCAGCTTCTTAGCCCTCTTGCCTTCATGCGCTCTACCCTGCGGTGCCCTCTGCACCCCGCTTGAATTGCTCTCGCTCTGCATCTGCTTCCAGAGCCGCTTTCCTCCTCTTTGTATCCCTCCGCCTTCTCTCATCCACCATCCGCCCCCCGCTCTCTGCCCTCCGCCCTCTGCCCTCCCCCAGGGACTCCATTACACAATGCAGTGACCAAGCAGCAGTGGGAGGCAGTGAGATGACTTGCACACCAGGGAATAGAGCCAGCAGAGGTAGAAGCAGCGGGGGCCAACCCCAAGGCGGTTCAGATAGTGTGGGAGGAGCATGCGCGGCGGGCAGGCCAAGGAGGGGAGAGGGGGCATGGGTTTTGGAAGGATGGTGGTGTGGGTGCGAGCTGAGTGGGTGAATTCCTTGTGCTTGATTATCACCATGATGTATGATTGCCTGCTGCCACTGCTTAGTGGCAGAACACAAGGAGGACAGGGTGCTGAGCAGTGGGAAGGGGCGGGAGGGGGGGGTTATAGAGCCGCTCCCAGGGCAGTGGGGAAGGTGAGAGGTGGGGATGAAGCAGGGTGGATGCTTCAGTAGCGCTTGTGGGCCACTCGCTGCTGCTCGCTGCCCGCCTCCTCGCCTCCACTTGATTACCCTCTGCCTTGATTCTGTGCTCTATTTCTGAGTGCTCATCTTGTCTCCCCTTTCCCCTCTCATCTCCACTCTACCCCATCCCTCTTCCTGCCCTCCTGTCCCCATCCTTCTCCCTCAGGAGAGCCGTACACCAACTGCACCGCTCTGAACCCATTTGTGCAGTGGAATCTGCAGCCGCTGCTACCAGCCACTCCCCCCTCCTTCACCCTCACCTCACCACCCCCACCCGCCTTCACGCCGCCATACGCCCTCTCGTCCATCTGCTTGTGGACGTCCCTCTCCGCCATCGCACCTGGTCGCACACAAGCAACAGCCCTCCTGCCACTGCCGCCACACACAAAGCCTGCTGATGCAGATGCTGGCAGTGGAGGCGAGAAGGCAGTGGGGGGCGCAGTTGGTTCGAGTCAGGGCGTGCAGGGGGAGTGGGCAGTGGCGGGGTATGAGGCGATGCGTGTGGTGCAGGTGGGGGGTGGGTGGCGCCAGGGCAGCTATGGCCTGCCCTCCTCCCTCGCTGCCTCTGCTGCACCTGCTGTGTCTGGAAGGCAAGGTGACTTGTCTGGAAACCTTTGTTGCACTTCTTTGTAGTGATCAACTGAATGGCTCAGTTCAGTATCCTAAACACTGAAGTGATTTTTATAAAGAAGCATCCAACATTGATACATGTCATGGGTACTTGTCAAACCGGTACTATTTAATAGCTAAAGCTTAACAAAATTCATGCGTGGCGGACCAGTTCTGACAAAATCCTGAGTGTCAAGGCTGAAGCAGCTGGAGAAGAGGGAGGCTGAAAAGGAGGGGAGGGAAAGGGGGAAATGAGGGGAAGGAGTGAGTAAATTGATGGGGAGCACAAGGGGAAATTATTTTATAGCAGAGGGGGTTCTGTATTGACCTGGTGCAGTAGGGGAATTGATGGGAAAGCAGAGCTGTAATTTATGGGGAGCGGAGGGGGGGATAACAGGGAGCAGAGGGGGGAATGAGAGGGAGCAGAGGGGGGAATGAGAGGGAGCAGAGGGGGGAATGAGAGGGAACAGGGGGGGGGGAATGACAGGGAGCAGAGGGGGGAATGAGAGGGAACAGGGGGGGGGGGATGATAGGGAGCAGAGGGGGGAATGAGAGGGAGCAGAGGGGGGAATGAGAGGGAGCGGAGGGGGGAATGAGAGGGAACAGGGGGGGGGGGGGGGATGATAGGGAGCAGAGGGGGGAATGAGAGGGAGCAGAGGGGGGAATGAGAGGGAGCAGAGGGGGGAATGAGAGGGAGCAGGGGGGGGGGAATGACAGGGAGCAGAGGGGGGAATGAGAGGGAGCGGAGGGGGGATTGGGGGGAAATTAGGGGAATTTATCGCAAACTGGTATATCACCCTTCCTTCCCCCCTCTGTCCTCTCCTCCTTCCCCCCCGCAGAACATGATTGCATACAACACACAAGAAACAGGTGGTGGTACGGTGTAAAGCATGGACTAGCTTTAGCTGCGCCTCAGCTTGCTCTTCTGCTTCACCACTGAAAATTAGGGGAGTGGAGTAGGCAGAAAGAATTGTGTGAATGAACATGGGGGAGGTGGTGTGAGGTGCCAAGGGAACAACTGCAAGGGAACACAAGCAAGCGCACATGATGAAATAATGTATGGGGAGACAGTGACGGGTGCACGTGCATGGGAACTAGAGGGTGGAAGGTGAGGAGTGAGGGGGAAGGGGAGGGCATGAAAAGGAAGGGAAGGGTTGAGAAGGGATGGGGAAGGAAAGCGCAGGGCAGAGAGGGAAAGGCAGGCATTGGGAGGGCAGGTGACAACTGGGCAGAGGGTGGGGGGAAGGAGAGTGCGAGTGGGAGAGGACGGAGAGAGAGAGTGCGGGAGGAAAGGAGAGTGAGAGTGCGGGTGCCAGGGGATGGGGGGAAGCAGGAAAGGGGATGGGGGGAAGCAGGGAAGGGGATGGGGGGAAGCTGGGAAGGGGATGGGGGGAAGAAGGGGAGGGGATGGGGGGAAGCAGGGAAGGGGATGGGGGGAAGCAGGGAAGGAGGGGTAGCACCGGGGGGAAAGGAGGAGAAGCAGGGGGGGATAGGAGGGGTAGCACCGGGTCTCCCCCCCTCTCAGCGCACCTTCTCCCCCCCTCTGTCCTCTCCTCCTCCCCCCTCTCAGCGCACCTTCTCCCCCCCTCTGTCCTCTCCTCCTCCCCCCTCTCATGTAGTGCTTGACATACCCGCACCATGCGCGATTACGTGACGAATGGCGCGTGAGATTACAGGCGCATTCGCGCTGATGCTAAAGAGGCGCCTCATGCCTATAGCGGGGCGAGCGCTGAGGCTCAGGTGGCGCGTGATGCCTACAGCGGGGCGCACTCAGCTGCTTGCGGTGTGCGCGCTGCTTACAGCTGGGTGCGCGCCCCTTGAAGGGAGGTGTGCGCGCGCTCACCGGCAGGGTACACACCTTTCCCGCGTCACTCGGCGGGCCTTAGTCCCGCGACTTCGGTGATATCGCCCCATTGCCGCGTTTGCCGCGTTTGGCTCGTCCCTATCGTCCTTTCCACCCTTCATGCTACTGCGACCTTCCCCTTTCACCTAATAAGGGCGGTTGATGAATGGCGATGAACCCCACGCCGGCAGTTTTTGGCGAGGAGAGGACGAAGGTGGGGATTGGACACGCTAAATTTGATGATTTTCCCGTGTTCGGGCTTAGAGAATGCGGGTCACGGAATGCGCCAAGGTCTATAGGCGCACGGTTTCCCCTACATCATGATCGCGACTGAGTTTTCAAGGCTAGCTATACTAAAAGACGTGGCATATGGCTGGTAAAACACTTGAACTGGTGCCTACACGAACCGTTTTGTCAAAGTTGAGAGTTCTGAGTCTCATAATTCTGAGAGCTGTAAATGCTTGGTTTGCACGGGGAAGTGTGCGACGATGCCTCTGTTGTCGCACGTTTTTCTGTACACCTGTAGATTGGTTCGTGCAGGTGTGTTTCCCAACCTGCGTTGTCGTATTCCTGTCCCAACCAACTTTGCAACACGTTGTTTCCCTTTGGATTGGTTTTGCCTGGAACGAGGCCCTGTTTCAAACCTCTCCCAACCAACCTTCCCAAACCACCCCTTGCCTTGGTGTGCTTTGCGACAAACCCAGCTGTTACTGGATCCCAAGCGTTTAACACTTGGTCGGAAGGGTGAAATTTGAGACGCGAGCTTTAATTTTTGGTAGAAGTTGCGGTGTGTCAGAACTGATTGCGAGACAACAGAAGTGAATGCACGAATTATAGAAGAAAAAGTAACTACTTTTACTATTCTGGCATGTCACTGTAGCCAGCTGCGCAACTCAATAAAGGAACACTACTATACAGGACAAATTTGCAGCTTATAAGTGTCAATCTACATATCCGTTAGCTACAGCAACTCTGGGAAGAACAGTGGTGGTAAACCACACTGCCTTCACAACCTCATCTCCAACCTCCAAACTGTGCCACCAAGTGGTATACCACCACTGCTCCAACCACCACTTCTCACCGCACACCACCAACCAACACCACCAGCACCTCCATCCAGGAAATTAGGTGCCACTCCATCAGAACCAGCCAGCAGTGCCACTGCATTGCATGGCATGCCACCACCACCACTCCTCACAGAGAGGAGGGCAGTGAGGCAAGGCAGAGTGCTAGCGGAGGCAGATGAATTGGGAAAGCAGGTGAAACTGAATTGGGAAAGCAAGTGCAAAGCGAGAGGCAGATGCAATGGCAAGCAAGGGTGAGGTGGGAGCTTGCTGTCTTACCTTGCACAGAGCAGCGAGTCCCTCAATCCGCCAGTGGCAGTGACAGTCCGCGCAGCAGCACAAGGAGCGTGGAGTGGAGTGGAGCAGACCATCACCAGCAACGCCGGCAGCAGCAGCACAGACGGCACCGTCAGCTCGTCCTCCCGCAGCAGCAACCCTGGTTGGACTCACAGCTGCTTCCTCTTCCAGCGGCAGTCCCTGTCAGGACGAGGGAAGAGCAAATAAGTTAGTTCACCCAGAGGTACAAGCACTGGAGCAGCAAAGGAGTGCGGAGAGCTGAAGAATAAACGAGAAAGCAAGTGAAAGGAGAAAGGCAGACAGAACGCTCATGTGAGGGTGAGGTGGGAGGCTTGCTGGCTTACCTGACACACTGCAGCCCCTCGGTCCGACAGTGGCAGTGACAGTCCGCGCAGCAGCTTGGAGTTGAGTGGAGGGCCACGCAGAGGTCCGCCAATCATGGTGACAGTCCGCTCAGCAGAAGCAGCGTGGAGTGGAGAGCAGAGAACAGCCAAGGTACCTGCTGAGGGAGGAAGGATGGGGTGAAAAGCACGAGTGAGTGGAGGCAATGAAGGGACATGCAGAGAGGGCGACATGCCAAAGCAAGCACACATGCGTGCGGGAACGAGCTCTGCTGCTGCGCACACCCAAGGGGATACCTTTCTGTGGGGGTTATACCCTAAACCTTGCAGTCTGAACCTGTTACCTGGGGAGCCCTGGGGCGTGCAGCTAGAGCGACGTGCGGTGCTTGAAAGTGAGACATTGCAGAAGCAGGAAAAGGCGGAGGCAGAGAGGGAGGAGCGGAGGTACTCATCTGATCTCTTGGGAGAAGCGCGTGGCAGGCGGTCGGTGCAGCCGAAGAGCGCCCTGCTGCCCGCCAGCTCGCTGCATGCGCGTCCAGAGCATGCGCGTCCAGAGCAACCTGCCAAGGGGGACGGGGGGGGGGGGGGGGGGTTGGGAGGGCGGGGGGTGGGAGTGGGAGTGGGGGGTGGGTAAGTGGGACGGCAGGAGAAGCAGGGGAGCAGCAAGAGTTGATGTGCGTGGCATGAGTGGAAGCGGAGGGAGTACTGCTGTCGCACACCCAAGGGGGTACCTTCTGTAAAAAAACGAAGAGCAGTGGGGGGTATACCTGGCCTATCAGTGTGTACCTGAGACCTGGGGGGACCCTTGAGTGTGGTGCGAGCAGGTGGGATGACATGAGCAATGCGTGAGATATTGATGGATGATGATAAAATAAAAGCAGAGGAGGTTGGGGAGAAGGGTGGTGATACTCATCTTTTCCTGACGTTCGCGAAGGCAGCAGGGACGTTCGCGAAAGGCAGCACGGATGTTCGCGAAGGCACCAGGGACGCTCGCGAAGGCATCAGGGACGCTCGCGAAGGCACCAGGGACGCTCGCGAAGGCACCAGGGACGCTCGCGAAGGCACCAAGGACGCTCGCGAAGGCACCAGGGACGCTCGCGAAGGCAGCAGACACGGGGACTGAAGGGAATGGGGGAGGGGAAGGTGGGAGTGCGGGGTGAGTAAGTTAATGTCACTTAGAGGGGCGGCAGGACAAGCATGGGAGCAGCAAGGGTCAATGAGCGTGGCATGAGCGGAAATGGAGGGAGTTCTGCTGTCGCACACCCAAGGGGGTACCTTCAGTTAAAAAAAACCTACAGTGGGGGGTATACCTGACCTATCAGTGTGTACCTGAGACCTGGGGGAACCCTTGAGTGTGGTGCGAGCAGGTGGGGTGACATGAGCAATGCGTGGGCGAGATAATGATGGATGATGATAAAATCAAAGGCAGAGGAGGTTGGGGAGAAGGGTGGTGATACTCATCTGTGAAGGCAGCCATGTCATCCGCGAAGGCAGCAGCATCGTCCGCGCAAGCAGGAGGGAGGTCCGCGCAGGCATCGAAACTGGAGCGAGGGTGGGGGGGAAAGGGGTTGAGTTAGCAACAGTGGAGGGAGAGGAGCAAGAGGATAAGAACGATCCAAGCAGGAGTCGTGAGACAAGCATGCGCGAATGGCCATGACATGAAAGCAGCGCCGGCAGCAGCACACCCAAGGGGGGAACCTTAGTCTGAAACTTACCAGCTAATAACCACACCTGGGCTTAACATTTTTGCACCTGCAAGGGGGGGACCTGCACGTACCTGTACGAACCTGATACCTACCTGGTACCGTACCAAGGAGCTGGGTGTGCTGATGAGCGGACGAGCAGACATGCAAAGCGAAGGCATGCGAAACGCGCGGGTGGGGAGCAGAGAGCAGAGGCGGGTTGGAGGGATACTTATCTTTCGATGCTGCCTTGACTGCAGCAGAACGGCGTTGACCCGAGCAGAAAGGCGTTGACCCGAGCAGAAAGGCGTTGACACGAGCAGAGCGGACGTTGACCCGAGCAGCACCAGGGACGTTCAATGGATGCAACTTAGCTCTGCGAAGGAACGGGTGAGGGAGGTGCGAGGGAAGGAAATGAGTGCAAGGGACGAGACAAGCGACAACGGGAACGGAACAAACGAGTGAATAGAACGAACAACGAAAGCTGCTGTAGCACACCCTAGGGGGGGTACCTTAGAAATTTTGCACCTGCAGTGGGGGGGTGTAACTATACATACCTTAAGACTCTATACCTGAGACTTGGGGGGGGTAGGGTGTGCTACAGGCAGCGATGTGAGACAAAAAAAGAGATGACTGGAGTGGAGCGATACTCATCGATAACGTGTGGTGTGGAGCAGCCGGGTCGTCCACTGACGCGCCAGCACGAGCGTTGACTGGCGCGCATCCGCGTTGACTGGCGCGCATCAGCGTTGACTGGCGCGCATCCATATTGACTGGCGCGCATCCATATTGACTGGCGCGCATCCGTATTGACTGTAGTAGCAGCGACGCTGGCTGGAAGCACTGCAAAGGAACGAAGGAAGGAGGTATACGAGGGAAGGGAGTGAGTGCAAGCGACGACGGGAATAAAACGAAAGCGCGAATGCAACGAACAACGAACGCATCGCTGCTGTAGCACACCCTAGGAGGGGGGGTACCTTAGGCTTAACATACCAAGTCCGAACCGGGCTTAAAAGTTTTGTACCTGCAGTGGGGGACGGTGGGAATCATACCTTACAGTCTTTACCTGAGACTCGTGGGGGGAAGGCTAGGGTGTGCTACAGGCAGCTGCAACGACGTAAAAGACGGAGGGACCGAGATACTCATTGTAAGACGCGCTCGGAGCAGCTCAATCGTTAGCGCGCCTTCACGGATGCGCGGTGATCGTGTCGCCGACTGACGCGTCAGCACGCGACGTTGACTGGAGGCAGCGCGGCACTGCGAAGGGTACGGGGGAGGGAGGATCGAGGAAAGGGAGTGAGTGCCGTAGACGAGTCGAGCGACGACGGTAATGAAACGAGCGAACGAATGAAACGAACCACGACAGCTGCAGTAGCACACCCTAGGCAGAAGGGTACCTTATAAATTTTGAACCTGCAAGAGGAGAAGGTGGGAACTATACCTTAGAATCTATACCTGAAACCTGGGGGGGGCCTAGAGTGTGCTACAGGCAGCTGCAACGACGTGAAATGCAAGAGGAAAGACATTGCTGTGGGAAGGATACTGATCGTTAAATGCGTTCGGAGCAGATCGGCCGTTGACGCGCCTTCACGGACGCGCCTTTACGAACGCGCCTTCACGAACGCGCCGGAATCGACGGAGAGTCGCGATGGAGGGTCGCGATCTTCACGGAAAGAGGCGATCTTCAACGGAAAACCGCGATTTCGAATTAGATCTGGCGCGAAATCTGCACGACAATAAATGCGAACGAAATGAGTCATCATCTCATTTGAAACAACAAACGAAAGCGAGCCAAAAAACGGCAGTAACACGGATACGTACGGGCGAAGCTCCCGCAGGCGCAGGAGAATCGTGGATCACGCACGCCGCGAAAGCAGTGGACGTGATTCGCGCGCAGAGTAGCACATTGCTGGCACAGTGTCGCACATTGCTCGACGCATTGGGTCGTGAAAACGGCAAGATGCCGTGGAGGAGAAAGATTGTGCAGAGAACGTGCAGTGTTGCACTGCTCGAAGGCTAGAAGCTAGGAAAAGAGGAGCGTCATGGTTGCTGCAGTAGAGGCCGCGGTTGAAGAATAATCGGAGGGCGAAACTAGAAATGATGGATGCAAGATGGAATAAATACGCTAGGCGGTAGAGCGCGGTGGCTTGAGCAGGCGAGGCGATCAGTGGGAAATGGAGAGAGGGCGCTGACGGCGTGGAGAGAATGGAGGCGCGTCTGGCGCGGCTGAAAACGATGAGGGTGGAGTGAGGTGAGCAAGCTGATAGCGGGCTGTCAAAGGCAGCGGCGTTGGCGGGAGCAAGCAACGCTATGGACGGTGGAGGGGTTGATTGGGAGGGAGCTCTGAATTCTGCAGCAGCGCCAGGCACTCGCCCTTGGCCCTTGAGCTCTTCTCACCAACCAACCCAATCTCCAAGCCCGGCTGCCACCCCAATGGGGAAGCTTGGTGGGGATGAAAACTTTCCAAGGTGTGTGCCTTGGGAAATACTGTACATCCCGATGGCCCCTGGACGCAACTCAGTTGTTTTCCTGAGTATTAGCATATTTGGGTTTCAATATTCTGTTTGTTACGTAAGTTTCTCTGGTCCAATGCAGAGTATGCGCTGTGAACAGAACTTTTGGTTTCCTGTCGAAAGTGCATGAATTGTGGGCAGCAGAGGAGAACTCTGAGGGCAGTGTTTCGCATTGGCTTCGCCGCTGGTGTCAGAAACCCTTCCGGCCTTGCGATTTGTCGCGAAAACTTGTTTGGACGAGAACCCGCGAAGTATCCGACGGTTTAGTAATATTCATGTGTATTTCGTTAAAGCCAGGGTCTCATGTAAGCTAAGGAGCCATCGACTGCAAAGCACTTGAAGCTAGGTAACCAAGTTAGTGCTAGCGAAGTTGACTCTGGTTGGTTTGGAAACTCAGCTTGCGTCACTGCCCCAAAAGCAATTGCACAACACTTTTGGGTACTTGAGACTTTCGATGAGTTGGGGGCATTTTAGGTTTGGCTCCGAACCAAGTTTCCAAACCTATATGGTTCGGTTACCCCCAGCGATTTGTGTTCGCTTCGCACCCCTCGCTTCACCCCACTTCGAACCTTACACCTCGCCAACCAATCAAAGCCACACTTTCACCATCGATTGCAAAGCACTTGTAGTACGTGAGACCCTGGCTTTAACGGTAAACACGCTAGTGACGTTTGCATGTAACTTCTTCTAGGAAATAATTGCGCGACGCGTCTGTTTTCGAATTTTCCTTAATCCTGTGGAGTACCCTCGCACCACGTTCCCCCCTTTCTAATATCTCTCAATCCTGTGTGTTCCCCGGAAGACCGGAAGTATGACACGAGCCAGGAATAGCCCTTACACTGTTCGGTCAGACAACCTCAACTCCACCAGCGAAACTTTGCGAAGATATCTCCCCGTTCTCCCCGTGGTTTTGGCAAAGGGAAGCCACGCGCAAACCGAAGCGCAAAACCACTTTCCACGACTGGTTTCGTGTGCAAAAGGGGGGAGCGGCGGAGGGAAGCCGTTGGACAAGTAGCCTTGGGGTTGGTTGGGCTTGTCTGATCTGATTTGCCCAGAAGCGCTGAGGCTAGCAGGCGAGCGCAGCGTTTGGTTCAGCGGAACCTGCGTCCACCACCCGCGCAACTCCACTCTCCGCTCCGCCCCTACCCACTCACCTCGGTCGGTCGCCGAAACCACACATCCCTTGCAACGCAACGCAATGCTCAATCCTGCGTTTCTTTTCCCGCAATGTTGCTTGCCGCTCCCAACCAGCCCCACAATGAGCCGCACTTTTCATGTCGTAGTTGCACTCACAGTCTTCAATCACTCTCTTTCTTAGGCATTCAAGCAGCAATTCTAATCGCTGGCGAGTTGACAACGAATACGAGCGACTGTCCTTGCTGGCTATTGTTTCTTGCTGCGACTTTTTCTGGGCACGACGTTGAAGAACAAAACTCTCGCTCGGTGACGTCGTTTCGCGGGCGATTGTTCTTCGTCCTGCAAGTTTTTCCTCCAGCGCCATGTCGAGTGTGCTTGATTCTACTCGCGAGCGACGATAGTCGACGCGTCTCGGTACGATTCTTCTTGCCGGGCGAGCGTTTTTAACGGCGGCTCCAGTTCTTCACTCGTCTAGCGAATCCATTCCGTATAATAGTGCATAATGCGGTGGACGATATGTATCGATGGTCGAAGGTCTTCTCGCCGGCGATGTTGCGCGACAATTCCTTGATCCTCTTACTTTTTCTCGCTAGGAACGATAGTCGACGCTGGCCCCGATACTTCTCGTTGGCGACGATACTTCTCGCTGGCGAGAATTCGTCTGTCTTGCGTCGGCTATCTAGCGTCTTGTGGGCGACAATAATCGCTGGCGGCGGTTCGTCTGTCTCGTGACGAGTCGTTTCGTCGCAGACGGCTCTTCTCGCTGGCGACGAGGTCTTGCGAGGCAGCGATTTCGATCGCCAAAGTGCAGTGATGCCAACGCCGTCCAGGTTAGTCCGCGCATTTCCTTTGAGTTGTCCATCGGTGCACTCGTCGTTTCGCGAATCGTTTCGCGCGTCGTTTCGCGCATCGTTTCGCGCGTCGTTTCGCGCGTCGTTTCGCGCGTCGTTTCGCGCGTCGTTTCGCGCAGATAAGCATATTCATAGTCGCCGTCGCCGATTTCCGTCTTCTCACCTTCCGACTTGGTCGCGTGTTCTCCGTGGCATGGCAGACGCGTTCCGCGATGCGCCGTCGTCACGAGCGGGCGTGCAGTGCAGCTCGCGAGCGAGCGAGCGAGCCGTTCATTTCGGCGATTCCAATCGGCGACGCGTTCAGTGCTGCTCGCAAGCGAGCGAGCAAGCAAGCCGCGCGCGCTGCTGCGGGGGCTGCGCGACGGCGTGAGCGCATGCGCGCAACGAATGGTGCGTCGCGCTCGCCTCTGGCGGACATGGATTCACCGCGTAGCGCCGTGCTGCATGCCCCACCTCGCACTCTCGCTCACGTCACCACGTGCTCGTCAGGTAAGCATTCCGCCTCTGCGCTGATTGATCTGATTGGCTTCCGCCGTCCCAACCAACTGCAATCCATTGCCTTATGCCGATTCTGGAAATCACCCACCTCACTGCTGTCCGTTTGAACGCCGTTTTGGTGGCATCCGTGGGACCTTGCTCTCTCTTCCCTCACCTGCTGCTGCCTTTCTCTCTCGCTTCTCGCTTCCACTCTCTCACCATTCCCTTTCATTGCTCATTCTCACTCGCCTCTTTGTATTCCCCTTCTCCACCCCCCGCCTCCTATCTCTCCCTGGCAGGTCACTGGCGCAGCTGCACGCAGCACGCAGCATTCAGCATTCAGCAGGCAGCAGGAAGCGGGCAGCAGTGAAGCGTTGACTATCTCCGCCTTCAAGCTAAGTGCCTTGTACTCGCTGTTTAAAGTTTGCACTGTTGCACTGTTTGCGTGTCGCGTGTCCATCCAAATCGGGCCATTTGTGAGGGCACAACTCGCAAGTCACAGACCATTCCTTCCTCAGGTTCAGGTTCAGGTTCAGGTTCAGGTTCAGGTTCAGCCCCCCTAAGGTCATACAGCCCGTCAGGTTCCCTTGGGGTCTGTGGCTTGTGGTTGCGCCTCCACCAATGGCCCCTCCTTCCCGTCCCTTGTTGTTATTTGTTCTCTGCTGTTACATCCACTGTTTCTGTGGCCTGTTGGCATCGCACTCTACGCACTCCCTTCCCCCATCATCCCACATCAGCGAATCTCTCTCTGTGTCTCATCTCATTCCTCCCTGTCTTGCCCTGCCTGCCC